TATTGAGTATTTGTGCCAAGTTTGGTCAAGATCCATCATTGTTTGAATCCAGAGTACTCTCTGGATGTAGGCGAACTATAACTCCAACACTCAAGGTCAATGCCCACCAAGCCTCTCCAGTATTTTCTGTTGGTCATGGGAGTTCTGTGTGCCAACTTTGGCTCAGTTCCATCATTGGTAGAGTTCAGAATGCTTTTTGATTACAGGTGAACTATAAATCCCAGCAACGACAACTCCCAAATTACAAAATCAACCCCCCCCCAAACCCACCAGTATTCAAATTTGGGTATATTGGATATTTGTGCCAAATTTGGTCCAGTGAATGAAAATACATCCTGCATATCAGATAGTTACATTATGATTGATAACAGTAGCAAAATTACAGTTATGAAGTAGGAAGGAAAATAATTTTATGGTTGGGGGTCACCACAACATGCAGAATTGTAGTAAGGGGTTGCAGCATGAGGAAGGTTGAGAACCACTGGTCTAGAGACTTTTAAAGGCTGAACTTTCCTCAGTTATGATGAAGACAGCATAGGTTCAGTTCAACAAGGATATAGTAAGCTGGAAGAAGAGAAATCTGTTATCCAGTTAATTTTACCATGGCTAGTTCCCCAAAACTTCTCTGCAGTTGCACTTGCTGATGGCTGTGAAGCACACACACTTTTGATTTATATAGGTATCCTGATTCCCTGGAACTCCCCCCTCCAATTAAACCCAAAGCAAAAAACAAACAAAAAAACCCAACAACAACAGCACAAAGACCAACTTTTGGTATTGTGGGAATATTCACTGAGGAGCCAGATCTAATATAGAGGAACATTGCACTTTATCAACATGGTTCTCAATCTTCTGCCTTCTGGGTATTTTGGATTTCAACTCCCACAAGCTAGAACCTGGTTAGTTGTAACAGCTTCTCATCAATGGGTTAAAACTATTATTTTATAGTCTAGAGAGGGGTCCTCAAACTAAAGCCCGAGGGCCGATACGGCCCTCCAAGGTCATTTACCCGACCCTCACTCAGGGTCAACCTAAGTCTGAAATGACTTGAAAGCACACAATAACAACAACAACAATCCTATCTCATCAGCCAAAAGCAGGCCTACACTTCCCATTGAAATACAAGTAAATTTAAAATTGTTAAAATTGTTCTTCATTTTAATTATTGTACTGTTTTTGAGTGTTTTTGCACTACAATTAAGATATGTGCCGTGTGCAAAGGAATTCATTCATGGGTTGTTGTAGGTTTTTTCGGGTTATATAGCCATGTTCTAGAGGCATTTTCTCCTGATGTTTCACCTGCATCCTCAGAGGTAGTGAGGTCAGGGTAACCTGACAGTAATACAGGACACACATTTGTGTTTTGGGAGAAGGGGAGGATAATCAAAGTATCTATGTATTGTCGAAGGCTTTCAAGGCCGGAATCACTGGGTTGTTGTAGGTTTTTCAGGATATCTGGCCATGTTCTAGAAGCATTCTCTCCTGACGTTTTGCCTGCATCTATGGCAAGCATCCTCAGAGGTTGTGACCTCACTGCTCTCTGAGGATGTTTGCCACAGATGCAGGCGAAACGTCAGGAGAGAACATGGCCATATAGCCTGAAAAAACCTACAACAACCCAGTGATTCCGGCCATGAAAGCCTTCAACAATACAATTCATTCATGTTTTTTTCAAATTATAATATGGCCCTCCAACGGTTTGAGGGCCTGTGACCTTGCCTTCTGTTTAAAATGTTTGAGGACCCCTGCTCTAGAGCCTTAAAAATGCCAGCCACTACAGGTAGATATCAAGATTACTACCACAACTCTCCACGATCCATATTGGTTTGCTTTTCACAACAGGGATTTTTGCAAAATTTAGCTATTGTAGCCTTGTGAAAGGTCTGTTAAGCAAAAGGGTCAGAGTCTGATGTCTGATTAATCATTTTGCAAGGATGCTTGCATATAGGAGGTGTGCAAGGGAAGGAAGGAGCGGGAGAACCCTTGTCACTCTACCCATGGGAATTTTGCAAGTTTTTGTGACAATGACCACTTGCCCATGTGCACAATGCAAAGTGTGTGTAACTCAACCTTCTCCTCATTTGGGGGCAGAGTAGTGAGCCCTAGACAAGCAGCCAGTACCAGCCATATGGACAGACTTGCATGATGGATTTTGTTACAACAGCCTCACAAGACTACCCTGCCTGTTCTTTGAAGTGCAGGATCTGGCCATAACAGTACATGGCGTAGTTACATATTTAACTACTATGATGTACTTTATGTGGTGTTGTCTTTGAGAAATGGTAAGATACTGAATCTGGAAGCATCTATGTAATTTCTCCTTGACAGAAAAGCAAGCTAAGTGAGATAAATTGTTTTGAAATAGTGGCTCTCTTGATGCGAAGGGAAAGATAGGATGTTAACATGACGACATGTGTACGTTAAACCTATATGAATGGCTCTCTTACCATTTGGCCCAAATATAAGATCTGTTCTTCATCCAAAAATGTCATAAACGTATCTTTTCCAAACACAACAAGAGCACAAATAATTTTGTTCAATCTATCTTATCAAAGTGGACAAAAATGCAGGAGAAACTTGGTATTGATTTTACTTGCATTACATAATTTCCAAGTTGCAGCCATAATAATGCTTTGGCAGGTATCTATAGAAGGTGCCATCAACATCATAGGCGACCACACATGGTCAAGTAGGATTGTCTTCCAAGTGTAGAGTCTTGATGTGTGACTGTAGAGACCTATTTCTGATCCGCATAATCTTTTGCAGTGAGGACATACATTTCCAGAAGGAAGGCGGTCCCAACAAAGGTTTGCTTGACACACCTTTTTCTTTTTTCTTTGTGTTGGAGCCTCTTCAAAATCCATAGCCAAGTTCATATTGCCAAGTCAGCCTTTTTGAATGGAGAACCAGACTATTATAAATGATCAGGAAGATTAAACAGTTCTTCTTGAGTAGGAGAGAGCAAAGGGCAACCCAGGGGCTGCCAGCAGTCTCTGCAAGGCTGTTTCTGTGGCCCTTTCCTCTTCACAGTCCCAGACCATCAGTCTCATCACACAAGAGCACTGTTTCTCAACCTTCCTAATGTCGCGACCCCTTAATACACTTCCTGATGTAGTGCTGACCCCCAATCATAAAATTATTTTCGTTGCTACTTCATAACTGCAACTTTGCTACTGTTATGAATCGTAATGTAAATATCTGATATGCAAGATGTATTTTCATTCACTGGACCAAATTTGGATACGCCCCAATTTGAATACTGGTGGGGTTGGGAGGGGATTGATTTTGTCATTTGGGAATTGTAGTTGCTGGGATTTATAGTTAACCTGCAATCAAAGAGCGTTCTGAATTCCACCAAAGATGGAATTGAACCAAACTGGGCACACAGAACTCCCATGACCAACAGAAAATACTGGAAGGGTTTGGTAGGCACTGACCTTGAGTTTGGGAGTTGTAGTTCACCTGAATCCAGAGAGCACTGTGGACTCAAACAATGATGAATCTGGACCAATTTGTCAGGAATACTCAATATGCCCAACAGACCTCACTACCTCTGAGGATGCTTGCCATAGATGCAGGTGAAACGTCAGGAGAGAATGCCTCTAGAACATGGCAATATAGCCCGAAAAAACCTACAACAGCCCAGAATGAATTAGGTTCTCAAACTGTGCTCCTCAGCAGACTGAAAGCCAAAACCAAGGTTACAACATCTGTTATAGAACTCCAATATGCTGATGATAAAATCATCTGTGCGCATTCAGAAGAAGACCTACAAGCCACTCTAAACACCTTCACAGAAGCATACGAGAAGCTCGGCCTGTCATTGAACATCGAGAAAACCAAAGTGCTCTTCCAGCAGTCACCAGCCAATCCCTCTCCAATGCCAGAAATACTGCTTAATGGTGTAATATTAGAAAATGTTGACCATTCTGTTACCTTGACAGCCACCTCTCCACAAAAGTGAACATTGACACTGAAATACAACACTGCCTGAGCGCTGCGAGTGCAGCTTTTCTCCGAATGAAGCAGAGAGTGTTTGAGGACCGGGACATCCGTAGGGATACCAAGGTGCTTGTTTATAAAGCTATTGTCCTCCTAACCCTGCTATACGCCTGCGAGACATGGACTGTCTACAGACGTCACATGTAACTCCTGGAACGATTCCATCAGCGCTGCCTCCGGAAAATCCTGCAAATCTCTTGGGAAGACAAGCGGACAAACGTCAGCGTGCTGGAAGAAGCAAAGACCACCAGCATGAAGCGATGGTCCTCCGCCATCAACTCTGCTGGACCGGCCACATTGTCCGGATGCCTGACCACTGTCTCCCAAAGCAGTTGCTCTACTCTGAACTCAAGAACGGAAAACAAAATGTTGGTGGGCAGAAGAGATTTAAAGATGGGCTCAAAGCCAAATTTAAAAACCCTGGCATAGACACTGAGAACTGAGAAGCCCTGGCCCTTGAGCGCTCCAGTTGGAGGTCAGCTGTGACCAGCAGTGCTGTAGAATTTGAAGAGACACGAATGGAGGGCTAAAGAGGGTAAGGTGCCAAGAGAAAGGCGTGTCAAGCCAACCCCGACTGTGACTGCCTTCCACTTGGAAACCAATGTCCTCACTGCCGGAGAAAATGCAGATCAAGCATAGGGCTCCACAGTCACCAAGCAAAGTATTACCCAAAGTACTCCATCTTTGCCTCTAATGTCCTTCTCTCCAATGAGCTCTAGGAGGGACGCCCCATGACAAAGGGAGGCAGGACTGGTAGCCCAGCATCTGGAGAGCCACGTAAAATGGGTTTGACACATGTGTCACGGGATCAAGCACCGCTCCAAGGAAGAGGCCCAAAAGGCTTGCTCCTGGCGCCGCAGAGGGGAGGGGGCGGGGAGAGGAGGAGGAGGGAGGGAGGGGGCGTGGCCGCGGCGCTCCAATCAAAGGGAAGGAGGGCGGGGCTGAGCAGCGGGCGCTTTATCGGGCGCTGGGGCCGCGCTCCTCTCTCTCTCTCTTTCTCTCTCTCTTTCTCCTCCGGCAGACAAGACTGAAACGAGCGAGGATGGCGGCTCCGAAGGCGGCGGCCTCGCTCTTGCGCAAAGTGCTGATCAGCGACAGCCTGGACCCTTGCTGCAAGCAGATCCTGCAAGCGGCCGGCATCTGCGCCCTGGAGAAGGCCGGCCTCAGCAAGGAGCAGCTGCTGGCCGAGATCAAGGTGAGCGAGTCCCTTCCCCTCTTGGCACACAGAGCCTTCCCTTCCCAGTGCACGAGATTGGGAGCTTTCCGCCTCTCCTTGGGCTGCATCTCGAGCTCCCACCCAGAGCCCGCCTCTTGCATGTGCTGCTTGTGATTTCAGCGCCAAGCAAAGGAATTTTGTATCTAAAGTTTCTTCTAAATCTTTTTGCAACTCTAAAATTATAACAGCAAATAAAGAACAACATTTAAACACAGGGGAACTCTAAACACGAAACAATCAGGGACAGCTAATCACCTCTCAACAAAGGATTCCCCCATGCAGTAACAAGTCACTGTGCACTCAAACACTGATGGATCTGGACCAAACTTGGCACATATATTTTATTTTTATCTCGCCATACTCCCACTATAGCAGTGGTTCTCAACCTTCCTAATGCTGCGACCCCTTAATACAGTTCCTCATGTTGTGGTGACCCCCAACCAGAACCCTAACATTATGAATTGCCATGTAAATAATGATCTGCAGGATGTATTTTCATTCACTGGAGCAAATTTGGCACAAATACCCAGAGTTGGGAGTGGGGGATTGATTTTGTCATTTGGAGTTGTAGTTGCTGGGATTTATAGTTCACCTACAATCAAAGAGCATTCTGAACTCCACCAACAATGGAATTGAACCCAACTTGGCACACAGAACTCCCATGACCAGCAGAAAATACTGGAAGGGTTTGGTGGGCATTGACCTTGAGTTTGGGAGTTGTAGTTCACCTAACATCCAGAGAGCACTGTGTACTCAAACAATGATGGATCTGGACTAAACTTGGCACGAATACTCAATATGCCCAAATGTGGATACTGTTGGAGTTTGGGGAAATAGACCTTGACATTTGGGAGTTGTAGTTGCTGGGATTTATAGTTCACCTACAATCAAAGAGCATTCTGAACTCCACCAGAGATGGAATTGACCCAAACTTGGCACACAGAACGCCCATGACCAGCAAAAAATAATGAAAGGGGTAGGTGAGCATTGGCCTTGAGTTGGGAGTTGTAGTTCACCTGTCTCCAGAAAGCACTGTGGACTCAAACAGTGATGGATCTGGACTAAACTTGGCACAAATACTCAATATGCCCAAATGTGGACACTGTTGGAGTTTGGGGAAAATGGACCTTGACATTTGGGAGTTGTAGTTGCTGTGATTTATAGTTCACCTACAATCAGAGAGCATTCTGAACCCCACCAATGATAGAATTGGGCCAAACTTCCCACACAGAACTCCCATGACCAGCAGAAAATACTGTGTATCCTGATGGTCTTTTGCGACCCCTCTGACACACCATCGCGACCCTTCCAGGGGTCATGACCCCCAGGTTGAGAAACTCTGTTCTAGATTTTTTTGCAACTCTAAAATTATAATAAAGAACAACACTCAAACACAGGGAAACTCCAAACAAAAAACAATCAGGGACAGCGAATCTCCTCTCAACAAAAGATTCCCCCAGGCAGTAACAAGCTACACCTCAAAACTGCCAGGCCATCAAATGCTAATCAAGGTGGCCAATGGAAACATTCATACCTAGCTCCAACAGACAAGAGTTCTTTCTCCCACCCTGGACTTTCCACAGATACATAAACCCCATTTTCTTTCTTTTATTTTTTAATAAAATTGTTTATTTTGGTTATGGTACATAACAGAAAAGCAAATCGTGGCAGATATAATCAGGTAACAATATTGCCTATATATCTTAGTCAATCAACCAGTTAATTTTGACATTGAGTACAAATTATTATCGGTTACTTAACTTAATACATATAGACTTGCTATTTCTGCATGTTATCCACTACTTTCAGTCAAAGTTTTCTAAATTTTGGCTGATGACATAGGATTGTTGTTGTTTTTGTTGTGTGCTTTGGAGTCATTTCAGACTTGGGTTGTCCCTGAGCGAGGGCCGGGGAAATTACCTTGGAGGGCCGTATCTGGCCCCTGGGCCTTAGTTTGTGGACCCCTGATGTAGAGAGAGTGATGTTGGCAGTCCTTCACAGAGCAAGCTCTGCTATATTCATATTCTGTTGGTAACTTTGTGTTCTTGTTCAGATGAACGGAAAAGATACTGCAATCTTAGACATTGTTGCAGACGTTAGAATTTTTACCTCTGGATGAAATGCTCCCATTTTGGCTTCCCCTATAGCTACACTCCCGAGTGGAGCTCTTATCTTTTGTACTTGGAAATCTGCCCTGTTAGTCCTCATTTGCTTTTGCAGCTCACCGAACTGTGTGCTTTGCTCTTTTGAATTCAGTGGGAACATTTGCCATAGGTCCAGTCCTTCATCAACATATGATCATATTGTGATTCTAGGCGTAATGAAGTGTGACAAAGAGAATATGCTGAGAACTTGCAATGTTGTCTCTCACTCAGACGTTTTGGGACCCTACTGCTGTTGAAATGCTTAGGGTGCTTTGCAGTTACCTTTAGTATTGGAAACCCTTCAACTGATGCTTAAAGGGTCTTACGAACATCCCAAATTATATTATTATTGTTGGTACACACACAGGCAAAAGCTGCATGCCTTAAGAGAGCTGTCAGTAGGGTTCTTGCAACATGAAACTTATTATACAGCCCAACACAAAGCAAGTTGTGTTGGCCATTGGGAAAAAAAGCCAATGGGACTTTCACCTGCATAAACAGGAGTATAGTGTCTAGATCCAGGGAAGTCATGCTACCCTCTATTCTGCTTTGGTTAGGCCACACCTGGAATATTGTGTCCAATTCTGGGTACCACAATTGAAGGGGGATGTTGACAAGCTGGAATGTGTCCAGGAGAAGGGCGACTAAAATGATCAAGGGTCTGGAGAACAAGCCCCATGAGGAGCGGCTTAAAGAGCTGGGCATGTTTAGCCTGAAGAAGAGAAGGCTGAGAGGAGACATGATAGCCATGTATAAATATGTGAGAGGAAGTCATAGGGAGGAGGCAGCTGCCCTGGAGACTAGGACATGGAACAATGGCTTCAAACTAAAAGAAAGGAGATTCCATCTGAACATTAGGAAGAAATTCCTGACTGTGAGAGCTGTTCAGCAGTGGAACTCTCTGCCCCGGAGTGAGGTGGAGGCTCCTTCTTTGGAAGCTTTTAAACAGAGGCGGGATGGCCATCTGTTGGGTGTGTGTGTGTGTGTGCTTTGAATGCAATTTTCCTGCTTCTTGGCAGGGGGTTGGACTGGATGGCCCATGAGGTCTCTTCCAACTCTATGATTCTATGACTCTATAAAATTTGAAGGTTTTCCTCTGACATTAAGTCCAGTCATGTCCGACTCGGGGGTTGGTGCTCATCTCCATTTCTAAGCCCCGAATAGACTACTGCAATGCACTCTACGTAGGGTTGCTTCTGAAGACTGGATGGCCCATGAGGTCTCTTCCAACTCTATGATTCTATGACTCTATAAGTTAAACTCTGTATTCAGTAGGAAAATAAAATATTTTCCCCAAATCTTAAAATTTTACTCTCTCCAGTTTAATGTTTTAGTGAAATCTTTCCTAGGGGTACAAAAAAAGAAGAGATTTCACAGTGATTTTGTTTGCAAGGTTGGGGGTCGGGTAGATGTATGTGAACAATACTTTTTCTTAAGACTAAAAAAGTTGGTTAAGAATGAATGCAGTACCTAATTTAAATCAAAACGTGTATAAACATGTATGATTGAAATAAATCTAAGAACATATTTATGCAGATATCAAACATGCTAAAGCTCAGATGTTAACAATTGGAGTGCTTTCATTTTTTTCCGTGTAAAGAATAAAATAATGTAAAAGGATTGTTTCCAAAACTATATCACCCTCTGAGGACCCTTCCACAGCCATATAACCCAGAGTATCAAGGCAGAATATCTGCTTTGTCTGAAATATCTGAGTCCACGCTGCCATATATCCCAGTTCAAAGCAGATAATGTGGGATTTTATTCCACTATGTGGAAGGGGCCTGAGTGAATTCCGACATAAATTGTATTGATCATTAACATTTAAACCACATACTCGGTAAATTCCATGTCACTGGATTGGATCCAGATTCGCTATTCTGTTAAAGGAAAGACTCCTTCCTTTCACAGCTGGCACCAGCATCCAATGGAAGCGAAACAAATACTGAATTGTTGGCAGCTCTTTTCCACTAGAGGACTATTGAGAACATTCCAAGATCCCAACATGTGACAGGAGCGTTGCTTGTGTGCTGAAAAGGGGGGAAACTGTGCTAAAGAAGTACAGCGTGCCCTTCTTCCCCACTTATTTGGGGGTTGGGGTGAGGCTTAGTTGGGAGCTTGTGGAATCACATAGGAACTTGCCTCTGCTTGTCTAGTCTTAATTGGTAAAGTTATTCGTCCTCCAAATGTGCTAGCATTTGCTCCTTTCTGTCCCCCAGGCAAGGCACAGACTGATATCACGTCTGTGAAATCTCTTGTGTGTTTCCTCTAGCTTGGAAATTAAAATTGAAGATGTGGAATTTTATTTCAAGACTGAGAACCAAACTGAACTCATACAGAGGGGATATTCTAAAATGTTGATGTCTCTAGATCAAAATAGGGACTCTGAGATGAGCCTTGAAGGTAAACAACATAGACTATGGATTACAGCACTTTTGGTGAGATGTCAGTGGCAGCTTCAGGCAATGTGCACTGTGACAGTTTCATAAGTACCTGGAATTAATGATTTAGATATCTCAATCGCCATGTAATGATTTGCTGTCCATTCTGTTTTAGCCTGAGTATGAGAACCTAGAGCTGTGGTTTGACATGTAGCCCTTATCTTTAAGTGAGGAAGACACAGCTACTTTGTGTTTCATCTATTGACACTGTTGGGAGCCCCTCTCCACTGCCTTCAACTGCCATTCTGCTGGACATTGAGTGGTAGGAGGCAGCCAGTAAGACACTGCTACATCGTGTCTTGTGTATTATTATTATTATTATTATTATTATTATTATTATTATTATTAACTTTATTTGTACCCCGCTAGCATCTCCCGAAGGACTCGATGCGGCTTACAAAGGCCAAGGCCTCAAAACACAACATAACAATACAAACCTAAAGCAAATTAAAAACAATTAAGCAATATTAAACAACAAGCAATAAACAATACATCAAGACACTATAAAACTGGGCCGGGCCAGAGTAATGGGTACAGGATTAAAAGTGCTGATGTGACAGGTGATATGTAAGGATTATAGGGTAAGTGCAGTGTGCAGTGTGCAGTAATCTTAATTCTAATAAAGTGCTTCTGGGACTTGTTATTGGAGTTTCCTATTCTGGAAAGGCACATCGGAACAGCCAGGTCTTCAAGTTCTTTCTAAAGACTGCCAATGTAGGAGCCTGTCTAAGATCTTTTGGGAGGGTGTTCCAGAGTTGGAGGGCCACCACAAAAAAGGCCCTGTCTCGTGTCCCCACCAACCGTGCCTGCGACGCAGGCGGAATCACGAGCAGGGCCTCTCCGGATGAACGAAGTGAGTGTGTGGGTTCATAAACGGAGATGCGGTCACGCAGGTAGGATGGTCCCAAACCGTTTAGGGCTTTGTAGGTAAGCACCTGCACCTTAAATTGGGCTCGGAAAATAAATGGCAGCCAGTGGCCTCCTTGAACAGGAGGGTTGACCTCTCTCTGTAAGGAGCACCAGTTAACATTCTGGCTACTGCCCGTTGGACCGGTTGGAATTTCCAAGCCATTTTCAAGGGCAGCCCCAAGTAGAGCGCATTACAGTAGTCCAATCTAGAGGTGACCAAGGCATGGACCACCCTGGCCAGATCAGCCTTCGCGAGGTATGGTCGCAGTTGGCGCACAAGTCTCAATTGTGCAAAAGCCCTCCCGGACACCGCCGACGCCTGAGCCTCAAGCATAAGCGATGAATCCAAGAGGACTCCCAAACTGCGGACCTGTGGCTTCAGGGGGAGTGTAACCCCGTCCAGCACAGGTTGCCACCCTATACCCCGATGAAATATTACATGAAATGATCCAAGGAAGCCCTCAAGGGCAAAACAGGCAGATGATAAAATGGCGTATGTTACAAAGGCTATGAAGGCGAATGAAGAATGCAACAGATAAGAGACACCAGTCATCATAGTATCTATACCATTGGATTAGAACCCTTTTCTCTGAAGATCATGTGTTGGTCACTGCACTGATCCCAGCACATAAAACAAATTCATTCACAGACTTCTTCCAAATAAACCAAAACCAACAAACGTCCCATGGCTGTTGTTGAGTGGTGATGCAGACATGACTAATATCCAGAAGCCCCTAACTATGGATTGGCCCAAAAGCAGTAGAAAAAGATTCAGTTGTTCTAATCTGCCACCAAGACTCTACCTTTGGATGACAATCATATTTGGCCATGAGTGACTGCCTGTGATGAGCAGTACTACAGATTACAGTTGTTTAGAAGAAAAGGAAGACTTAGCTTTGTGGTGTGGGTTCATTTCTTCTGCTGATCATATTACCAAATCTGGATTCCATTGCACCCTTGAACGCTGTTTTCAAACTGTACTGATAGAAGAGCTGCGAAAGGGTTTGCCATTCATCCTGCTTTGTATCTCTCCAAGGCAATGGTAGTGGCACCATAACTAGCACATGTCTGCACTGCACAGAGGGAGGTGCAGTAAACGTTCTTTTGAATGTATTTTACCATGAAACCCTTGTAAAACAAACCAAAATGAAACAAGAGATAGTGCCAGAAGATGAAAGTCTCAGGTTGGATGGCAGCAGAGGTCAGCTATGAGTTGCGCTATAGCTAATGACTCAAGCTAAAAGATGTTCAGCTGTTGTCATGCTCAGATGTGATAGTCAAGCCCAAAGCTGAACAATACATATGATAGGAAAATGGAATGTGAGAAGCATGAATTAGAGGAAAAGAAGTGCTGCAATAATTGGGGAGAGTGAGTTAAAGTGGAGGAGAATTGGACCTTTTGAGTTGGATAATTACATAGTGGAAATGAAAATTTAATAACTCAGAAAATGAAAATCTAAGAAGAAATGTAGTGAAATTAGTAGTGAAGAGAGTTGTAGCAAAAGCAGTCAGGAAATTATGTAAAATTCAGAAGAAATAATATCAAGAAGACTTAAGGACAGACCAGAAGAAAAAGCAAAAGTGGATAGAAACATTGAGTGCAACTAATCAGTGACTTGTGTGCAGGGACAAAAAACTACTATAATAATGCAAATGAATTCCACAATTCAAATGTTTAATGAAAATATGGGGAGTTGAATTTTTTTGGCCCCAAGTGTCTGACGCACTCACAGGCCAGTTGTGTCCTCAAAGAAGTGTCAAAAGGTGAGAGAATGATGCAGGAGGTGAAGACAGAGATGTTAGAGGTGCAAAGGAGGAAAGTGCACTGGACATTTCAACAAAGTATGCAGATCTGAAAAGTTGTTGCAGAAAAAGAAAGTAATGTATTACCCCCGCTTTGCAAATCAAACTGTGTAATTGAATTGGAACCAGAGACCTAGCTGCCAAAATTGAATTTGTAGCCTATGACCCCTCAGGAAATGACTGTCTTGAGGGAGTTTATTGACTAGAACTTGGCGAGGAAATTTCTATACCCTTCTACATCAACTGTGGTAGTGCCAGTGTTTATATGAGAGAGAGAAAATATGCATCTTTGAGACTGGCCAGTAACTACTGTAGATTAAATGCTATTTGTGCCTCAAACAAATACTGTAGGGAAGATTTCCATCAAGGTGGATCTGAGAGAGGCTTATTTTTGAGTAAGAATCTGCCAGTCTTGAGTCGAGGCTGGATCTACACTTCCATATAATGCAGTTTCTGAATTCAGATTATCTGAACTAGATTATATGAGTCTACACTGCCATATAATACAATTCAAAGCGGACAATCTGGATTCAGAAACTGCATAATACAGCAGTATTGATGGGGCCTAAGAATGTCTTTAAAACTGCTCTGTTGGGTCATCTGAATATTGTTTCGTACCTTTTGGACTCATGGGAGTGTCTGATTGTATTTGATTACTGAGCTTCTGCATAAGTTTTTATATAAGGAAATCTTGGTGTATGTAAATAATATGTTAATGACTGAAAATTGCAAATCTCATGTTCATCTGATGTGGATCGTGTTAAGGAAATAGTCAACTATTAGCTCATTTTAAAATTGTCTAAATGTAAAGTACAAATTGAATTACTGTATTTCCTCGAATCTAAGGTGGACCTTTTCCTGTTTAAAAGGCTTCAAAAACATGTTGTACTTAGATAAGATAGCGTCTTAGAATTGTTGGATTTTTTCAAATTGTCTTACCGCCGAGAGAGAGAGAGAGAGAGGAGGAGGAGCGGGGACCTCCACTCACTTCAGGTCCGATTGCTTACTTCCTTTTTATTTTTTAGGACTATGATGGGCTGATTGTACGCTCAGCAACCAAAGTGACTGCAGACGTTATAAATGCTGCTGCGAAACTGCAGGTCATTGGGAGAGCTGGCACTGGTGTTGACAATGTGGACGTTGATGCTGCTACAAGGAAGGGAATCCTGGTCATGAAGTAAGGTGCCAGAGAGTTTCTCAAGTGCAGTGGTCCCCAACATTTGAGCCTCCAGGTGTTTTGGACTTTAATTCCCAGAAATCATAGCCAGCTTACCAGCTTTTAGGAACTGTGGGAGCTGAAGTCCAAAACACCTGGAGGCCCAAAGGTTGGGAGCCACTGTTCAAGTGGGTAGATGTGACTCAGGATCTTTCGAGTACAAAAACCAGAAGGTTTTTTGTTTTGTTTTTATAATTCCTGCCTATAAGAGTGAGTGATGGAACCAACCCAATGTGTAAGATGTTAGACTCCTCTGTGCTGGGAATTATTTATTATTTATTTTATTTAAGACATTTATATTCCGCCCTTCTCACCCCGAAGGGGACTCAGGGCGGAGCACAGCAAATATACGGCAAACATTCAATGCCGGGATGAGAATTCATTATATGCATACATAAACATTAAAAACATGTATCTCAATATTAAAATATACTGTTTAAAACTGTCTTGGTCATCTGCGTCAAATCTAATTGTCCTGGTAAAGTTTCCTATTGCTGCTTTATTGCACTGTCTTGAAAGCTTGGTCCTACAGCCAAGTTTTTACTATTCTTCTGAAGGACAGGAGGGAGGGGACCAGTCTGATCTCACCAGGAAGGGAGTTCCATAGCCAGGGGGCAATCACCGAGAAGACCCTCTCTTTCATCCCCACCAATTGCGCCTGTGACAATGGCGGGACGGAGAGCAGGACCTCCCCAGAGGATCTTAATCTCTGCAGTAGTTCATAGGGGGAGATACGTTCAGACAGGAAAATTGGACCGGGGCCGTTTAGGGCTTTATAGGCCAAAGCCCTCAACGGCCCTGGCCCAATTTACCTGTTTGAACGCATCTCCCCCTATGAACCATTGCGGAAATTAAGATCCTCCAGGGAGGCCCTGCTCTCTGTCCCGCCATTGTCAATGACCATGCAATGCAAATAGGAGGGAAGCCACTATATCAGAGATGTGGGCAAAAGTTGCTGTGTATTAAATTAAAATAATGGGTTGGGACAGAAGGGATCCTTTTGCTTTAGAAGAGAAAAATATGTATTTTGCCTGCACAGAATTTCCAGAGATGTTTCCATAGTGCTTTGTTAGTTGGTGTTTTCCCCACTTTCCCCAGTATAGCTATCTCTATTTCTGATTAGGCATCAAAGCAAAAACTGGCATGCCAGTATATGTTTGATCCTCCAGTAGAGTAAACTCTCAAATCAGGGAGAGGAGGAGGAGGAGGATTAGGACATCTTTGTATATAGTCTCGCCTAGTTGCTGACACTTACCTTCACCTGTTAGATTCCACATACCAACCTAGTTTTAATGTTTTTAGTCTAATTTTTAAGAGTTTGAGCTTATTATCTTATACATGTGTGTGTGGTATTATGTTCATTTAACTTTACTGTTTTATAATCTTTATTTAAGTTTGTTTACTCACTATTTGAATTGTTACTGCTTTTGGCATTGAATGTTTGCCACTATGTTATTTCTGCTAGAAACCGCTCTGAGTCCCCTTGGGGAGATAAGGCGGGTTATAAATAAAGTATTATTATTATTATTATTATTATTATTATTATTATTATTATGCTCCTATGATCCTATAAAACCACAGATGCCCTCAATACCAAATACTTTTAGTCACAATATCTGTCAGTAATGATGGAGTAAGTCTTTATAAAATAAGTCTGATGTTCATATTGTGAATGCTTTCCCCTAACCATGCTTATTTGGCCACAGTGTGGGCCCAGAAGGTATGGCTTTCTACTTGGAAACCACAGCTCCCAGAAGCTTTTGAAATACTATTTCAACTACTTCCTCTAACATATTTTGGCTTTCCTCCTCAGCACACCCACTGGCAACAGCCTCAGTGCGGCAGAGCTGACCTGCGGAATGATCATGAGCCTGGCCCGGTAAGTGGCATGGCTTCTTAATTACAAGTTGGGGTGTTGTGTGGTTTCTAGCAGCATTTTCTCCTGACATTTTGCCTGCATCTGTGACTGGCATCGTCAGTTAGTCTGACGTACTTCACAGTGTCCTCAACTCTTTTTGGACACAGAACTTCAGTTCATATTAACATGACTCCCAAAGCCAAAGTTACTGTATGGGGTACTGGAAAGATTTTAAAGAAAATCCTTAATCATTATAGACAACATGCCATCTAGATGCAGTAATATAACAAATTCCTTTGGAGGAAGGAGGCTCATCAGGTCATTCTAAAATGGAAACTATTATTTCAGACAAATCCCACAGGCAGCAGCTTCAATGAAGGAGGGGAAATGGGATCGCAAAAAGGTAAGAAGCTGGTGCCTTCTCCTTCTCTTGCTACTTTGTGGTGATGCTGGCTGGGAGGGACACATGCACAGATGAGGGTTTGTTCACATTGGTTATACATTTTTCTTAGTTCATGGGAATGGAGCTTCAAGGGAAGACCCTGGGTGTTCTAGGCCTGGGCAGAATTGGAAGAGAAGTGGCTCTCCGGATGCAGTCCTTTGGCATGAAGGTAAGATGCAGTCCATGAAGATAAAGTGACAGTCACTAGAAGAAAGAGGTCTAACGTATTGTCGAAGGTTTTGATGGCTGGAATCACTGGGTTGTTGTAGGTTTTTCGGGCTATATGGCCATGTTCCAGAAGCATTCTCTCCTGACGTTTCGCCTGCATCTATGGCAAGCATCCTCAGAGCATTCTCTCCGGATGTTTCGCCTGCATTTATGGCAAGCATCCTCACAACCTCTGAGGATGCTTGCCATAGATGCAGGTGAAATGTCAGGAGAGAATGCTTCTAGAACATGGCCATGTAGCCCGAAAAACCTACAACAACCCAGAAACAGGTCTGCTGCCTTGGCTGCTGGCTCCTTGTATGTGGGGATGGGTGGGATATGAACTATCTCACCTGTTTCAAAGCACTCTCTCTTTCTCTGCTCCTCCTCCTCCTCCTCCTCCTCCTCCTCCTCCTCCTCCTCTTCCTCCTCCTCACTTCTCCATATCATTAGACTATTGGCTATGACCCCATCATCACTCCTGCAGAGTCTGCTGCCTTCGGTGTTGAACAGCTTCCCTTGGAACAGATATGGCCACTGTGTGATTTCATCACAGTCCACACCCCACTCTTGCCTTCCACTACAGGTAGGGGATGCTACTTGGGCCTGTAAGAGGGTATCTCCTCCTAGGATGTTGGACTCCAAATATGGATATCATTCTCCCTATTAGCAAATGGAAATGGCATGTGGGCCACAGCTGATCCAACATCAGATATGTGTGAGGTATTCAGGAATGGGAGCAAAACAGCACATGTTCGCTGAGAGACCAGGTCATCCTGCTTGGACATGGGGAGGAAACTGAAGAAGCAGAATTAATTTTGCAGCTCAGATTGGAAAAGGCAGCTCATGGTTTAGAGCGGGTCCCAAGATCACAGGGAAGATTGGCTCTGAACTTGAAAGGTTCCGATGGAAGAGGTTGAGGTTTGCATTTCTGATTAAGTCCCCTTCCACACAGCTGTATAAAATCCAAATTGAACTGAATTATAAAGCAGTGTGTGTTGTTCAGAAGTGGATTTTAGCCAAGTCCCATGCAAAAGTTATACAGACAAGAGGAAAAAAGGAACAGAAATTTTTTACTCTTATCAGTAGAGGCATAAACTTGCAGTGTTGCATACAAAATCAAACAGTGCAATAAACTTACATAGTCATTGTAAGTAATACAGAATAAGGCTTTTTCGTCTTCATTCAAATGAGGGAGCAAAACATAAAGCTTGAGTAAATAGCTATTCCACCATAGCAAAGAACATCGCTGTTAGAGAATAGCAGCATTACAGCATATTGCTTCTCTTCCTCAGAGTAGTGTATTGCTTCTCCAAACTGTATTCTAAAATCCATACAGTTACACCACACTGAGTGTGGCCCAAACATGCTGGCTGACCTCCATTACCAGCTGCACATAATAATTAACATCATAAGGTTTTTCTTTAACACACACTTGATCCTGCTACGACTTACTGTAACGGTGTGGACTCAGATAACTTAGTTCAAAATGGATATTATGTGCCTTGATATTCTGGGTTATATGACTGTGTGGAAGGGCCCCAAAAGTCTGCACCAAGATAAGGTGAAGAGAATGAGAATCTTGAAAACTAAAAATATTTTTACTTGGCATAATCCCGTTGTTACTTTTGAAGGGAAGCAAAGAGTTGGGGTGGTTCATCTCCATTTTAGCTTCAGAAATGTCCCTAGGTTTTGTATTGTGTTTTTCAGACCCCATGTACACTGCCATAAATTGCATTATGAAACTGTATTGTATGGCAGTTTAGATGGGGCCGAACTCATTTCTGACTTTTGGTGATGCTAAGGTGAACCTCCCAAAAGGTTCTCTTGGAGGAATTTGTTCAGAGGGGGTCTGCCATTGCCTTCCTCTGAGGCTGAAAGTATGGCCTAGGCCACCCAGAGGCTTTTTATGGTCGAGTGGAGATTTGGACCCTGATCTCTGAAGTCATAGTTAAACACTTGAACCAATACACCATGCTGGAATAGATGGTTTTAGAAGAAAAAAGAAATTTTGAATTATCAGCATGACAATGACCACACTCTTGTGATAAGATAAGTGCATTCTACCAGGAAGTCCTAAGGCTGCAATGGACCTGAAAGGCACTTGCTTCTTTCATTGCTCTTTCCTTTTTAGGGCTTCTGAATGACTCCACTTTTGCCAAGTGCCGCCCTGGGGTCCAGGTGATCAACTGTGCCCGAGGGGGCATTGTGGATGAGGGAGCCCTTCTGCGAGCCCTCCAGTCTGGCCAATGTGGAGGGGCAGCGTTAGATGTTTTCACAGAGGTAAGCCTTTGGGATACTTAGTAGGCTTGGTTGATTTAAAAAAATGGTTCAAAACTTGTTTCAGATGTAGGGGGCGCTGGTGGTTTGATTCTAAAGTCAATTCCGATTTTCACAGAAAATAAACATTCAAAACTCTTCGAAACTTCCAAGACTTCCGAATCCTTTCGTTAATGGTTTGAAAGTGTTACTTCCTGTTTCATTGGATGGTCTTTACTTTGAAAGTAGTTGTTTTACTCCAGAAGTGGGGAAAAGCAAGCAGAGGAAATTTCTTCTTTCTCTGGTTTAAAACTGGCTTGAGCTGAGGCCAGGAAATTCAATCCTTCTCTGGTTTAAAACTGGCTTCTCTGGCCTCAAAACTGGTTTCTCTGGCTTGAGCCGAGGACAGGAAATTCCTTCCTTCTCTGGTTTAAAACTGGCTTCTCTGGCTTTAAAACCAGCTTCTCTGGCTTCAGCCGAGGCCAGGAAATTCCTTGCTTTCTGGTTTAAAACTGGCTTCTCTGGCTTTAAAACTGGCTTCTCACTTCAGCCGAGGTTAGGAAATTCCTTCCTTCTCTGGTTCAAAGCTGGCTTCTCTGGCTTGATCTGTGTCCAGGGTCCAGAAGCGGGGAAAAGCTGAATTATTACCGACTAACTTCCTGAATCGTAACAAAAATGGCGGAAAAAGCTTCGGAAGGGCAAAGGGACTTCCGGTTGTTTAAAAAAGCTTTGATATCGCTTCAAAAAGGTATTTTAATGAAATTATTATGAGCAACGAGTTATCCGAGCGACTCTATCCATGCCTAATACTTAGTGTTTTCCATGGAGTTCTTCAATGTGAGGGTGATAGTGGAATTTGGGAGCTGTGGTGCTTGAAGGTCACACGTAAACCCAGCTTTTACTTTTGCTTGACTGGCCATAATTTTAAAAAATCGAATAAGGTAATTAATTGTGTTATTGAACCCATTGTCACCTACATCCTTTTCCTTTGTGAGCTTTCATGAGCTAGGTATGTATGTGCTATGAGCAGAGCAGACAGAGACTTGTCGTGCACGGACTCCAGATGGTGGAAACATGGAGAGTCGTAAGTCTGTTATCTTTGGATAGTGAAGGATGACGATTCTGTGCCACCATGGTCAATCTTTGCTCTTTCAGGCAGTATGCAGTCCCACTAATAAACTTCCTGAGCTCTGGACCTGGAAATAACTTACCTACAGAATCTCTGCCTTACTTGAGTCCAGCCTGAGCTGTTGACCTGGGTCTGGAAAATGCAATGTTGCAGCTTGGGGGTTGTGAGAGCTTTCTGATCAGCCTGGTTGTTTCATTCCCAATAGGAGCCACCCAAGGACAAGGCCTTGGTGAACCATCCCAATGTAATCAGCTGCCCTCACCTGGGTGCCAATACCAGAGAAGCTCAGAGCCGTTGCGGCAAGGAGATTGCCATGCAGTTTGTGGACTTAGCCCAGGGCAAGGCACTCGTTGGCACTGTGAGTTCTACCCTTACACTGCTTAATGTTTCTGAATTTGTCCAGCATATTTCAATTTGCAAACATAAGAGTAATCTTTTGCTTCGATCCATTTTTTATTTTGTTTCTAAAACTTGACTGTTGTAGCATTTTCTAAACTGGAAAAGAATTGAGACCTTGAAAAACTCTGCACTCTTTACATTTGCAAAGGTTCTCCAGTAGTTAGAAAACAAAATACAAGAGAGGTGGCTTACTGAGCAATGTTGCTGAATTACAACGTGTCCGTTTTGCTGGCAAAGATACAGAGCCATATTAAAAGGCATTATACTCTGTTGCAGAACCCACGGTTTAACTGCCAGCACTGTTGTTTGCCAAATTATTTTAACATGGAATTTATTTATTTATCTATCGTGTCAGGAGCAAACCAAACAGTTGTATTGCATCAAACAAACAAACAAACAAAACACAAAGTTTGCAGGCTTGGTAGTTGATTAAATGTCCTTTGACCAGTAGCTGGCCACTTTGAGTGCCTCTGGTGTTACTATAAGAAGGTCCTCCATTGTGCATGCAGCAGGGCTTAGGTTGTATTGCAGTAGATAGTGTGTAGTTTGTTCTTCTCCAGAAGCGACCAGAAACATGGAATTGATCATAATATATGTTAACATATATTATCTATTTATTTACCACATTTATACCCCACCCTTCTCACCCTGAAGGGGACTCAGAGCAGCTTACTAGTAGGCAACAATTTGATGCCGCAAAAACGTAAGTCGGGCAAAAGTATGATAGCTGGGACTCAGTGCTGGTAGCGCTATGCTGATTTTGTAACGCATAGATGGTAGCGCTATGTTGGTTGCTATGCGGCTCTGAATTAGAGAAGGGAACATGTGCGCGAGAGACCGCACGCAGTGAGGGATGCAGCTACCACAGAGTCAACAAGGTAGTTTGGTAGAATTGGGGCTGGGGAGGGGGGGACACACAGCCAAGCCTACTGAGATAGGCTATCCAGAGATCCTATGCAAGGTAGTTTGGTAGGAAGGGGAGGGGAAACAGCCAAGCATACTGATGTAGGCTATCTGGATATTTATTTATTTATTTATTTATTTACAGCTTTTATATTCCGCCCTTCTCACCCCGCAGGGGACTGAGGGCGGATTACAATGTACACATATATGGCAAACATTCAGTGCCAATTTTTGACATACAAACATATACAGACATACACAGAGGCTATTTAACTTTTTCTGGCCACCAGGGGAGCTGTCGCTTTCATCGTCCATCTGCGATGCTGATGAAGCACTTCCGCATTCCCCGCATGCTTCCCCGCTGGAATGCTTTGCTGGAGTCTTCTTTATGGCTTCATAAATCAGTTAATTTAGCCTCCCCACACTTTAAGGTGGTACCTTATTTTCCTACTTGACAGATGCAACTGTCTTTCGGGTTGCAAAGGTCGACAACAGGCTACACACAATTGTTTGGAAACCCACTCCAACCCGGGCTGGCTTCGAACTCATGACCTTTTTGGTCGGAGTGATCTTAATGCAGCTGACACTCAGCCAGCTGCGCCACAATCCCGGTGCGCTCCATTTCTAAGCCGAAGAGCCGGCATTGTCTGTAGAATTATGAGTTGGAAGAGACCTCATGGGCCATCCAGTCCAACCCCCTACCAAAAAGCAGGAAAATAGCATTCAAAGCACCCCTGACAGATAGCCATCCAGCCTCTGTTTAAAGCCTCCAAAGAAAGAGCCTTCACCACATTCTGGGGCAGAGAGTTCCACTGCTGAACGGCTCTCACACTCAGGAAGTTCTTCCTCATGTTCAGATGGAATCTCCTTTCTTGTAGTTTGAAAATTCCACAATATCTGCTTTGAACTGTGTTATCTGAGTCCACACTGCCATATATCCCAGTTCAAAGGTGATCATGTGGAATTTTATCCAGCAGCGTCGAAGGGCCGTCCAAAAGGCAACACCAACTCCCTCTGTTCTGCCTCAGAGAGGAAAGAGGCTGTGAAGTATGGATATCGTATGCAATCACGTGCAAAAACGTTGCATTGGAAGGAAGGATAGAAAGGAGGGGAGAAATACAAGCAGTGGTGAAAAATGAATCAAATCCAGTCACTCTTACATTACTTCACTGTTATCCTGTCCCACCTGCATTACATTACTTCACTGGTATCCTGCTGCAGCTGCGTCACTCATTCGATGTACTGTCTCGCACACGTGTTCCCTTCTCTTAATTCAGAGCCGCGTAGCACAACCAGCATAGCGCTACCATCACTGGGTCCCAGCTATCATACTTTTGCCATAAGTAGAAATAAAATAAACATATACATTAAAAACCAAAAAGTTAAAAACATCTCAACATTAAAACCAATTATTAAAACCACACAGTCCAAAATCATAATCATAGGTCATTCCAGTTGTAATTACACCATTCCATATTCGTTTATTGCATGGAAAAATTACTGCCCAAAAGCTTGGTCTTACAGCCACATTTTTAATTTCTTTCTGACTAGTTGACTGGTTAAACTGGAAGATCAGATGAGCTCTGAAATTAACTTTTCCACTCAAAGATTGATCTTGCGGTGGGTCACCAGTAGCGTCAAAAAAAGGTCTTGGTTGAAGCTTGGTGGGAAAAGCTCACCCTTGTGTCTGCCTCGGCCTTTCGATCCTAATCCCGCAAACTGAATAACTGGAGCAAATTGGATTTCTCTGTTATTAGCTAGTCACCCTACAATCACTCTTATGCTCCTGTTCTTCCTTCCTTCAGGTGAATGGGCAAGCTCTCACCAGTGCATATGCACCCCAGACAAAGCCCTGGATTGCACTGGCTAGAGCTCTGGGAACTCTGTTGCGTGCACTGACCCAACAAGCGAATGGCAACGTGCAGGTTGTCACCCATGGTGAGATGAGAGATCTAGGAGTAGTGTCACACTTCAGTCTTGGCTTTTTAAATATGTACATTTCTTCACTTCTCTGCCTCTGTTCTCTCATCTCTCCTTACTTGACCAATGTGTGTATTTTCAATATAATTTCTTTTCTGAGATCTTGCTATCTATATCTTTCAAGCTGCCTGCTGTAATATTAAAATGGCTAAAATGTATAATTATATATGAAAATCAAGAATCTAAGGGAGCTGGATTCTGCACCCAGTATTTAATTGTGTGCATGTGCAGGAACACGGAATATACTTAGCCGATCCCTCATTGTCCAAGTAGGATTGTCTTCCAAGATTGGTGTACTGTTAGTGGGTACTTAGGTGACTGTGGAGCCCTATTCTTCATCTGCATGTTCTCCCACAGTGAGGGCATTGGTTTCCATGTGGGAGGTGGTCCCGCATGGAAACTTTTGCCCTACTTATATTTTTGGGTCAGGGTTGGCTTGACATGCCTTCCTCTTGGCACGTTTCTCTCTTTTACCCTCCGTTCGTGCCTCTTCAAATTCTACAGCACTGCTGGTCACAGCTGACCTCCAGCTGGAGCGCTCAAGGGCCAGCATAGTGCTACCAGCACTGGGACCCAGCTATCATACTTTTGCCCTACTTATGCTTTTGGGTTGGGGTTGGCTTGACATGCCTTCCTCTTGGCACATTTCTCTCTTTCGCCCTCCATTCGTGCCTCTTCAAATTCTACAGCACTGCTGGTCACAGCTGACCTCTAGCTGGAGCGCTCAAGGGCCAAGGCTTCCCAGTTCTCAGTGTCTATGCCAGAGTTTTAAAGGTTGGCTTTGAGCCCATCTTTAAATCTCTTTTCTTGCCCACCAACATTCTGTTTTCCATTCTTGAGTTTGGAGTAGAGCAACTATTTTGGGAGACAGTGGTCGGGCATTTGGACAGCGTGGCCGGTCCAGCGGAGTTGATGGTGGAGGACCATTGCTTCAATGCTGGTGGTGTTTGCTTCTTCCAGCACGCTGACATTTGTCCGCTTGTCTTCCCAAGAGATTTGCAGGATTTTTTCAGAGGCAATGCTGATGGAATCGTTCCAGGACTTGCATGTGACATCTGTAGTTAGTCCACGTCTCGCAGGCATATAGCAGGGTTAGGAGGACAATAGCTTTATAAACAAGCACCTTGGTATCCCTATGGATGTCCTGGTCCTCAAACACTCTCTGCTTCATTTGTGAAAATGCTGCACTCGCAGAGCTCAGGCAATGTTGTATTTCAGAATATACATGCAGTCCTGACACAAACTCTTTTTGCTTCCTTCTCCCTTCTCAGATGTTTTCCTCTGCTTGGAAAAGTATTTCTTGTTTCTTGAAATTTCCCTTGCTAACAAACCCCCCTGACCTATATGCATCCATAACAACATTGTTTTACTCTCTTTCTGTTTTCTATGTTTATGTAAAATGCCTTCTCTTTTCATAGTCTTTACAGCAATTGCTCTCTCCTGACTTGCTGTGATGCAAAATAGAGAAGGAATTTAGTGTAAGGTAGCATGTGAGAAGTATGTAGCAGCTGCTACTCCTACAAGGGCAGTTAGTATTTCATTGGCCCTGCTTCTGTCCCCTTAAGAGCAGCCTGACAATTAAGTAGGTGAATCTTCCCCATACAAGTTCAGCTGCATATATTAAATGTGTGTATGTTATACATTTTAATTTGTTATGTTTACATCCTGTCTTTCACCCACCATGGGTTCCAAAGCAGTATATACTTGTGTTCCTTCAAGTTATTGTCGAAGGCTTTCATGGCCGGAATCACTGGGTTGTTGTAGGTTTTTTCGGGCTATATGGCTATGGTCTAGAGGCATTCTCTCCTGACGTTTCGCCTGCATCTATGGCAAGCATCCTCAGAGGTAGTGAGGTCTGTTGGAACTAGGAAAAGGGGTTTATATATCTGTGGAATGACCAGGGTGGGACAAAGGACTCTTGTCTTCTGGAGCTAGGTGTGAATGTTTCAACTGAACAACATATTATCAAATGCTAATCAAGGTGATCAGTTGAAACATTCACACCTAGCTCCAACAGACAAGAGTGCTTTGTCCCACCCTGGTCATTCCACAGATATATAAACCCATTTTCCTAGTTCCAACAGACCTCACTACCTCTGAGGATGCTTGCCATAGATGCAGGCGAAACGTCAGGAGAGAATGCCTCTAGACCATAGCCATATAGCCCGAAAAAACCTACAACAACCTTGCCTTCAAGTTTTTTTCCCCCCAAATAATTTTATTCATTTTCTTGATAACATTATCTTAAAAGGAAATAAAGGGAAAAGATAGAATAGAAATTAGGGATAGAATTGTAGTCTTAACGCAAAAGGACCGAAGTATTGTTATTATTGTTATTATTATTATTATTATTATTATTATTATTATTAAAATAAATTTTAAAAACTGCCCAGACTGCTAGAGATGTAGGGGCGGGGGGGTGGTATTTAGAAAGCAAGAAAAAGAATAAATAAAAGGTAGAAAAATAGAGAACTTCCAGCCTTCTTCACCATGGTTTGTATTTTCTTTTCTCTTCTGAATTATTGCTGTTCCATTTCTTCTTTTCTTCTCTGGGGACAAATTATTTTATTTTTTTCAATTTAATTCTCTTATCAATTTTATATTTTCTTTTATCATATCGTCTCTTATTAAAGTCCACTCCGTTGTTGTTTTTTATATCCTTCCATATGTTTATTCAGTAATTGGGTTAATTTGACCATAGATGTTATAATAATTATTTTAGACATCTGTTGTTCTTTTGAAGGGATTTCTTTTGTTCCCCAATAGCGGTCATAATTTATTCTGGCTGCCGTCATCAAATAATTCAGTAGCCTATTTTCGTTTTTATCCAATTCTATGTCTATAATTCCCAATACGTAGTATTCTGGTTTTAACTGTAATGTTATGTCTTTTGTATTCCTCCTTGGATTTCTTTCCAATGTTTTTTAGCTAGTGCCTTCAAGTTGTTTTTGACTTAAGGACACTGTAAGGGGATGTCACAGGGTTATTTTGGCAAGATTGGTTCAGAAGGATTTTGCCTTTCCTGCAGTCTCTTACTTCCACAGAAGTGTGTTCCTGACAATAGAAGACTGCATCTAAAGCACAACTCTGGGGCAGCTTTGGTTTTATTGTGTCTGCCAAGAGGTAATTGACAATGAGTGGGTACTTCTGATATGCCTGAAGATCAATTGCCATTCTGTTCCTGAGCATCAGTCAGGTCTTTGGATTGAAGAGTGAGGAAAGGACTGAGAATAGTTGTGAACAACCATATTGGTCATTTGACCATACCTGTCATGTTTACTAGGTCCGGCCTTGCAGAAGGCAAGCAGTTACCTGAGTCCTGCAGTGGCAGCGGGTCTTCTCAAAGGAACAGCACCGGATGTGAACCTTGTGAACGGGCTCCTTCTGGCACAAGAAGCTGGACTGAAGGTACATCAGTTCCACTCCCCATCTTTCTCTCACACTGATGGCCTTTGTGACCGTATCTCTCTCCACATACCAACCCGGGCCCTTCAATCCTCGGGGGAGGCCATCCTTTGGCCCCTACCAATCTCACAACCTTGTCTTGTGGGCACAAGGGAGAGAGCCTTCTCCTCTGTGGCTCCCTGACTGGAACTCATTACCTGGAGAAATCAGGAAAGCCCATTCACTAGAAATGTTAAAAAAGAACCTTAAAACCTGGCTCTTCCGCTGCGCCTTTGGCAAGTAGGTGCACAGCACTATTGCTTCCCTCAACGCTTCTGCCACTAGATTACTCGCCCTCCAAATGGGAAGTTTAGTTCCACAACCCTGTGTTTTTTTATGATCTCCCTGCAAATAACTGCTCCTATTTTTATCTCATTAGAAGTTTTTTTAAATCATTTTATCCTGTACATGTGGCCCGCCCACTGTTATCGTGATTGTGTTTATGGGAATGTTATTTTGTTACTGTGTTTATACTTTTTCTTTCTCTATGTAACTTTGATGATGTTGCTTGTTGTTTATGTTCTGGTTTTAGTTTGCTGTAACATGTTGTCCAGGCTTGGCCCCATGTAAGCCGCTCCGAGTCCCCAATGGGGAGATGTTGGCGTGGTATAAATAAAGATTATTATTATTATTATTATTATTATTATTATTATTATTATTATTATTAATTTCTCTGGTTTGCTTTAGAAGAGCTTGCCATGCTGTTTTTTTGATGTTATTTTCTGTCTTTATAGCTACATACACTGAAGCAGGAGTTCAGTATGCATTATCTTCTTCAGCATGGATATATAATGGGCAACAAATTTGAATTTTAGCCATTGTTCCCTCTGTCCTCACATAGGTCTGTAATAGCTGTAGTGCCTGGTGTCGTCTTTCTTGTTTCCATATTAGAAATTGCTCACTTTTCTGGTGGCTGCTGCCAAGATTGTGTCAGGACAGTGAATTTGGAAGTGTACCTCTTTCCTGGTGGAAGGAACCTCACCAATTTCATCTTTTACTCCCACAGATCACCACCACTCACAATGAGAAGGCATCGGAGACAGAAGGAGGGCTGCTGCAGCTTGCTGCTGAGGGTACCCCACACACAGTGGTTGGCTCTGTGCAAGGCAGCATTCCTGTCCTGCATGAACTCAACGGCTCTGCTTTCAAGCCGTTTGTTCCCCTCACTGGCACACTGCTGTTCTACAGGTCCAAGGCCTCCAGTGCCAGCCTTTTATCAACAGTCATCGGTAAGGAAAGGGAGAGCTTCAGCCCACAAATCCATTTTGACATGGCAGAGCCTTAAGAGTTGGTGCTATTACTTTATTTGTCATTTATTTACGTCATTTCGATTCCACCCATTTCAGCCCGAAGGCGACTCAGGGCGGCGTACAGACTGGCAACTATTAGATGCTGTATATATAAACATACATATGTCGGTAAAAAAACAATTAAATCATATCCTAATACATATAAAAACTATAAAAGTCTTTAAAAACCCCAGTGTTTTCCAATCCAATTCCTCATCCGTTTACGTCATCTTTAGCCATATCCATAATAATGATAATGATAATGATAATGATAATAATAGGAGCCCCCAGTGGCGCAGTGGGTTAAACCCCTGTGCCGGCAGGACTGAAGACCGACAGGTCACAGGTTCAAATTCGGGGAGAGGCGGATGAGCTCCTTCTATCAGCTCCAGCTCCTCATGCAGGGACATGAGAGAAGCCTCCCACAAGGATGATAAAACATCAAATCATCCGGGCGTCCCCTGGGCAACGTCCTTGCAGACGGCCAATTTTCACACCAGAAGCGACTTGCAGTTTCTCAGGTCGCTCCTGACACGAAATAATAATAATAATAATAATAATAATAATAATAATAATATTTATTTATACCCTGCCACCATCTCCCCAGAGGGACTCGGAGCGGCTTACACGAGGCCAAGCCCAACAACAGATCAGTAAGAACAACCAAGCAATAAACAAAGAAAACAATACAATTAATATAACTCACATATAGACAATAACACACAGCGATTAAAAAACCTATGGCCGGGCCAGATGTAATAGTTAACATTTTAAAAATAAATGCTGGGCATGAGCAGAGGTGGGATGTATCTAGTAGGAGGGTTTAAAAGAAATTAAAAGAAATACATAGGAAGAGCAATCCAACGTGTTGCTCTCTCTATGTATTTATTTGATCATGCTGAAATTTCAAATGCCTGTTTAAAGAGCCATGTTTTCACTTTTTTTTTTTTGAAAAGTCAGGAGGGAGGGAGCTGGTCTAATATCCCTGAGCAGGGAGTTTCACAGCCGAGGGGCCACTACTGTGAAGGCCCTGTCTCTCGTCCCCGCCTGATGCGCTTGTGAGGCAGGCGGGATCGAGAGCAGGGCCTCCCCAGATGATCTTAAATATCTAGAAGGTTCATAGGAGGAGATGCGTTCGGATAGATAAGCTGGGCCAGAACAATTTAGGGCTTTATAGGCCCTTAATGGTGCCCGCAAGCAAACTGGCAGCCAGAGGAGCTGGATGCTCCCTGAGTGCAGCTCCTGTTAGTAACCTGGCTGCTGCACGCTGGACCATTTGAAACAGCTTTAGCTGTGATTAGAGACATTAGGTACCGCTAAATAGGTGTTTTATAACACCAAAAAGAAAGAAGATCAGAAAATGCTGGGTGACCAAAAGGAAGGAGGAAGTCCTGATGGCTCTTCGTCATAGAGAATAGAGCAACAGCGCCCCCTGGACTCGAGCCCAACCTTCCATCGCACCTCCTTCTGTTCTGTCTGTCTGTGTATTGTTTATGCAAAGTGGCATTGAATGTTTGCCATGTATTTGTACTGTGATCCACCCTGAGTCCCCTTCAGTGTGAGAAGGGTGGAATATAAATGAAGTGTTGTTATTGTTATTATTATTGTTGTTGTTATTATTATTACATCGCCACATAATTTTTATTATTGGTAACCATGTAAACCCTAGGCTTTGCATGCTCACATCCGGTGTACTGATTGTTGTTCAATTTGCAGGGCTGCTGGAGAAGGCCAAAGTGGAGCTGCTGTCATACCACCATTCTAGTGCTGTGAATGGACAAGCATGGGATGTCTTGAGCATATCTTCTCCTCTGCAAAACCTGCAGGAACTGAAGCAGCATGTGACAGATGTTATTCAGGTTACACCTTAAAATGTGGAAAACCTGCGAATTTCCTTCATGTCAATGTTACACATTCCAATAAAGAGAATTTGCAGAAGCTGCCTGGTCTGTCCTTGAGCCACAGTGGCCCTTCCTGAAGAACTTAAATTGGAAATAAAATTTCAGTGTGGAAAATGAGACGGGAATACTTCTGCATCAAGTGAACTATGAGAATTCTTGGTATCTCAACACTGATATTTCACTATAATAATTTAATTCTGTGCTTTAAAATATCTCAGTGTATGTGCGTGGGGAGGGGGCATTGTTATGTAGGGATAGAGATACACTGAATGGCTGGCACTGACCCCAGCTAGATATCTTCCACTGTAGAACAGGGGTCCACAAACTTTTTAAACAGAGAGTCAGGTCACAGTCCCTCAAACTGTTGGCGGGCCGGATTATAATTCGAAAAAAACAAAAACAAGAATGAATTCCTATGCACACTGCAAATATCTTATTTGTAGTGCAAAAAACATTTTAAAACAATACAATAATTGAAATTAAGAACAATTTTAACAAATATAAAGTTATTAGTATTTCAATGGAAATTGTGAGCCTGCTTTTGGCTGATGAGATAGGATTATTGTTATTGTGTGCTTTCAAGTCGTTTCATACTGAGGTTGACCCAGAGCGAGGGCTGGGTAAATGACCTTGGAGGGCTGCATCCGGCCACCGTGCCTTAGTTTGAGGACCCCTGCTGTAGAATATATGATATTGCAATGTGGAACTCCCATTGTACCCTACAAAGTCACGTCTGCAATGTATTCCTTCTTCTCAGTGGAGAGACTACAGAGCACATTATTTTCACAGAAAGCAGAGAATCATAGAATCATTGTTGGAAGAGACAAGATGTGCCACCCAGTCCAACCCTATTTTTCCATACAGGGAAAGCACAATCAAAGCATCCCCAACAGATGTCCATCTAGCCTTTATTTAAGGTTAGGTAAAGGTTTTCCCCTGACATTAAGTCCAGTCATGTCCGACTCTGGGGGTTGGTGCTCATCTCCATTTCTAAGCCGAAGAGCTGGCATTGTCCATAGACACCTCCAAGGTAATGACTGCAAGGAGCACCGTTATCTTCCCGCCGGAGTGGTACCTATTGATCTACTCACATTTCACATGTTTAGAACTGCTAGGTTGACAGAAACGGGCTGAGAGCAGAAGCTTACGCTGCTCCCTAGATTCGAACCTGTGACCTTTTGTCAACAAGTTTAGCAGCTCAGCGGTTTAACCCACTGCGCCACCAAGTTGGGCTCTTCGAGGACACGAACCTCTGTGTCATCCACGCCAAGTGCATCACAATCATGCCCAAGGACATCTAGATCGCCCGCCACATCCGCAGGAAGAGGGCCTAAGGCACATTCCTATACAGATGAATCAAACCCAAAGCCTTTGTTTAAAAACCCCCAAAGAGAAGCCTCCACCAGACTCCAAGGCAGAGAGTTCCACTGTTGAACAAGTCTCAAGAAGTTCTTCCTAATATTCATGGTCAGGAAGTTCTTCCTAATATTCAGATGGAATCTCCTTTCCTGTAATTTTAACCCATTGATCTGAGACCTAGTCTCCAGGGCAGATAACAATAACAAACCTGCTCCCTCTTCCTGAGAGTAATCTCAGAAGATGAATGTGCAGTTCCTGCACAATGAAAGATTGCATGTAGATCTATGAAACATTACTATTAGTCCTTAAAGGAGTATACAAGCTGCGGCCTTTGGCCTTGCCCTCTATGATCCTTAAACCTGGTGGCTCACATCCACTTTTCCCTGCATTGGGACAACAACACTCTATAGTCGGTGCAAGTTTTTACCTCTAAATGCATCCAGCACACCCTAGATCTCAGCAAGCACCAGACAGGATTTAAATCTTAAGGGTCCCCTAAAGAGTCTAAAGTCATCTAATCTTAGAATTTAAGGAAGGTCAGCCCTGTTTATTATTTGGATGGGATACATTCAATAAATACTGGGTGCTGTAGGCTATAATTCAGAAGTAAGTAGCAAAGCCACGTATGAGTTTTCCTTACTTAAGAAAATTCCTGTGAAATTGAACACATATGCACACACACCAAGGCCCCTTCTACACTGCCATATAAAATCCAGATTATCTGCTTTGAGTTGGATTATATGGCAGTGTAGACTCATATAATCCAGATCAAAGCAGATAATGTAATAATAAGCAACAGATTGTGCACTGCTTCATTGTGAAATGTTATCTCCGGGGTCAATGTCCTAGTTATTCACATGCTGAACTCCCAAAGATTTCAAGCAGATAAGATTTAGCTGAGGGACTAGGAAAGTGAATCCCCAAAGCTATTTGTGGCAAAACATGTATAGGTATTTTGGGGATTTTGTGCAGGACATTTGAGGTAGAAAAATGGCTGTTCACTCCTGCTCTTCCCTCCCCTCCTCCAGGATTTGCTTCTTGATGAACATGGACATACTTCAAAAGGATCAATCATATGGATCCCATAAAGCATTCAATTATATGAGGTGCCTCCTATAATCTGGTGTAGTCCGGATCGGCTTCCCAATGGAGAATGTTCTACAGTTCACAAACAACTGGCTCCAGATGGTATCTGTGAGAATTCATCCTGTGAAGTTGTCAGTCTCACAACTAAAAATGATTTTCGTGACCCAGAGTTCTGAAAAGTGACCTGCGATGCCATTTTTAAAGTGACCCTTTTAGGGTACAGGATAAGTTGTGATAAAATATTGAGGTTGTTATGCATAAAGAAGAGCCAATCTTGCTGAAAACAATCAATAGTTTGACACTGTGGCCCCATCTACATTGTCATATAATGCAGTTCAATGAAGTTAAACTGCATTCTGAAACTGCATGGCACGAGTGGGTTAAACCCCTGTGCCAGCAGGACTGAAGACCGACATGTCGCAAGTTCGAATCCAGGGAGAGCGTGGATGAGCTCCCTATATCAGCTCCAGCTCTCCATTCAGGGACATGAGAGAAGCCTCCCACAAGGATGATAAAACATCAAAAACATTCGGGGAGCGTCCCCTGGGCAACGTCCTTGCAGACGACCAATTCTCTCACACCAGAAGCGACTTGCAGTTTCTCAAGTTGCTCCTGACACGACAAAAACAAAACAAAAACAAACAAAACTGTGTAGATTGGGCATGGGATAAACCCACCTTACAAAATCAGTTATATATTAACTGATAAGATTATATCGTTGGCAAAGGATTTCTTCTTTGGAAGCTTTTAAACAGAGGCTGGATGGCCATCTGTCAGGGGTGATTTGAATGCAATATTCCTGCTTCTTGGCAGGGGGTTGGACTGGATGGCCCATGAGGTCTCTTCCAACTCTTTGATTCTATGATTCTTGGTGTTGTTTCAGAATGTGGGTGCTATTTTTTTAAAAAAGTAATATCCACTTGCGTATTTCAAAAATAAACTGAAAATCAAGTTGCCAATATTTTACTGGCTTGACTATACATTTTTCCTCTCTTCTAGAACCCAGGGTCTAATTCCAGACCCTTTAAACATTGTTTAGACAGGCAATAAATGGCTACAAGAAATTTTGATTGTGCATAATTTTCAAATTTAAGAGGCAGTATGTTTCTCAGTAGGGAGCCCCCAGTGGCACAGTGGGTTAAACTGCTGAGCTACTAAACTTGTTCAAATCTGGGGAGCAGCTTGAGCTTCCGCTGTCAGCCCCAGCTCCCTGAACAAGCCATCCCTTGCATATTTTCCTTTTCTTTTGAAGGCCACATTTCCCTTTGTATTCTTGTCTAAAAATATCTTCCCCGCACGAAGATCCACTGAAGTTTTCCACTTCTTATCTCACTTTGGAGCCCTTTCCCCACCAATTAATCTCAGTCCTTTCTAGCTCAGTTTCCTAGTGAGCACCCGGTGGTGCAGTGGGTTAAACTGCTGAGCTTGTTGACCGAAAGGTTGCAGGTTCGAATCCGGGGAGCGGCGTGAGCTTTTGCTGTTACCCCAGCTAAAATTATAGCTTTAGTCATGAACAAACTTGCTCAGAACGTCTTCAAAAAGAGACATGGTGACTATCTTCTGGGTATGCTCCAGCCACATTTCCTGCATTGAGCGGGGAAGGGGGCTAAATTCAGTGGCTTAAGGCAGGCCTGTAGCCAGGATTTCGTTTCGGGGGGGGGGGGGGATTAAAAATTTTTCAGGGGGGGTTTCGGGGGGGCTGAGTTTTGGGGGGGGCTGAGTCTGAGTGAAAGAGGGTCTAGCCTAGCAAACCTTTTGTATCATTACCCCAATACCCCCATGCATATGGGATATATTGAGTATGGTGATCAGATCATGATATGAATAAACATAACAGTTTAAATAATGCACCAGTAAGGCCTTTTCGCGAACCACCATGAGAATTTCGGGGGGGGGGGTGAAGCCCCCCAAGCCCCCCCCTGGCTACATGCCTGGGGGGGCTGAGTTTCGGGGGGGGGGGGCTGAAGCCCCTCCAGCCCCCCCCCCCCCCCCGGCTACATGCCTGGCTTAAGGGGCTCCTTCCAACTCCTATGATTCTATGGTTTGAACTTACCCTTTGTGACCTTGAAGAATTTCTTTCTCATGTTAACCCTATATCTTCTCTTCTTCTTCACCTCATTTTAATCAAATGCATTAATATACAAAGGATCACAGAGCACCATAAATTCTGTGCTTTGTCCAGCTTTGTTTTTTTATTTTTTAGTTAGTTTTTAATACCAGCCTTCAACTATATCTCCAGGTCAGTTGGAAACAGTTTGCCATTAACAGTTTGCCATTAACAGTTTGCCATTAACAGTTACAAACATTCAGACCATTTAAAGCTAGGTAGGGGAACAATACTTTGAAATCTTGGCTTAAAAAAAAAGAACACTAACTAGCTGTAAAACACACCAAAGAGTTCTGCAGTTGTAGTCTTTCCCTTGGCAGGAGCTGTCACAAATCTCAGCCCTTTGTATTATCCCTTATCACCAGACATAAAAAAATATGTGTTACACTCAGACAATATGTGTTACACTCAGACAACTCTTTCGTAAACCAGTGAAGGCACTTCCAGTAGCTGCCATCTGCAAAACTGAGGAGCACAGCAGTTGAAAAGCCCACAAATACAAAAGAAGGGATAATAAAACAGTTGTCTGATAGAAAGTATAACAGGAATGATAGGAATCCAGTCGTCATCTTCAGCAGTGTAGATGTCCTGTTAAGTTGAGCTCTGTCTATACATCTGGGAGGCTCTAAATGGGAATAGAAATGAACTCTGGTTATTTGATTGGCTCTCCAAGTTGGCTCACAGTAAACACTGCTCATTAAGATCACAACATACATATAAGCTAACTGCAATCTATTTTGGCCACTTGTCGTAAGGAAACTCCAGGGGTGTGCCTTGTATTCTGTACAACATGGAACTAGATAAGTTTAAACACTAGCCATTTCCCTACGCCTTTCAGGAGATATTTTCCTAGAAAACAACTGTGGAGCTTCAAAAGCCAAGACTGGCCTTTGGTGTCCAGTGGACAGAAAACTTAAGGGGTCCTCTGTTGCTCTCCATGATCTACACCTATCGAAGCAAGAACTGAGCAAGGGAAGATTGACCTGGATTCAACGGAATGACCTGCCTGTTCCACCATCTCATTCTGTTCTTTCCAAACCCCACCTGCTTCCTTCCTTTGCTAAGCTAAAGCCGCACTTATCAATCTTAATATGGAACAAAATTATAACCAATCAATCAGCCCCAAATAAGAAAACAAAGTAGTAACTCCTAGGAATGGCTGGTTGAAGCTTTCCTTCATGCAATGCTTCCTTAGAGTTTTCAACTTGTGCTAAAAGCATCTGTTTCACTTTCAAAATATCATAATGAAAGTGAGAAGATAAATGCCTATCTCCTAAGCCAGTGGTTCTCAACCTGGGGGTTGGGACCCCTGGAGGGGTCCCGAGGGAGTGTCAGAGGGGTCACTAAAGACCACCGGAAAACACAGTATTTTCTGTTGGTCATGGGGGTTCTATGTGAAAAGTTTGGCCCAATTCTACTCCCAAAACTACAACTTCCAAAATGTCAAGGACTATTTTCCCCAAACTCCACCAGTGTTCACATTTGGGCATATTGAGTATTCGTGCCAAGTTTGGTCCAGATCCATCATCGTTTGAGTCTACAGTGCTCTCTGGGTGTAGGGGAACTACAACTCTAAAACTCAAGGTCAATGCCCACTAAACCCTTCCAGTATTTTCTGTTGGCCATGGGAGTTCTGTGTGCCAAGTTTGGTTCAATTCCATCTTTTGTAGATTTCAGAATGCTCTTTGATTGCAGGTGAACTACAAATCCCAGCAACCACAACTCCCAAATGACAAAATCAAGCCACCCCCCTCCCCAACCCCACCAGTATTCAAATATCGGGTATTTGTGCCAAATTTGGTCCAGTGAATGAAAATACATCCTGCATATCAGATATTTACATTACGAGTGATAAGAGTAGCAAAATGACAGTTATGAAGTAGGAAGGAAAATAATGTTATGGTTGGGAGGTCACCACAACATGCGGAATTGTATTAAGGGGTCGAAGCATGAGGAAGGTTGAGAACCCCTGTCCTAAGCAAAAACATTCAGAAGCAAAGCTGGAAAGGTGTATTCCCAGCCTTCTTGGGATTATCAGTAGTACTTGTTTTATGGTGAAATAATGCTAAATGAAACTAGCTTCTGAAAAATTGGAAAAAAGAAAAGAAAAAACCTCACAACAGGGAGCCCATGTGCTCCTGTTACCCAAAGCTATACCACCTCTCTTGGCCTCCTCATCTGGCAACTTGACCCATCCCTGCATGCTTCTCCTATTGCTCCTAGGATCCAGATTTCAGACTTACCAGGAAAGTCCTACTAGAGTGTTTTCCGTGCATACTTCCTACGGTTCTTGTCATCCACTTGCTCTATGTACCACGTCCCTGGAAACAAATCTTCCTTGGAACCATGAGGAGTGTGGTTCACTGTGTAAAGATGAGGCAAGGGTAGGTAAGGTGGAATGGCATTAGTCACTGCGTTCACTGTTTGGACATATTGACGGAAAATGGTTTGAAGCCCTATACAGCTCAGATCCAGGCTATTTGGAAGATTGCATGAACCTGGCCGGGCCCTGAGATCCTCAGAAGAGGCCATCTCTCAATCCCAACACTATCACAAGCATGTGTTGGTGAGGATGTGAGAGAGGGCCTTCTTGGTGGCTGCCCCTTGATTCTGGTACTCTCTTCTTCCCAGTGAAGCCAGAATGGACCCCTCCCTGCTGTCCTTCCAGTAGCAGGCTAAAAATGTTCTCTTTTAAAGGAGAAAGTTTCGAACAACAAGCCAGGAGAGTGCTATGTAGTGTTTTAATATTTTTAAGTGCTTTTTAATGGGTTTGTGTAATTTTAATTGTTTTTATACATTTATGTTTAATTTCACATCAATATTTATATATTGTAGGATGTAATTTATTTATAGGCAATTTATATTGCTTTGTTTTTATTGTTGGGAGCCACTTTGAGTCCCGTTTAAATGAATAAATATTAGGATAATGGTTTAGTATACACACACATGCTTTGCTTCATGTACAAACCTATTCAAGTTCAAGTTCACTTTATTAGGGTGTACAAACCTATTAAAATACTAGTTGTCCCCTGCCATGTGTTGCTGTGGCCCAGTCTGTGTATATGTGTTTTGTGTGTGTGTATATTGTGTATATGTGTATATATGTGGTTTTGTGTATGCGTTGCAATGTATTTTTTTGGCTTTTAAAATTTCTTCCACTGTGTTTTTCATAGTTTTTATGAGTGATGGTCACTTGTTGGCCTGATAGGTGTATTGTGTCCAAATTTGGTGTCAATTTGCCCAGTGGTTTTTGAGTTATGTTAATCCAATTAATGAACATTACACTTTTATTTATATAGATTTAATAAAATTGCCATTAGGCTACGTGTATAAGATGTATATGAAACATAAAGGAATTCTATATTTAGACATGGGACTCATTGCTAATAAATCTCATTATGTACATATATAAAAATACAGGTAAAAAACCTCCAACATCCAAATTATTTCTGGTTCCAAGCATTTTGGGTATTGGGTATTCAACCTGTAATGAAATGAATTTTTTACGGTGGAGGCAAACCTTTTGAAGCAAAATCCTTTGTATTACTGTACCCAAGAGAAAGAAGAGCAATGGTAAGAGAGTTATTATACAAATGTTCCAGCCTTCTTCCCTTGGTAAGTACTTTCTTTAAATTGTGTAATCTGTTAACTAATCTGGATTTTTTGGGCAATTGCAAAAAAAATCTGTGCATTGATTGAAGTTCCTTCAAGTTTCTGTATATGAAAGAGAAAAGCCTTCAGCTCAGGATGATGCCTTAGAGCTGTTTTGCAATGACATTCCTCAGTCCCAGACCTAAGGGACCAAGTCTAATTTAATGTTTTTCTCCCCTAGAGAAATGCATAACAATGAATACGTTTGAAATTTTTAGTATCAGAAATTAAGTAGTATTTGCCAGAAACAACATAGTTGCCCTTCTGACACTGATGTCTCCATGTTGGGATAAAATTTTCATGGGCATGTAAGCGGTGCTAAGGCGGCTCATACAAGCTCATCATATTGATGAGGTCCAGAATTGTGACTTGCCAGCCTCCATAGCAAATCTGGGTGGCATCGGGGCAATCCTGGCACCCTGGATGCCAGCTGATGCTTTCCCATCCCACATGGAAAAGCATTGCTACTCTGCCGAATCCCCATTGTTCCTAAAAGAACATGAGGCAGCTTCCGTGTTGGTGGCCCACAGAACCCCACCAGAAATCGCGCTACATCGTATGTTAAGTGGGACTTCATGGGTGAGCTGGGGCAGAAGTGTCCTAGGACGCTTCTTCTGCTCCGTGTGATAAGTTGGTATTTCCTCTTATGCTTACCCAAATGATGAGTGTCCTCCCTCACTTTCATGATCTCAGCAAACTTCTCAGGAGGAACACATTTTCGAGAGTTCAACCGAACCTCAAGATCTGAAAGACTGGATACCAGTTTTTCCAGAGGAGAACCTGAAAAAAAAGAGGAGAGACCAGCTTTCTCGTTAGGACATCTCATATCCTCCTAGAGAGCTCAGCAACAACCACCCCTCCAAAAGCCAACTATTTTTGTTTTATTTTGTCACACATTCTAATCCCTATCTCCTTTGTCAGATGCCAGAAAATATACAGCAGGCCACCAAACTAGAGATGCTCCTTCATGATCCTTCCCCAGAAGGTTCTTCAATTTCTTCATTTAGGTGAGCAGGGTAGCACTATCTTGTATATCAGTCCAATCTTATTTCAGAGCTGCAGTTTAGCTTGTTTCATTTGACAGACACCTCCTGTATCACAAACCATATTCTAGACATGAATGTACATCTGCTTTCTGTACTTGAGGACTTCTCTGTGTATCATGTTGCTGTTGCTTATTTTCAATAAGAAATTAAGTCCTGTGATAGCTTCTGCCACATGAAAAGAAATGTTATTACATGGGCAGAGTTAGAAAGTAATAATTTAAAAAATATTAGATGGAGTCATTGGTTATGGAAGGCCAAAAGGGATGTATTATTGCAAATATTATGATTCACAATATTGTTCATTGTGTTATAACTTGAAAAATATACTTCAGAAATACTAATTTAAACTTTGACAAAATCCATTTAAATAATTTTAAAATGCCAAATGTCCCTAGAAATTAAAGTAATATGACAGATTTAGGGAATACATACCAACAAAAAGTAACATAATTCCCACTTGTCACATTACTTTGGAAATAAAATATTGTTCTAGAGCAGTATTTTGATAATATTCACCATTCCCAAAGGCCAGAGGCTCCATCTGTGTAATGGTTTTCTGCTTTGGTGGAATTTATGTCAAGAAGTATGTTTGTTAAAAGTTAAATCAGAAATGCAGATTTCAAATGGCTTTTGCAAGCAGTCCAAAATATCTCTGGATATCTCATAAACAAGAATAATACAATCACATAAATATTGAGTTGGGGAGATCCACAACAGCCATCTAGTCCAAGGAAAGTATTCCTGACAGTTGGCCATCTGTTCTCCGTTTTAAAAACTCCAGTGACGTAAAGTCCACTACCTTCCGATCCAGTCTATTCCAATATTGAGCAACAACAATTACCAGAAAGTTTTAACGTTCAGTGGAAATCTCTTTCTTATAATTTGATCTACTGGTTTGGGACCTACCCTTAGCAGCAGAAAAAACCAAGCGCACCACTCACATAACAACTCCCTCAACCATTCTTTATGCAGTGGTTCTCAACCTGTGGGTCCCCAGATGTTTTGGCCTTCAAACAGTGGTAAACTGGCTGGGAATTCTGGGAGTTGAAGGTCAAAACACCTGTTGAGAACCACTCCATAGAGACTGATTTCCAGAATCATTACCATCTTTGTTACCTACCTTGAAATATTTTTAAGTAAAACTCCACAACAACATGGACTCACCTGCCTCATAATTTTGGGACACCTTCAGGGAGAACATGCTGGCTGCTAGTCCAGAGCCATAGGAGAAGACTCCAATCCTGGAGCCGGCCAGCTGCTGGGCAGAGTACCTGTGGGATTTCAGAGCAATTCGAAAATCATTTCAGCAGAAAACTCTGAAGGAAAAAGTCATATTTTTTCTTCGGCTTGTCTGTTGGCCACCTTGAGCAGAGGCAGAACTGGAGTGACACTGGGTAAGGACAGATGTTTGTGTATTGATACATTTTGGTACAGCTGAAGATGTAAACATTCTGAAATGCCAATGCGTTAGGGGAAAACTTATGTCCCAATCCTCACCAATTTTGCTTTCTAGGAAACTCCCTTGTTCTGGAAATGGATAGAGTGGTTTGAAATGTAAGAAATACTCTCCCATTGAACAAATTTTGGCTTTCACAACTTATATCTTATCATAAGTTAGTTGATGAGAAAGTCCTAAACCTTGGATTCTAAAGAAATCCATCAAAACGATGAGCAACACAAAATCAAAAGCAAATATTCAGCAGTGTATCTGGGATACTGAGTTGCAAAACTACAGGGCCTTTCCACACAGCCATATAGCCCAGAGCATAGGCAAAAAAATCCCACAATATCTGCTTTGAACTGGGCTAGCTGAGTCCACGTTGCCATATATTTCAGTTCAAAGCAGAAAATGTGGGATTTTATTCAGCTATGTGGAAGGGGCCTACATCAGCACAGCTTCTATTCTCCCAGTCTTTAAAGATAAGCTCTTCTTCCTGCATAATACCTAAGTAATTTAATCATTCCAAAATACAGAAAAGTGTTCACTAGTGACCTCAACAGACTTGTTTCCAGAATCACCACACATTGTGGTGAATCCGGCAGTGCTCGTCAGGAAGCGTGGAGAACACATGTTGCCCCATGCCCCGCCTGACTCACCCATCATCCCATCCCACAGGGGGATATGTCAGCCACCTGGCTTCCCCCCCATTAATCCAATGCAACATGGGAAGCCTCCAGTGTTGCTGCAGTGATGGCATGTGCCTGTTCACTATACTTTTGTGATTGAGTCCCAGCAAAAGTTGCTCTATGTTGTGGGATCGGAACTAGCAGGATCCGTCACAAAAGTATATATGAATCAACACATGCTGCCGAAAAGTACCTCATGTGATGAGGTCCTTTGGCTAAATTCAATGTGCTTTCTTTTGGAGGGAAGATATAACAACATATCATACTGCAAATGTGTATGTCCCTGTGAGGCCGAGGTGGTAGAAACTAAGAGACACATTTTATTGTACAGCTTTTTCCACTGAGACCTCTGGCAGAATTTTATGAATCCAGTTTTTTACTGATTATCTTTTGGCTGACCAGTCTTCTGAAATTACAAAGGGCTCTTCCACACTCAGAATTTCAAGGTAGAAAACCTCACAATATCTGCTTTGAACTGGGTTATCTGAGTCCACACTGCCATATATTCCAATTCAAAGAAGATGTGGGATTTTATTCAGCTATGTAAAAGGAGGCAAAGTTGCCAGTTTTTGGTGTTGCAGGATAATGTCACAATCTTAAAAGGTTTTATTATTATCTCAGCTTTTCTCACTGCTTTTTAAAATATACTGTTTTTAATTTTCATACTTAACACTGTCTCTCAACTGTTTATTAAAATTGTATTTTAATGCTTGAATGTATGTTTTATTTACTTTTTACTGTTTGTTTTAATGTTGGTCATTGACCAAAATAAAACATACATCCATCCATTCATTCATATAAACCTGTACTGTTCTAAACTGTACAATTGGCAGAAATTTATAAAATTCACACTTACCCAGGAGTAAGAACCACTAAGTTTAGTGGTTAATGTTAAGTATGAGAGTTAAAAATATTTGTATATTTAAAAAGCAGTGAGAAAAGTCAAGCTAAAATAATAAAACCTAACTAACTATAAAGGATCGCAACTTACAAAGCATTGCCTGTTTTATTGAGTCTATAGAAACAGAGGAACTGCAAATTTAATAGCAAAAACTTCATATGGTTATGGTCCTTTATTTTGGGTGGAAATGGTGGCAATCCTGTTGCATTATTGAATGAAAGAAAAGGAAGGGGGAAGAGAGAGAGAAAGAGAAAGAACAGATATCTTACTGTGCCAGGAGAGATGCGAGGCAGCCATATACAGATGGTGTATACATATTGCCATTGCGAGCAGAGAGGAACAAGGAGGGCTGTGTTTTCTGGCTAAACAGCTCCTGACTAGCCTTTTGAAAGGCTTTGTCGACCTCCTTGCTGGAGTAAGTTTCTTCCAACTTCACATTTCTGCAAGAGAAGAAAAGCATTTAGTCTTGTCCCAAGTATGACTTTGGGTGACATCATAGGTGCATATTACTTATGAATCGATAGCATCCATGAGGTTTTCCTTTTCTCCCCATGGGTATCAATACTTGCCAATAATTTAAACAAATTTAAATTTCCATATTCAACTAAATTCAAATCAACTCAGAAGGAAGCGTTTTGTGGAACTTTCTACACAGCCATTTCACATAGGGCCATTCTACACAGCCATATAATCCAGAATATCAAGGTAGAACATCCCACAATATTTGCTTTGAACTGGAAGACATGGCAGTGAGGACTCAGATAACGCAGTTAAAAGCAGATATTGTGGGATTTCCTGCCTTGATATTCTGGGTTATATGGCTGTATGAAAGGGCTCCCAGAATATCAAGACAGATAATCCACAATATCTGCCTTGAACTGGATTATCAGAGTCCACACTGTCAGATAATCTGGTTCAAGGTGGATTTTATAGAGCTGTGTGGAAGGGCTCCCAGTTTTGTTGCATTGGATTAAGACACTATAGCTAATGGCAGAAATTTCACTGCAGTTCTTCTCCCCACCTTCCACTTTGGCTATGGAGCTGAAGGCCTTTTTTTCTGGTGGGCTTTTGCAAAATGTGTAAATACAACTCAGTGTAAATACACTGAGAACTGGGAAGCCCTGGCCCTTGAGCGTTCCAGCTGGAGGTCAGCTGTGACCAGCAGTGCTGTAGAATTTGAAGAGGAAGGAATGGAGGGGAAAGAAAGAAACGTGCCAAGAGGAAGACACATCAAGCCAACCCTGACCGGGACCACTTTCCACCTGGAAACCAATGCCCTCACTGCGGGAGAACATGCAGGTCAAGAATAGGGCTCTACAGTCACCTACGGACCCACCGCCTGTACACTGATCTTAGAAGACTATCCTACTCAGATAATGAGGGATCACCTAAGTAAAAGGAACTCTGTTGATGCTCAATTGTTTCAGTGGCCTTCTCATGTAATCATTCATAATTATTTTGATATTTAACTTCAGTCATTGTGGAGAATCGTTTTATCTATTTTTTATATTTTTAAACCATGTATATTTGTATTATTAAACCATGTATATTTTAAGACATTTAAAACTAACCTAATGTGAACCATCAAATAATTCACATTTGTCTGTTTTCAAATATGAAAAAGCAAATATATACAATGTGTACACTAAAATGGGTATATCCAGCCATAGATGAAATGTAACTATATAACAGCCATTCATTACAGCAGTGGTTCTCAACCTGTGGGTCGCCAGATGTTTTGGCCTTCAACTCCAGAAATCCTAATGGCTGGTAAACTGGCCAGGATTTCTGGGAAATGTAGGGCAAAACACCTGGTGACCCACAGGTTGAGAACCCCTGCATTAGAGGATATCTGTTGTTGACAAATGGCATCTGTAGCCAATACACCTAGCAGAGCAAAGTCCATGTCCTGATCAGTTTGCAATCTGAATTTAGACAATGAGAGTGAGGAGAAGGAAGCCTTGCTGAAAATGAACATACCGTATATTCCGGCATATAAGACGACTGGGTGTATAAGACGACCCCCAACTTTTCCAGTTAAAATATAGAGTTTGGGATATATTCGCTGTATAAGACTACCCCTCTTCCAACGCACACTAAATAAAAAATTTAAAAGCATCAAATTTGATTTCAATATGGTAATTTTCCTATTATTGTACCTCCTTCTCTGCCTCTCAGATCTCGCACATGTGTACCTGCACTGCTTCATTGCAGTCTTCAGGAGCGGGATCTGAGAGCCAGAGGAGGAGGTATGGTAATAGGATACAAGGGCAGGCCAGACAGGTAAAAGAGGTGTGTTTTTCTGGGTCCAGAGCCACTCTCTCTCTTTTTTCCATACCCTGGAAGCCTGCAGCTTGCTCCGCCCTTCACTTACACCTTGCCAGTGAGGCACCCCTTCACCTCACCATCGGGACCACACTAAGTCCACGAATCCTGATGAATGGATTTTCTTCTACCGAACTTGTACAGCGTTGCCCTTAATGCTTTCATACAGTTGCTGCATACGGCAGGGACACGGCCATTGCCATTTTTAAGCTTTTCCCACCATACGCAGCAACCACAGATTCTCCAGTCCAATTGGAAGTTTCACCACCCGCTCTATAAGATGACTCCCGTGTATAAGGCTACTCCCGTGTATAAGACTACTCCCGAGTATAAGACGACCCCTGACTTTTGAGGAGATTTTCTTGGGTTAAAAAGTAGTCTTATACACCAGAATATACGGTAATTAATAAAAAGGAAATTCAGCCTGTTTAGCAAGCCCTTCAAATGCTGATTTATTGTCAGTAAATGTTTGATACTTATACCCATTTTATATACCTATATACATGGGGCTGAATGCAAATTTCTCAAAAGGAAAGGGGTCATGAAAAAAATTCTTGAGTGGAAAGGGGCCCTGATCTACAACAGGTCATGACTGGCCAAAACACAGTGTTCTCTAGATCCATACATCTATTGAAATGCATGCTTGTGAACTGAGATGTGCCCATGGGAACCTTCACTGACCTGAAATCCGTTAGCCCCTTGTAGATGCCACTCTCAACATTAGGATTGGGGGATGCAAGGAAGTCATTCAGCACCATGCGTGCCAGGGACTTCTGCACCAGTTTGCAGAAGGGTGTGTGGAAGATCATGAACTGGAAATCTTCAAGTGTACAAGGCTTGTTTATCCCATCTGCCTCCAGGTAGAAGAGTTGCAAAAGGAAAATAGAAAACAGCAATCACATGCAGGAACAGTAAGAGAAAAACGGTATGAGCAGAACAGTTCGCTCAACACAGATCCCCTTCCTTTATCCTCGAGACCTGGACAAGCAAGACTTTATGTTTATTAAAAATATATAAGCTGGCATGTGTGTGTGTGAATTGAGAGGAAACCCATTTTCAAGAGGGGTTCCTCTCAAAGTTAGCTTAACCTAGGGTGCAAGCTGCATTCAACGGACATGCTTCTACAATACACCGAAAGTGCGTGTTTCTCCAGCCCTCCTTGGTATGACCTTTCTTATGCTGGAGTCTTCTTCTTCCTCCTTTTGTGTCTTGTGACTCATGAAGGAGGATGTGACTAGAGAAACTCCCCCCCTCTTTGCCCATCCTCTTTCATGTATCAAATGACAGAAAAGGGGGAAGAATATGACCCCTACACTAAGTAGGTCACCCTACTGCTGCTGTAGACAGCAGTGACATAGGGAGTGGAGTGGCAGTTGGACCCCTGTGCAGGATCTCGGATGCTGAATTGCACTGTATAGACCCACCTCATAGGGTATCATTATGAATCTCAGTCATGCTCCTTCCCTTTGGAAGAATCATGATTGCTTTCAGATGTGAAATAAATGGTTTTAGCTATTTTCCTCATAGTCTGAGCCAGAGGTTCTCAAACTGTGCTCCTCCAGATGTTTTGGGCTTTAGCTTCCACAATTCCTAGCAGCTGGTACGCTGACTAGGATGTTTAGGAGCTGAGTCCTAAACACCCGGAGGAGTAGAGTTTGAGATACACTGCTTTGGGCCATCAATCCAGCAGAGGTGCAGCATGCTAGTTAGTTTCAAAGCATCATACTGTTCTCAGGCTGTATCCACACAGCAGAATTATAGCAGTTCAACACCGCATTAGCTGCCATGACACAATGCTATGGAATTTGGGAATTTGTAATTTAGTGAGAGAGGAGGAGGAGAAGGAGAAGGAGAAGGAGAAGGAGAACTTTATTTTTCTACCCCGCCTCCATCTCCTCAAAGGGATTTGGAGCGGTTTACATGGGGCCAAGCCCAAAAAAACATACAATTAAAACAAGGCAAATAAAAATTAAAACAGTGTACAACCAACATCATATGCAATAATAAAACAGACATCATAAGCAACAACCAGAAATACTTCGAGTCTCATTTTGGGGGGCGGCTGGTGTACAAACAAGTTGGAGAATAGGCTGGTCAAAAAGATGGATAGAACATATCGCAGTATAGGAATAGAGTAGTTGTCATAGGATCATTTTAGCTTAAAAATACAGTAATCAAATACAGGAACTTGATTTTAGCCCATGGTTAGGGACCATCTGTCAAAGGGTTCGTCAATCGAATGCACAACGGAACATCTGTGTCAGAGAGCTGTGGTGGAACCATGACAGTTAAAGTAACAAACTGCTATAGTTTTGCAGTGTACGTGGCCTCTCTGTCTCTGTGCAGTAAGGGATCCAGGACCTCATCACACTAAATGAGCATTTATCCACTTTAAATCTGGTTGATGCCTCCTGCAGGATTCTGGGGTTTGTAGCTTAGGGAGGGGCCTTTAAACTGCTCAGCCAGAGAGGTCCTGGGCCTAAACTACAAACCTCATAAATCTGCAGGAGGCAGTCACAGCATTTAAAGTAGACAAGTGTTCCAGTGTGATGAGGTCCTAAGAATACATCTCTTTTCACATGGTTTCATAGGCATCAACTTTTTGTCCTTGACATACAATTACAAATAACATATAATCTCATATATATATATATATATATATATATATATATATATATATATGCAATTATGGATCCATCCCTACCGTCACTGAAATGTAGTGAGGCACTACAAGAGCAGGGGAAAGCCCCAGCTTAGTCTTCTTCTGGCAGCACATACCTTTCTGCCACTGGTTTTCAATTTTCTTTCTGTACGTGGCGTAGCACCGATCCAGGGCTCGGAAGTAGCACTGTATGGAGAGCGGTCCATCAACCATAGGGTACTCTGAAGCTAAGTCTGGCTTATAGAAGTCATAGACATGTTCCATGTGGGTCCCACGTACACCTTGGGAGTAAAAGACCTTTCACATAAATATTAACAATCATGAGAAGGGGACGTATCCTCATACCATGAGCCATTGTGGTGCTTGTGGCAAACTGTACTCCATTTTTATGGGAGATGATGTTAGGTTGATATTTTGCTAATATTCTGAGAATAATTTATTTCTAAGTGAGTTGAAGTCAGATGCAACACATTGCAAGTAATCTTTGCAGTAACACTGCAGTATTAACTGTTATATCATATGGCAGATGGAGTAACTAAGCCTGAGAAAACATCAGTTTGGAATCTATCAGCATGTTTGTGACTGAGATGGCATTGGAAATCAAAGCTCCTGCAGCATTAACCTGCACAAGTTTGTTCAGAATGAAGACTGGCTGTTCAGAGAAGCCTCATTCCAGGTAACTATGCTAATGGTTGTAACTTCATTATAAATAATAATAATATAAAATAATAATATTATAGTATCATTAAAATAATAATAAATAATCCAATAATCCAGGTATTACCGTCCTTCCTCTCTACCTGAGAATTATAAATAGGAATAATATAATATAAATAATAGTAAATTATTTATATGCATAAAGTCAACAACATCCAAATTTGTATATTTCCAATTTTGGAGTAGATGCCAATTAGCACAAGATATACTCGGATCAAAATGAATAAAAACAATTTTTTGTAGTTTTAATTGAGAAATTCTCCTTCATGCTTGTCACAGAGCTGCAGAATATACATGGATCCCACAAACTACAATTAGCCCATTTGCTGAGGACAAGGAGTTCCACTGAGTATATGTTGTAGGGAAACATAGGCGTGTGAAAGAAACAAAAAGAGGGAAAAGGAGAAACTCCATCACCGCTAGAGAGGAAAAAAAGTGTCAGTCTCCAATTTCTGCACTGAATATGTGGCTTGCTATGCAAGCATCTCTGTGTACGAACCCACATGATCTCTTCGTTCATCTCGAGAGCCCCTACTCACGATCCCACCTCCATCGCAAGCACGATTGGTGGGGACGAGGGACAGGGCCTTCTCGGTGGTGGCCCCTCGACTCTGGAACTCGCTCCCCAAAGACATTTAGGCATGCCCCAACTCTGGCAGTCTTTAAGAGGAGCCTGAAAACATGGTTGTTCCAGTGAGCCTTCCCAGAATAAGAAAACCCTAAGCAACTTGTCCCTAATCGCACTTTACTAATGATCTAGGATTGTCTGCTCGCTCCATCTATCCTAGTTATATGTCACCTTGCCATGCCCAGCATTTTAAAAAAATTAATTATTACATTTGGCCCTGCCATAGGTTTTCAATGCGTCGTGGTGTTATTGTTACTGTTTATTGCTTTGTTTATGAGTTTATTTATTGTCTGTATTGCTGTTGTTGTTTTTACTGATGTATTTGGGCTTAGCCTCTTGTAAGCCACATCGAGTCCTTCGTGAGATGGTAGCGGGGTATAAATAAAGGTTTATTATTATTATTATTATTATTATTATTATTATTATTATTATTGCTCTGAAAGTAACTCTTCCTCCTCATTGCCTATGTTTTCCCAGAGACATTTAATCATGTCACAATGTGAGAATGGAAGCTGCAGGTTTTGCTTGGCTGCTGCCTCTCAATGTCACAGCAGCCTCACTTGATTTCTCCTTCCAGATCTTCTTTTGGATCAGTTGTACAATGGGTTCCTTTGTTGTATCATCCCCCTCTTCCACCCAGAAAATGCTTTCTCTCTCCCTATAGTCACATGACAGAGCTTCCTGGAGATTGAAGAGAGTTAAATTTAATATTTACTGCTGGCAATTAGTCACTTAGCTCCACTGACATTATTTAGATTGTGGGTCCTCCCTAAACTGTATATAAGCCAGATTCTCACTGGAGTGACACACAGGGAGTGTATGTTTTATTTATTTAGAACAATTATATCCCGTCCTATTCTCGACCTCCGAAGAGGGATTCAGGGCTGCTACCAGCAGACAACAATTCGATGCCAATACAATATTTAAAAAACCCAATAAAATACACAATTACATACAATGATTATAAATATATATTAAAAACAGCTTGCCAAGTTTAAAACATCCTCTAAATCAGTCCAAATTATGGTCCAAGGAGATTCCATCTGAACATTAGGAAGAACTTCCTAACTGTGCGAGCTTTTCAACAGTGGAACTCTCTGCCCCGGATTGTGGTGGAGGCTCCTTCTTTGGAAGCTTTTAAACAGAGGCTGGATGGCCATCTGTTGGGGGTGCTTTGAATGCAATTTTCCTGCTCCTTGGCAAGGGGTTGGACTGGATGGCCCATGAGGTCACTTCCAACTCTATGATTCTATGAGTCTACCTGTTCGCACAAAATATGAGGTTCAGCTATGAGAGAGTAACATTCTGTTGCCTAAATGGGAGCTCCTCCTCTGTCCAGCTCTGCCATTTAATACCTTGGTATGTCATCCTGTCTCTGTCCCCCGCAGTCAATCTGGCAGAAAAAGCAGCTCAACTGGATTCTGAATAGGGGATTAGTGAAGCTTATTAATTGCTACATGGGTCACTTGCTTATGTTTTGAATGGGTAAAAAAGGGCATGACATACAAGCCCACCCTTCTTGCCTGTCTGAAATAGTTATGGCACTCATACACAGAGATGCATTGTCATGATGAGCACACATTACAGACAGAAGGCAGAGGGGATCTACCTTATTTATTTATTCATTTATTTAATTACTATATTTCTATCCTGCTCTTCTCACCCCGAAGGGGACTCAGAGCGGCTTACAGATATGGCAAAATTCAATGCCACATTATAAATACAATAAGCAGATGACAACACATTAGGCGATCTTCTATATAAATAAAAATGTAATGTTCATTTGTGGGATTAAAATAATTCAAAAACCACTGGGTGAATTGACACCCAGGCCAACAAGTGACCATCACTCATAAAAACACAGCGGAAGGGATTTAAAAAGCCAAAAAAAAAATTACAACGCATGTGCAAAATCACACATACATACACATACACACATATCTATATAAATAAATATGTAATGTTAGTGGGATTAACATAACTCAAAAATCACTGGACGAATTTACACCAAATTTGGACACAATACACCTATCAGGCTAATGAGTGACCACCACTCATAAAAACACTGAAAAACACAGCAGAATAGGTTTAAAAATCCAAGAAATAAAAAAAGATATTACAATGCACGCGCAATACCATGTATATATACGCAAACACAAATATATACACATATACACAAATATATACACACATATACATGCACAAAACACATATACACAGACTGGGCCACAGCAACGCATGGCAGGGGACCGCTAGTATATAAATAAATATATAATATTTGTTTGTGGAATTAACATAACTCAAAAATCACTGGACGAATTTGACATCAGATTTGGACACAATGCCACTATCAGGCCAATGAGTGACTATCACTTTGAAAACCAAAAAAAATACATTACAACTCATGCGCAAGACCACATATATACACATAAACACAAATATACACACACACACACACACATACACACACAAAACACATGTACACAGACTGGGCCACAGCACCATGTGGCAGGGGACAGCTAGTAAAACCAATACAGACACGATTAAAACAGATTAAAACATAATGCCTAATCTCATAGTTGTTACCTATGGCATTCTCTTTGACCCTTCTGCCAGGCATGGGGTGTTTCTTGCAACATCTACGACAGTCTCTGTTTCTCCTTTCTACAGTTGTTCTTGTTGCTACACCTTTGCAGCATTATTTGTGTGTATATGTGTATGTGTGCATGATTGTAGATATATACATTGTGCCATGCTACCGCTCTTGTCTGTGCTCAGTGCCGGGTCCTCTTTTCTGTCCTGCTTTGCCCATCGCTCCCTCTTTCTACATGATCAGATGCTATTTTAATCTCTCTATAGATGCTGTCTGGAAAATGTATCTGCCTTGTGCCCCTATGTACACATCTTTCATGCTGAGGATGCAGTTTGCTTTGTTTCTGGTTGTTCCCACTCTACTTGGTTGCTGGGCAGTTACAAACGGTCTCATCTGGAATAGGCTCTCATGCTGTTCCCAAATGTGTAATTGGGTTATTTCCCAGGAAACATAAATCTGCACTACAACTAGTTTTGTTCAGGAGTTCCTCATATCCAACAAGAGGATTCCAGGCAGGGCTGTTTTTAATTACGGGACTGGGGTAAAAGAGTTAGCTTGCACATAAAAGATAGGCGACTATTCCGAAAAATATTGTAAGCATGCTAATGTCTTAAGATATAAAAGGGCTCATTCTCTCAGATGGAAGGCCTGCTACTTTGTGAAGCCCTGGCCCTTGAGTGCTCCAGCAGGAGGTCAGCTGTCACCAGCAGTGCTGTAGACTTTGAAAAGGCACGAATGGAGGCCGAAAGAGAGAAACGTGCCAAGAGGAAGGTGCATCAAGCCAACTTTGACCGAGACCAACTTCCACCTGCCCTCACTGCGGAAGAAGATGCAGATGAAGAATAGGGCTCCACAGTCACCTACGGACCCACCAGTACACCGATCTTGGAAGACTATCCTACTTGGACAACGAGGGATCGCCTAAGGACTTTGTGAAATAGAATAGCGGCTGCTCCTTTAATTGCACATTCTTGACATTTGCAAAATAAATAGCTACAAACTAAGATTACTTTTTCATGTTAGCAAGGTTTCTGTGAATCTTCTGTCCAGAAAAATCGCAATGTACTAGCTCACGTATCTTTAATCTTACTGCTGTGTACATGAAATAATTTATGAATTGTGATTTGCCTGGTTGGCTTCTATGTTTGGAATAGAAAATTGGAATAGATTTGTGGTCACATTGGACACGTTTTGTCCCACAGCTCTGAAGAATTCCTGTTATGGCAATAGGGCCCCTTCCACTCAGCTGTATAAAATCCACATTGAACTGGATTATATGGCAGTGTCAATTCAGATAATCCAATTCAAAGCAGATATTGTGGATTATCTGCCTTGATATTCTGGGTTATAAGTCTGTGTGGAAGGGCCCTGGGATTCTTCATTGTGAGATCCCATTTTTATCTGTTTCAGTAGCTGAAGAAGAATATGATCTCTGGAATACAGCAACAAGTTTTAAATCCTTAATATGCAAACAATGATTCTAGACAAGGCAAAAAGTGTGATACTAACCTCTCTCTAAAGCAAGCGGGGCATTTGGTCCAACCAGCATAGCCACAGCTCCTGCTCCACCAGTTGGTCTTGCATTTCCAGTAGCATAGACAGCAATGTCGCCACAAACCACCAAGGCATAGCGTCCTAGCATGAGAAAAGCATCATCACAGAGTCAACAGCAATGATAAGAACAAATGATGGCTGATTTTATCATTCAAGGCCATTTGTAGATATATGTTCTAGTTCAGCAACAAACAGTTGTGAATTATCTCTGTTAAATTACTTAGTTACTCACATGGCATTTTACAAAGTAACATAAGCAAGAAGAATAGGTCCAGCTTGATCCTGTTGGTGGTGTGAGCTAAGGCTGTCTATTTAGTAGAGGCAGTAACAATTTTAAACTTGCTAGACAGTGTTTCTCGATCTGGGGGTCGGGACCCCTGGAGGGGTCGCGAGGGGGTGTCAGAGGGGTCGCCAAAGACCATCAGAAAACACAGTATTTTCCTTTGGAGATGGGGTTCAGAATGCTCTTTGATTGTACGTGAACTATAAATCTCAGCAACTACAACTCCCAAATGTCAAGGTCTGTTTTCCCCAAGCTCCACCAGGGTGTACATTTGAGTGTATTGAGTATATTGAGTTTGGTCCAGATCCATCATTGTTTCAGTCCACAGTGCTCTCTGAATGTAGGTCAGTACCCACCAAACCCTTCCAGCATTTTATGTTGGTCATCGGGGTTCTGTGTGGGAAGTTTGGCCCAATTCTCTTATTGGTGGGGTTCAGAATGCTCTTTGAAAATAGGTGAACTATAAATCCCAGCAACTACAACTCCCAAATGACAAAATCAATTTTTTTGAGTGAAGGACATACATTGGGTGTTAGGTGTCTTGTGTCCAAATTTGGTGTCAATTCATCCAGTGGTTTTTGAGTTCTGTTAATCTCACAAACAAACATTACTGCAACTTCATGTGAAGTTTATTTACCTCAAACTCCATCAGTGTGCACATTTGGGTATATTGTGTATTCATGCCAAGTTTGGTCCAGATCCATCATTGCTTGAATCCACAGTGCTCTCCTTTCGGTATTTTTTGTTGGTCATAGGAGTGCCAAGTTTGGTTCAATTCCATTGTTGGTGGAGTTCAGAATGCTCTTTGATTGTAGATGAATTATAAATCCCAGCAACTACAACTCCCAAATGACAATATCAATCCTCCCCAAACCCACCAGTATTCAGATTTGGGTGTATCAGGTATTTGTGCCAAATTTATCCAGTGAATCAAAATACATCTTGCATATCAGATAATTACATTACGGTTCATAACAGTTGCAAAATTACAGTTATGATGTAGCAACAAAAATAATTTTCTCGGAGGGGGGGGTCACGACAACATGGGGAACTGTATTAAGGGGTCATGGCATTACGAAGGTTGAAAAACACTGTGCTAGAGAATCGTAGGCCCCTTCACACAGCTATATAAAATCCACATTGAATATATTGGAATATATGGCAGTGTGGACTCAGATATCCCACTTCAAAGCAGATATTGTGGATTATCTTGATATTTTGGGTTGTATGGCTGCGTGGAAGGGCCCGAGTTAAGTTGAGTATAAGAAGGAACTGGAACATAACCCAAACATCAGAGATAATTTCTATTACTCTAAACAATAAAGGGATGATATAGGCCTTTTCCATACAGCTGTATAAAATCCACATTGAACTGAGAAACCTCTGATTTGTGTGAAATCAGCAATGAAACATGTATATTAAAATATATATAAATGAAAGCTTTTCATGAGATATGTTTGTCCCCATAATGTTCATTATTACAATTTATGCTTGTGTCTGCAACCCTTGTAAGGGGTTGGTTGAACATCTGGTTTGCAAGTAAAACTAAATTACTGTGTCACAAAATGATGCATGTCTACAAAGTGTGTCACCAGCATGAAATGTTTGGAAAGCTCTGGATTTGGGAAGTCTCTGGCCCATTTAACACTGCCATATGACATCAAGATTATCTGCTTTGAACTGGATTATATGGCAGTGTAAGACTCATATAATCAAGTTCAAACCAAAGCAGATAATATGGATTATCTGATTAGATAATTTGAATTATGTGGCAGTATAGGAGGGACCTCTGTTTGCATTTACTTAGCAGCAGGACAAGACCTTTTGAGGCACACTGCCCCCTGGCAACAAAAGTGCAAAAAGACAGGAATGTCATTCTCTGGCTGCATCTAAGGCTGGATCTACACTGCCTTATAGCCCAGGATGGGATCTCAGATTATCTTCTTACCCCAGATTACCTAACAGTAAAAGCAAGTAAAAGCAAGATAATCTGAGATCCTATCGTAGGACAGTGAAGATCCATCCTAAATTTCTATATAATCCAGTATCTGATTCCAGATTATCTGCTTTGAACTGGATTATATGAGTCAACACTGCCACATAATTCATTTCAAAGCAGATAATCTGGAATCGGATACTAGATTATATGGCAGTGTAGATGCAGTTCATAACCCTGTAGATGCAGTCCCCAAGCACCGGGACTGTGGCGCAGCTGGCTGGAAGTCAGCTGCATTAAGATCACTACTGACCAAATGGTCATGAGTTAGAAGCCAGCCCAGGTCAGAGTGAGTTTCGGACCAATTTGTGTAGCTTGCTGTTGACCTTTGCAGCCTGAAAGACAGTTGCATCTGTCTAAGAAATTTAGGTACCATTTATGCGGGGAGGCTAATTTACAACACCATAAAAATCTTCAGCAAGCATGCAAAGAATGAAGAAGTACTTCATCAGTGTCACTGTTGGGGTTCAGCCTGATCTGTGTGAACCTGATTCTCTGATAGTATTTCCAACTGAGCAAGCCACTGAACATGTAGTTTCCCCTGACAATGTGGAAACTGGTGTTGATGCTGAGTTCAGCGGCGGGGAAAACGAAACTGAACAGCCGCATGAAAATGTTTTGGAATCCAGCCGTGATAGCTCTCCACCTGGGTTTTTTAATGAGGACCGAAGGGAACAGATAACGAGAGACAGGAGTGATTCACAGTTCCTACGAAGGTCAAATAGATTACAGGAGAGACAGGCTCAGGCTTCAAAGTCAAGGGGCGTTTTAAGGAATAGTTTCTTTGGTATAAGGGGCCGCCTGCCAGGTGCCTCCTTAGATCAAGCAACGTTTGGGACTGTGGCTGTGCCTTGGCAAAATTCCTGTGTTCCATGGCCGGTAATGGCTTCTAGTTTTTCAAGTACATGGTTAGCAAGAGGCTAACAGGTTCCTGGTTCTTGTCTTGTGTTTTTTGGACTTTTGCTCAAGTTCAGAGATTTTCCTGACTGTTGTGTTTCTATGGTGGCTTTTTGACTTTGCATTTAACTTTCTTTTGTAACCAATTTTTCATCAATAAAAACAGTCCAGTGTGGTGGATTTAATCTTATGGTCTCGTTTCTTGGTCTGGGATGCAACAGTCACAAATGGATGGTGAAGCGACAGCTCCCCTGGTGGCCAGAATACCCTCATGAAAAAGCTGCAATGTTAAATAGCCTCTGTGTGTCTGACTATATATGTTGTGTGTCTATGGTATTGAATGTTTGCCATGTATATGTACATTGTAACCCCCCCTGAGTCCCCTGCGGGGTGAGAAGGGCAGAATCAAAATACTGTAAATAAATAATAATAAATAAAGAGATGGGGCCTCTGTTGTAATCTCCATCAGCAAGAGTGACTTTTTAGTTAGGGTTGCCAGATGAAATAAAGGATTGGGTTCCTGTAGCTTTAACAATTGTGTAGAAGAGGGAATTTTAACATGTGTGGATTGCATGACAACCATCACATGTTTAAATTTCTATGCAACTATTAAAAGCAGTGTTCCTTATTTCATCTGGTAACTCTACTTTTTGCAAAGTGAATGAGATCAGCATCTCTAGGGCATAAGATATTTAAATATTATGGCATTACTTACCATCCCAAGAGCTGGATTCCACCCAGTCGGCTGCATTGAAAAGGGAGGCTGTTCCTCCATAGCAGGCATTTGTAGTGTCGATGCCTTCAACATCAGTGTTTCCTGAGTCTTCAAAGAGCTGCATCAGAACTGTCTTGACGGCTTTGGATTTGTCAATGATTGTCTCTGTGCCAACCTCCAGCCGGCCAATAGAATCCCAGGAAAGTTGGCTTCGCTCAACCAGATGCTGCACCACAGTCAGACACAATGAATTAATGTCCTCATGGGCTGAACAGAAGCCCATTTGCTTCTGACCTAGCCCCACTGTGTATTTCCCTGCGTCCACACCATCGTATTTCTCCAATTCAGTCTGGTCTACATACTGGGAGGGGAAATATACTTCCATAGCAAGTATGCCAACATCTTTGGGCCAAGAATGGGCAGATTCGGTCTGGTGATGCACAGAAGTGGTAGAGAAACTGCAAAAGAATTACAGAGGAACCTTAATGTTTACACAGAAAAAAAGGATCTTTGACTTCTAGGCTGCAAGAATGATTGGTCTCTTACAAAGCAAGCAGAAGTGTCTATGTTGACCAAAAGAAAATGCTCTGTTCAGCACTATTTTGATGCAAAGGTCACAGAATACTGCTCAAGATGCAACATTCTTTAGAACTTTTTACTGAGGTTGGATCTATATTGCCATATATTTCAGTTCAAAGTAGATATTCTGGATTCCAAAATTGGATTATATGGCAGTGTAGATGGGGCCTGAGTGGGAGGGTAAACAAAGCAAAAGGGATGTGGAGGGGGGAAAGCTATGTGATCTGTATATTAGGGCAAAGAAAATCCAGATTATCTGCTTTGAACTGGCTGTGTAGGCTCATATAATCCAGTTCAAAGCAGGTACTTTGGATTATCTGATGTACTAACCTGTATTATATGGCAGTGTAGAAGGGGCGTTAGAGTCTTGAATGCCTGCCTTACTTCTCATTAATAGATATAGACCAATTTCTCATGTACATTTCAAAGGGCACAATTCGAAGTGCTGGCTTTAGCGTATAAAGCCCTAAACGGTTCCGGCCTAACTTACCTGTCCGAACGTATCTCCTCCTATGAACTAGGTAGGACGTTAAGATCATCTGAGGGGCCCTGCTCTTGGTCCCGCCTGCATCACAAGTACGGTTGGCGGGGACGAGAGACAGGGACTTCTTGGTGGTGGCCCCTCGGCTGTGGAACGCCCTTCCCACAGAAATTAGATTGGCCCCCTCCTTGTTAGCATTTTGGAGGAAATTGAAGACCTGGTTGTTTGAGCAGGGATTTGAATAGGCAGTGTAACTAATATAGAGATATGGACCAATTGGATGATGAGACTGGATCTTGATTTTAACTATGTGACGAGATGGGATGTTATGATGTTTATTGATTGTTATAATGTTATTCTTTTAAATTGTTCTTAACTGTTTTTATCATGTTTAAGTATTGTATTTGCTATTGTGAACCGCTCTGAGTTGCCCTGAGGGCTGAGAAGAGCAGTACAAATATAGTAAATAAATAAATAAATAAATGTATCACCTGTTTTGTAACATTTGCAGGCATTTCAAGTAATGTCCTCTTTCAATTCACAGTGCTAGTTCTTGATTTTTAAATCCTGACTTAAATTCTAGGGTTTGAGTATATCTGGGAACATTTTCTTTTATATGATTGAAATGTCAAAAAGTAATTTGTTCCCATCTCTAGTTTACAGAGTTGTTAAAAGTTACTTGTTCCTTTTTATTGGGTATTTACAATTTAGAAAGAACACCTTATGACCAATAAGAGCATGACATAGAGCTAGGAGGATTTCATTTAATAGAGTTTATATGATTTAACAATAAATCATTACACATTAAATCAAAAATAACATTTTAATAACATGTTATTTTTGAAATGTGATATCATATCCTTGTTACAAAATCCCTGCAAACCCCACAGCACCCACCCCAATATGTTACAGTTATTGTATTGTAACTTCTTCCTCCCGAATCCGACCTTCAAGCACTTGTAACTTCTTCCTCCTGAGTCCAACCTTCAAGCACTTGTCATCTTGTAAGGAATGAGTATGTGCCTTCAAGCTACCTGTCAACTTCTAGTGACACCATGAATTTCAGAGGGTTTCCTTAGGCAAGGAATACTCAGAGGTGGTTTTGCCAGTTCCTTCTTCTGAAATATACCTGGCCTACGGCACATGGTATTCATTAGTGGTCTTCTATTTTACTAACTAGGACTGATCCTTCTTAGCTTCCAAGACCAGATAGGATCCGCTGCCTTTAGGCCCTCTTTCTTAAGCGATACGGTTTCCAATGCAACGGTATCCATGATTAGGTTACTCTCTACCACAGCGATTCCCACTGGTGGTTTGTGGACCACCAGTGGTCTACAAGATGAAAATATGGTCCACGGTCTCACCATTACTACCCCCCGCTGCCTCGAAACCACATGGCAATGACAGCGACTAGTCTCATGAAACCATCTTATAGTGCCGAGGCAATGGGGATGTCGAGAGATGAGATTACTACTACCACATCAGCTCTAGATTATGAAATATGGTTTCCTGTGGGCAAGTAGATGGTACTGTACGGCCTATGTTCTGTATCAGAAACTAGAGCTGATGTGGTCTATCCAATGCAATATGGAACAACTGGATGATGAGTTTGGACAACGTTTTGAATGAAGAGGAGAGGAAATGAATGATTTACGTTTAATTGATCTTGTTATGATTTTATATTATACTAGCTGTACCCGCCACGTGTTGCTGTGGCTAACCTTCCCTCCCTCTTTCTTTCATTCTTTTTTGTTTCTCTCCTTCCTTCCCTTTTTTCTTCCCTTCTTCCTTCCTTCTCTTCCCTCTTCCCTCCCTTCCCCCCTTTTCTTTCTCTTTTTCTTTCTCGCCTTTCTTCCTTCTCTACCTATTCTTGAACTGCAACTCCCAGCAGTCCTCCTGATCAATCTATTTATCTACTGAACTATCTCTATCTAATCTAGGTATTTTATCTATCTGGAGGATTGCTGGGAGTTGCAGTCCAAGAATAGAAAATTGGAAATATGCAGGGATTGGGATGTTCTCAAAGAAATCCAAGGAGAAGAAAGTTTGCATCTTGGAAGCAGTGCATGTGGATCATCCTCCTCTCCTAAAGGGCCTGGTCAAGGGGATGCTGGGAGCTGTAGTCTGGAAGAGAGTGTGATGTTTTGTGTTTTGTTTGCCAGGGAGAGTCATTTTTGTGCATGCGCTGCAGCATCTTTTTGCTTTTTTGACTTTTTAAGTCAAGCTGGGGTTTTCAGTGTTTTATGAGTGATGGTCACTCATTGGCCTGATAGGTGTATTGTGTCCAAATTTTGTGTCAATTGGTCTAGTGGTTTTTGAGTTATGCTAATCACACAAACGAACATTACATTTTTTATTTATATAGATGTCAATGTTTTAATGTTTTACGGTGTTGTTGGGCATTGAATTGTTGCCTCTGTAAACCGCCCCGAGTTGCCAGAAGGCTGAGAAGGGCGGTATACAAATATAGTAAGTAAGTAAATCAATATTTTGAATCAGCACCCCAAATAACCAACCAAACCTAAAGTTGACCAAAAACTGATTTGTAACCCTTTTGGTACTAATGTTGGAGAGTGGCCCCTGGTCAAAGTGGTACCTGGTCAAGTGGTCCCTAGTTAAAAAAAGTTTGGGAACCATTGCTCTACCAAGAGTACCCTTTTCTGTGATGTTCTGATGCTTAGGAATTTTCTTCTAAGTAATACCTTATGGCATCATTTCAGCTATTTTGCCAGGGGTTAATTAAAAAAACAACAACCATGCATGTTTTTGCTGTTTTTCTCAGCTAAATCGGCTCTTTACCACAATCTCTTCTGCAGTCTCTGGAAATGAGGTGCATTGCAAATCACGATAGATGGCTCTACCTCAACCTAAAAAACCTAATCCTAAAAATCAAGGTCTTCCTCTATACAAACTTCATAATGGTACGTAGCCTGTTATCAGAAGGTTAATGTTTAATACAAAGCCCTTTGAACGAGTGAACACATAGCCAAAATTGCTGGACTGAGCTGGGGATGAAGTCCAAAGGGCAATGCATTTTCTGCTTCCAAATTAGATGTATCTTTTGTGGTTGTTGCTCTGGACCTTCAAGTTGTTTGTGAACTTTTGGTGATCCTAAAGTAAACCTATCACAGAGTTTGCTTGACCTGATTTATTTAGATGTAATTTTTCTTTACCTGCTTCTGAGGATGACAGTGAGTGATATGCCCAATGGCACCCAGTGGAATTTCATGGCTGGGTGGGAATTTAAACCCTTGTCTCCAGAGTCATATTCCAACATTCAAATCACTAAGCCAGGGGTCCCCAAACTAAGGTCAAAGGCCTATGGGCTGGATGTGGCCCTTGAAGGTTGTTCACCCAGCCCATGCCCTAAACTTTAGAATTAGGGTTGCCCTAAGTTTGAAACAACAACAACAACACAAACAACAACAATCCTGTTTAACTTAACTATCTCATCAGCCAAAAGCAAGCCCACACTTCTCAATGAAGTAATGGTTAGTTTATGTTGGTTAAAATTGTTCTTCATTTTAAATATTATATTGCTCTTTTACAGTTTTTTTTAAAAAGATACCACACTGTTCATACTTTGAAAACCCTGTCTTCTTTTTAATGCTAAATTCTTTTAGTCATGAAACTGATTGTAATAATTTGTACAGGTTTTGATGTATTCAATGAATATTTCTGCAAAGCATAATCAATTCTATTATAACTTGTATAAAGTAGCAGGCATGTAGCCGGGGGAGGGGGGGCTTGAGGGGGTTCAGCCCTCCCGAAATTCTCAGGGTGGTCTGCAAGAAGGCATTACTGGTACATTATTTAAACTGTTATGTTTATTCATATCATGATCTGATCACCATGATCAATATATCCCATATGCAGGGGGGGGGTATTGGAATAATGATACAAAAGGTTTGCTAGGGTAGATCCTCAGCCCCCCTCCCCCGAATCAAACTCACTCACTCCCCCCCCCCCCCGAATCAAAATCCTGGCATATCAATATTAAAATAAACATATACATACATTTCTCAGATATGCATATTGTGATTATTTCTCTAAGTCACTTGGAGCATGGATGGGCAAAGTTGAGATCTGGGACTGAATGGATCCCTGGCCTCCTCCCTCCCTACCAAGCCCCATGTTCTGGTGAAAGGGGGAATTAACTTTCCCACCCAGAGATCTCCAGGAGCTGTGATCCGTCATGAAGTAGATCTTTGGACATTTCCTATTTCATTCTCCCACATCTGACTTTTTAAATAAAGCAATTCTCATGGTCTCCTGAATACTCCATGTAGTTGAAAACTGGCCTCCAGACTCACACAGTTGGCCACACCCGAGTCCCCTTCCACACAACTGAATAAAATCCCACATTATCTGCTTTGAACTAGAATATATGGCAGTGTGGACTCAGATAACCCAGTTCAAAGCTGATATTGTGGGATTTTCTGCCTCGATATTCTGGGTTATAGGGCTATGTGGAAGGGCCCCTAGTTGACTTGTCCTCATGTCCCTGTTGGGGGAGATGATGGCAGGGTATAAATAAAGATGATGATGATGATGATGATGATTATCTGAATCCACACGGCCATATATCCCAGCTCAAAGCAGCTAATATGGGGTTTTCGTCAGCTGTGTGGAAGAGGCCTGAGTTAGAGTCTCTTCTAAAGCCAATTTGGAGGTATGCCCTTTTCTCCACAAAGGAATGCCAGTGCAGAATTTTTTTTTTTTTAAAAAAACATTCTGGAGATTAGCAGGAGTGGTCTTCCACTAATGACAAAAGGCACATTTGACTCTGGGCTTAAAACCATTTTCCTTTGGGGCAGAAAATGTATTAGAATTGATCCTCAAGATATCTAGGACATGGGCAATGCAAATGAGGGTAAACATTTTTCCTTTGCTCAAAAAAAAGAGCTGCCTACATAAAATCCACTGTAGACCAAAGAATCTTCCAAAAAGGGTGTTACACAAAGACGGACTGGTGAATTAGAATCCATTAGGAAGTTGTAATCTATTGTGAGATTTCAACTGGATCAAAGTTTCTTCTTACATTCTTGGTGTTGCCCTGTTGGATTAATGCCAATATTTTTCTTGTTATCGGTAAGAAGTTTGTAAATGCTTCAAGTTTACTATTTATTTATTTATACCCTGCTTTATCTCTCTAAAAAGAGACACAAAACAGCTAACAAAAGAGCAATACAGTATATAATTTAAAACCTTAAAAGGCATGCAAACATTGAAATTAGAATTAAACACAAAAATATTAAAAATACATACATAAAAATTAAAAACCTATTAACATAGATAAAACATTTCACAGCACTTTATGTTCCTATCAATGAGCTTGCAATGGGACTGAGAGAAGGGCCTCTCCCAAGGATCTCAGGGCTTGGGCAGGTTCACACTGGGAAATACAATCTGCCAAATAGTGTGGGCTTGGGTCATATAGGGCTTTATAGGTCATAACCGGCACTTTGAATTGTGCCCATAAACAGACTGGAACTATTCACAAAAAGATGACGGGATGCTCTCTATAGTCATCCCCAGTTAGCAATCTGGCCACAACTCTTTTGAGCAGCTGAAGTTTCTGGACGTTCTTCAGAGGCAACCCTACAAAGAGTGTGTTATACTAATCCAAATGGGATGCAACTAAAGTATGTATCACCATGGCCAGATTAATCTTCTCAAGGAACAGGTGCAGTTGGTGCACAAGTTATAAATGTGTGCAGGAACTTCTGGCCACCATGGAAACCTTGGATTCTAGGTCCAACACTGAGTCTAGGAGTACCCCAAAACTGTGGACCTGTGTTTTCAGGGTGAGTGTAACCCCATCGAACACAGGTTGGATCCCTATTCCCTGATCTGCTTTCTGACTGACCAGGAGCACTTCTGTCTTGTCTGAATTAAGTTTCAATTTCTTTGCTCTCCAAGTTTATAATATAACCAGCCATCCCCTGCCATGCGTTGCTGTGGCCCAATCTGTGTATATGTGTTTTGTGCGTGTATATATGTGTATATGTGTGTGTTTGCATGGTGTATATATGGTTTTGTGCATGTGTTGTAATGTATTTTTTTTTATCTTTTTGGCTTTAAGTCTATTCTGCTGTGTTTTTCAATGTTTTTATGAGGGAAGGTCACTTGTTGGTCTGATAGGAGTATTGTGTCCAAATTTGAGGTCAATTCGCCCAGTGGTTTTTGAGTTATGTTAATCCCACAAATGAACATTACATTTTTATTTATATAGATTGTCACTACCAGCACTACAATTTAAATGCCCCTTCAATCATAATATCCTACTCCAACCCTATGCATTGGGTAATGTAAGCTATAGATCACAAAAATCCATGTCATATGATATTTTGCAAGACTTGCTGCAACAGATGAAAATTAGGATACAGTCCCCTTAAACTAATCTATCTGTATAAATAAAAATGTAATGTTCATTTGTTGGATTAACACACACACACACAGAGGCCCGTAGCCAGGATTTCGGTTTGGGGGGGGGGGCTGAATTTTTTTCAGGGGGGGGGTTCGGGTGGGGCCAGGCCCGTAGCCAGGATTTCGTTTCGGGGGGGGGGGGGCTAAAAAATTTTCAGGGGGGTTTCGGGGGGGTGAGTTTCGGGGGGGGGCTGAGTCTGAGTGAAAGAGGGTCTAGCCTAGCAAACCTTTTGTATCATTACCCCAATACCCCCATGCATATGGGATATATTGAGTATGGTGATCAGATCATGATATGAATAAACATAACAGTTTAAATAATGCACCAGTAAGGCCTTTTCGCGAACCACCATCAGAATTTCGGGGGGGGGGGGGGCTGAAGCCCCCCAAGCCCCCCCCGGCTACATGCCTGGGTGGGGTGAGTTTGATTTGGGGGGGGGGGTGAGTCTGAGTGAAAGACTAGCAAACCTTTTGTATCTTTACCCCAATACCCCCATGCATATGGGATATATTGAGATGGTGATCAGATCATGATATGAATAAACATAACAGTTTAAATAATGCACAGTAAGGCCTTTTCGCACCACCATGAGAATTTCGGGGGGGGGGGTTGAAGCCCCTCACCCCCCCCCCCCCCGCTACATGCCTGCCTGCCTGCCTGCACACACACACACACACACACACATCGATATATAGAATTCTTTTTCTTCTCTCTCTCCCCCTTTTTCTCTCTTCTTTTCTTCCTATTTTCTTCCTTTCTTAATTTCTAATCTCTATCTCCAATTTCTCTTCCTATCATGTTCACCCACTTTCGCTGAACAGAAATCAGTTATCGTAGTCATGTCAATGACTTTTTAACCTGGATGAGTGTGATGTCGTTTTATGTTTGTTTATGTTGAAGTCATTCAGTAATAATTAATTGCAAAAAGAAAAAGAAAAAAAGAAAAATGCAGTAGTCTCTTGCACAGATTAGCGAGAGCTCAAAGAAATTAAAAATGATTATAATGGAATTGGGAGATACGATATACAAGGAAAGGCAAATAATATGTGCGATTGTTAAAGAGGAAGTTTAGAAAAGAACATATTTTTTATGTCCAGTCTCATAGTTGATGACAATAGGGAAAATTTAACTTGCTGCTCTTCCAGAACCCACTGTAGTCATGGCATAATCCTGTTGTCAGTTTTTCTTAGCAAGAGGTAACATCTACAAATATATTTAAAAGAAAAAGCTCAGTTACAGAGAATTAAGCTGTGAGTCGATCACGGTTGACCCTTACCTGTTGTGTTGCACCACTGCTGTAAATTGTGCTGGCCACAGTGGCCTCTGGAGTGCCCGTTTTGCCTGGAAGAAACATTTGGTGTGGCTGAAAAGCCGGAACATTTTCCCAGGGTGTCTGAAGAGTCAGCCTAAAAGTAGGAGCAACTGCTTTCCAAGTCTCACTTGTTTTTGAAGGGATTCTCCAAGTCCATGCTTATAAAACCCAGCTAAGTCCCACCCAGCCCTTATCAAGGGAGCAAACAGATGCATTTTGCTATGCCTAAGCAAAGTTCACGGCACATCAGCAGAGGTTCAGTATCTGTTTTTTTTAATTATTGGAAGCATCATTCTTAACTGCTAGGCATTCTTTAAAGATATCGTTACTTCCAAATACTGAACCTTCAAATTTCACTCCTGTTATTACAATTGCAAGGCGTTCAGACTGCTACAAAGACCATGCAAGCCACTCCGAGTCCCTTGGGGAGGTGGTGGCGGGGTATAAATAAATAATAATAATAATAATTATTATTATTATTATTATTATTGCATCGTCGAAGGCTTCCATGGCTGGAATCACTGGGTTGTTGTAGGTTTTTTCGGGCTATATGGCCATGTTCTAGAGGCATTCTCTCCTGACTTTTCGCCTGCATCTATGGCAAGCATCCCAACAGACCTCACTAACTCTGAGGATGCTTGCCATAGATGCAGGCGAAACGTCAGGAGATAATGCCTCTAGACCAGGGGTAGGGAACCTTTGGCCCTCCAGCTGTGGTGGACTTCAACTCCCACAATTCCTTGAGGCTCGGCAGTGGGCCAAGGTAAGCCTTTGGGGCGAATGCCGAGCCTCAAGGAATTGTGGGAGTTGAAGTCCACCACAGCTGGAGGGCCAAAGGTTCCCTACCCCTGCTCTAGACCATGGCCATATAGCCCGAAAAAACCTACAACAACCCATTATTATTATTATTATTATTATTATTATTATTATTATTATTGTAGTTTAGTTCTCCTTTCCAATCAGCCTAACCTGATCTCTGTAATGGGGGGTAATAACAACACCTTGAGTAATTTATAGCTTGCAATTCTGAGTCCAAAATTTATTTATTATTTAATATCCTGTTTAACACCACATGATAAAATGCATCAGGACTATGTTTACTGAATGAAAGGTATCAGAGTGTGACATTGAACAAACTATCATCCCCAATCCATTACCATTGGGCCAAACTAAATATAACAAGAGATTTGCAGTGAAAAAGATGGATTAATAATTCCTTGGTGGGCTGGTGATGAGATTGAACACTATGTAATCTCAAATTACACTATGTAACAATTTTTTTTTCAGTTCCTGGCTTTGAAGTGCTATTTCCTGTTTAATTATGTGGTTCTTAGGATGCAGTGGGTTAAACCGCTGAGCTGCTAAACTTGTTGACCAAAAGGTCACAGGTTTGAATCTGAGGAGCAGTGCGAGCTTCTGCTGTCAGCCCCAGCTTCTGCCAACCTAGCAGTTCAAAAACATGAAAATGTGAGTAGATCAATAGGTACTACTCCAGCGGGAAGGTAACTGCATTCCATGCAGTCATGCTGGCCACATGACCTTGGAGATGTCTATGGACAATGCCAGCTCGTCAGCTTAGAAATGGAGATGAGCACCAACCCCCAGAGTCGGACATGACTGGATTTCATGTCAGGGGAAAACCTTTACCTTTACCTTTACCTACTTACTTTGAAAGTGGTTGTTTTACTCCCGAAATTTCATTTTTACAGCTGCCACAAACTATGTTGAATTGGTTAAGACTCTATGAGAGATTCATTGAAAAGGTATAACAAAATGTGCTGCAGAATGTCCCACAAAAACAATTTTTTTCCAGTTTAATAAACCTTTTTTATGTTTTTATGAGAGAACTGATAAGGAAATGACATTTACAATGCAGGAACAAAATCATGTCACATAGTGTTATTTGGTGAGAAATTAAACCTATTTTTTTTTTTTAGCCAATGACAGAAATCACTGCCATGATTGCTATAGAGCAGTGGTTCCCAACCTGTGTTCCTGAACCACGAGTGGTCCGTAAGAACTAAAATATTGTCCGCAGCCTCATCACTACTACACTGTTGTAGTGAGAGTGACTGGTCTCACAAAACCCTCTTATAGTGCCAAGGCTTATTAAATATGGTTTTTTGTGTATGAGTAGATGGTGACTACTGGATGGCCTATGTTCTGTATCAGAAACTAGAGCTGATGTGGTCTATCCTATGCAATTTTCTGAATCAGCACTCCAAATAACCAAACCGAATCTAAAGTTGACCAAAAACCGATTTGTAACCCTTTTGGTACTACTGTTGGTACTGCTATAGAGGCTCAGTGGTATCCATAGAAAATGGATGGGCAGTATGTGACCCGGTGGTTATATGTGAGCCCCAAGTTTTTCTGGGTGTCACCTACTGCTCCTGAGAATTTTTTACTTCAATATATATATATATTGCAATTTGGAATTGAAATTTGGCAGTATTTGATAGGATAATTGATACTACAGTTTATTTATTTATTTATTTACAGTATTTATCATCCGCCCTGATTGGCAAACATTCAGTACCAATTAGACATACAACATATATAGACAGACACAGAGGCAATTTAACATTCCAGCTTTTTGGCTTCATGAGGGCATGCTCGATTCTGGCCACAGGGAGAGCTGCTGCTTCACCATCCATTTGTGACACTGAGTCCTTTGATGGAGTACTTCCTCATTCTTCTGCACGCTGCTGGAAGGTTTTATGGCATAGTAAATTTGTTAAATTTTGTTGTTTTAGTTCGATATCAATAGTCAGTATCATAATCATGTCAATTTAAATATATTATTCATTTATTTAAAAATAAAAATAATTTATTAACTTAATCACATACAATGATGATTTATTTCTTAACAATGTATTTAGAAAGTTGAGGAATGTTACTTTATTTAATACTTAATGAAGAGTTGATTTTTAATTAATTTCATAAATATTTTATCTCTTTTACATATTTGAAGTTTTACAAAAAAGGCTGATTCATCTCCTAAGAAACTAAAAGAAATGTGGGCTTTGAGCACTTGGCCAATAACAAAATGTAGGCATTGTAGTGGCTCCTTACCGTTAGAGAAATAAAATAAGTGTAAGACATGTCTTTCGAGAAGAAAGGAACCTCTTAGTTCACTTTGAAACTTTTGTGTCTAAGTAAGGATATCCATTGATGGAAAAACAATTACTATCCATAGAAAACAACTGTGAAATCTGGAATGTTAGTGTAGCTGAATTGGGAAACAGTAAATCCATTTGTAAATAAAACATTATAAGAAAGACAAGAGTTTCTAACCCAAGTCTTATTTCACATTCCTTTAATGTTTTTTTCTTTCTTTCTCTCTGAGGCCCCTTCCACATAGCTGAATAAAACTTCACATTTTCTGCTTTGAACTGGAATATATGGCAATGGGGACTCAGGGCAGATCTAGACAGCACCTTTACTGCGGAAACTTCAACAATAAAAAGGGGCTGTCCAGATGACATTAGCTTTTATATTAAAATACAAAACATAGCAGGCTGTAGAAGGTCTGAAAAAACATTGGCCAAGGTCAGCACGCCATATTGCCCTGCAACTCCAGGCCACAATAGGAAGCTAATGTTCGGGGATGATGACAGTTGTGATCTAACATCTGGAGCACTGTTTCTCAAAATGTGTTCCTCCAGATGTGTTGGACTTCAGCTTCCACAATTCCTAACAGCTGGTAAGATGGCTAGGATTTCTGGGAGCTGAAGTCCAAAACACTTGTAGGAGCACAGTTTGAGAAACACCGATCTGGAGGGTCACACTTTGCTCATCTTTAGCCTGAACCTGTATCAAAACCAGTGCTCCTGGACTGTCAAAGATAGAACTGTCTGTTGAAAGTTGAGCTGAGGAAGCCTTCTTTGGTTGGACTACAGTAGTGGATCCCATTCTTTTTTGGCCAGAGACCACTTGACAGGGACCACTTTCCAACATTAGTACCAAAAGGGTTATGAATCAGTTTTTGGTCAATTTTAGATTCAGTTTGGTTATTTGGGGTGCTGGTTCAGAAAATTGTATAGGATAGACCACATCCGCTCTAGTTTCTGATACAGAACATATGACATTCAGTAGTTGCCATCTGCTTGTCCACAGAAAACCATATTTAATAATCTAGAGCCACAGACCTTATTTTAAGTCTCACGGCTTACCAGTGGGCCGTGTCCCACAGGTTGGGAACCACTGGACTACAGCAAATGTGTTGTTAAAAGCAGTGATGAGATAGTTGTCAAAAAGAGCTGGTAAAGAGCATAATGACATCACCAAGGAAGGACATCCCTAGCTCTCAGGTTTTCACCCTGAAAACTTAAGGGTGGGCTGGCTCTTCCCCACAGCCATACTGTCTGAATGGCCCCTAAGAGTCTACCTATCAAGAGTGCACTTGATAGGTATTTGTGAATATATGCAAACTGGGGAAAGGAGCAGGTAAAGGCTTCTGAGACACAGGGCCCTTCCACACAGCCATAAAACCCAGAATATCAAGGCAGAAAATCCCACAATATCTGCTTTGCACTGGCTTATCTGAGTCCACACTGTCATATATTCCAGTTCAAAGCAGATAATGTGGGATTTTATTCAGCTGTATGGAAGGGGCCTAAGGGTTTTAAAAATGCAGATTTTCCTGGGGGTCTGTCCACACCCACCCCAGAAAGTGTGCGCTTTCTGGGGTCGGTCTGGAGAACCTACCCCACCCCCAAAGCCCCCTTAGAAAAGTAATGAAAGTATTTCTGGTTCTGGACTGCAGTTCAGACAGTATTCCCACAGTTTACTGGGCTAAATGCGAGTGTGGAGACATGTGAGTGTGGAGAGGAGCAAACCACTGACCACCTGCTGCAATGCAACCTGAGCCCTACCACATGCACAATGGAGGACCTTCTTGCAGCAACACCAGAAGCAATTCAAGTGGCCAGCTACTGGTCAAAGGACATTTAATCAACTACCAAACCCACAAATTTTGTATTTTGTCTGTTTGTTTGCTTTGTTCTGTTAGAAATGTAATATAATTGACTGGTTGCCCTGACAYGACAAATAAAAAAACCGGGCTAAATAAGCCTGGTAAACTGTGGGAATACCCACCCTCTCCTCTGAAATCCCCAGACCCCATAGAAAAGTAATGAAAACTTACCCAGCCTCCATTAGAGGCTTCGGCCAGCTCTCCTGGTGCATAGACATTTTCCTCCCCCCCCCCTCCTGGCGCATAATTTCTAAGCACCGGAGAGCTTGCTGAAGCCTATAATGGAGGCCAGGTAAGTTTTTATTACTTTTCTAAGGGTTCTGGCAGCTTTGAGGGAGGGGGTGGGTATTCCCAGTTTACTGGGTTTATTTAGCCTGGTAAACTGTGGGAATACTGTCTGGACTGCGGTATTCTGCAGTCCAGAACCAGAAATAGTGGGTTTATCCCACACCTTCCAAGAAGGCATGGAATTAACCTACTATCTAATTAATTCACTACAAACCAGCAAATTAATTCGGGACTGTCCAGAACATTGCCTGGACAACCCCTTTATTGTGGTAGATACCGCAATAAAGGTACTGTGTTGATGGCCCCTAATAGTCTACCTATCAAGAGTGCACTTGATAAGTATTTGGGAATAAATGCAAATTGGGGAGAGGAGCAGGTAAAGACTTCTGGGATACAGGGCCCTTCCACACAGCCATAAAACCCAGAATATCAAGGCAGAATAACCCACAATATCTGCTTTGAACTGGGTCATCTGAGTCCACAATGCCATATATCCCAGTTCAAATCAGATGTGGGATTTTATTCAGCTGTGTGGAAGGGGTCAAAATCACACTGAAAAGAGTTGGCTGCTCCTCTTCAGAACTTGATGCACTGGGGACTGTGTACTTCAGTTCAGGTGAAAGGCCACACAGAATATGTAGGGAAAAGTTCAAGGCAGTCGGTAAATACTGTTGGAAGGTGTTGTGAAACAGGGCTGCCCAAGGGATTTGAAAAATGACTGGGAGTTACCAAGGAATACAGAAGAAGGTTATTAGACTTCTTAAATATTGAGTAAATACTACGGGCCATAGTTCACACAGCCATGTGATGCCATCCTAGCCAGATTAGTCAATTACCTCCTCAAGACTTACAAGTCTCCTCTTACTCAAGGGCTTGTGATTCATCTGCTTCGAACACCTTGCCTTTCTGTTCATTGATCTCCTCATAGCAATTTCCCAGGGTTAGCACTTATGTGGCCAAATCAGTATGTCCCACACATGAGGAGGTATCTCATGTCTTGGGGAACTTCCAAGATTTACCAAATTATTTAGACTTCGTGGAGAGTGGGATATGTTAAACTTTGTCTTGTTGCTAATGGCATAAATAAACATAAAGGGAAAATTAAGAAAAATCCAGCTGTGATAAAGGCATAAGATGTATATAGTCTAAAATGAAAAAAAAATCCTGCAAAATTGAGTTAAATTGCTACAAAACAGAACAATTCCTGCAGTGGGATTATAGGCAAATAAATACATTGTTTTTGTATAACCTGACAGGGGAAAATGAACATGGCTAAAACTTTTAGTAAGTGACTTATAATAAGCCTTTACATGTTTTTTGTTGTAGTAGAGCCTGTAAGTAACGTTGCAAGTGGTAGTATGGGTGTCAGAAGGGGGAAAAGGAGTGCTCATGAGCAAGAGTTAGATGAGGAACAACAAAGGAAAAGGATCCAGGATATACTTATGGCACCTACCGATGAAGACTCGTTCAAAGGGTTCTCTGATAACGGTCACTAAGTGAGGGAGAGGAAGGAAATACAGTGGATGTGAATAGGGGAACTAAGAGGGTTACTCGGGAGCAAGAATTGGATGAGGAGCGACAAAGGAAGAAGATCCAGGATATACTTACTGCTCCCACAGATGAAGAGTCATTTGCAGGGTTCTCTGGGAGTGATGGGTTAGAGAGTGATGAAAGTGAGGATGACACATTGGACTGGACTAAGGTACAAGAGGTACAAGATGTATGTGCAGAGCCAACGTCTAGTGACACGTTTGTGGGGTTTTCTGGTGGTGGGGATTGGCAGTCGGGAGATACTTCTGAGTCTTGGGGGATCTAAGTCTTGACAGAAGATGGAGAAGTTGGAGGGATGGGCGTCGGAGTTCACGTGTGGAGTCAAGGACAGCTGTAAGAGATGATGACGGGGCGGAGGTCAGCTCATATTCGGATGATGAGGTGTAAGATAAAAGTAGGCTCTGAAATGGAGAATGTTTGCAGAAGGCAAAGTGTTGGTTTCGTGCCTGGGGTTTTGTTGCTGCCTATTTCGTGTTGGTATTGGGTCCTGGATCTGCAGGTTGCTGCTTCTGTTCGTGTGTGTTTTGACTTGGCTTGGATTCTCGTGAGTGTGAACTTCCCCTTCTTTGATATCGGACCGGTTTTGACTACAACGCTGCCTATGTGGATTTTGGAACCTCGCAACTTTGGACTTGGCTTACTACGACCTCGGACTTCGTTTGACTACGTCTTCTTCCTTGCGGCTCTTTGTTTGTTAACCCTTTACTTGCTGTGTTATTTTGTGTGACTTTTGGAGCGCTTTGTTTTAATCTGGATCTTTTCTCCGGATAATCTGGATTATTGCTTCAGTTTACCTTTTGAACTAGAACTAGTTGCTACTTTTGAGTTTTGACCAGAGACACTGAGTTAAGTGTCTCTGAGTCCCTTTTGCTTTGTTTAAATAAACTCTACTTTTGGACATACTCTTGAGTCTGGCTCTTTAAGACATCTGGGTCCAACATTTTTAGTCATATTCATGTTTCAGACTTATTTCAAGTAAGGATAATCCAAAATATTTTCCCTCTTAGTTTAGGAATATACTATACAAACATTATTAGGAATATACTATACAAACAAATGTTGGCGTTATTTCTGAGAAGTGTATCAGCAATAGCATCCTTAGTGTTGTCAAAGTTGTCATATATACTTACGTAAAACTGATCTTAATAATATAGTAATAATATAGTAATAATATAGTAATAATAATAATAATAAGCTTTATTACAGTCCAAAGACCCAAATAGCTCAATAGTCAAAGATACACAATGTGCGTACATATTAATAAACTGATTAATACGCAAGAAGGCGTGTTAGACAAAGTACATAAAAACAAGAATGAGAACACTGTTAGTAAGTGCAAAGGCTAATTTCAGGGACTAGTAGTAGATGATAAATCTTATCTTGGCTGCCTCAGAGAGAAACTTGGTAATGGCCAAAGTCACAAGGGGAAGATTATCTCCTAACAAAAGCTTAACAGAGAATTGAGCTGATCTACCAGGTGATTTGCTCAGTAATACATTAGTAATATGTTCTCGAGCCTGCTTATAAAAACTTTAGGACAATAAGATGTGCTTCATACATTCAATTTCCTGGTTACTGCACGGGCAAAATCTGGCATTATATGGAGCACCTGCAAATCTACCTTGAAGTAGTGTATTATCGAAGGCTAAAAAACAAAACTCAGACACAGGGGAACTCCAGACAAGAAATGTTGTTGTCAGCCAGACTTAAGATAGCTTAAATATTGAATTCATATTTGTGATTGTGGTATTACTACAGTGATTGCAAATCAACTTTGATCCCCATAAACCAGTGGTTCTCAACCTGTGGGTCCCCAAGTGTTTTGGCCTACAACTCCCAGAAATCCCAGCCAGTTTACCAGTTGTTAGAATTTCTGGGAGTTGAAGGCCAAAACATCTGGGGACCCATAGGTTGAGAACCACTGATATAGAGAAAGGGAGAGATAGAAAGACAGAGAGAGAGCCCTGGTGGTGCAGCTGAACTTGCTGACCAAAAGGTTGGCAGTTCGAATCCAGGGAGTGGGGTGATTTCTGGGAGTTGTTAGGATTTCTGGGAGTTGAAGGCCAAAACATCTGGGGACCCGCAGGTTGAGAACTACTGGTCTAGAAAATGAATTCACTTAAAACTCGGTTACTGCCTCCTGCAGAATTCTGAGGTTTGTAATTTAGGGAGGAGCCTTGAACAGGAGGCAGAAGCCGGATTTAAAGTGGATTCATTCTCTAGTGTGATGAAGGACCAAAGTATCTATTTGATCTAAAAACGCTATATATTTATTTGGTCCACACTCTATAATAAAATTGTTTCAGCGAAGGACTGAAAGCCTGATGTAAGCCTCAGTTAACTCTGAACACAGAATTGTTACCTAAGGCACCTAACAGCAGACATAAACTTGAAGCCAAAAATGTTTTATTACACCAAGAACTATAGACAGACATTTTAAATTAAAAGGATTGGTTGATTTGAACTTTTAGTAGTCAATGTGCTATACAACAACAGACCTCCATCTCATTCCAGGTACTTCTTTTCTCGATATATGCTACTGTTGGCATTTTGCAAAATTACGATTAACTCTTGACAACATTGAATTTGCTACATTGCCATTTCACTGCAGTAGGTAAAACCAGCTATGCACTTTTCCCAGGGCATCCAGCCTTCTGTAACCTGCTGGCACTTGGTTGCCGAGGTACTCGTTGACTAGATCCTTCCCGGCTACTATGGTCTGACAGCGTCTGGTTTCCAGTTGTTGCAGAAATAGTTCTGGGTCTACCTGTAGAACAACAGATACCAAGTTTACTATTACCAAGCATTAAATGCTAGAACTGCTGATTAGAATTTTGTCTAAATTTTATCTAGATTATAACCTTACAAAAGCTTGCATGGTTAGGAACTACAGAGCGTAATATGTAAAAGCAGCACACAAAGCCAGGCTCAAGTAATACTCAGTTAAGCATCAGCAAAAGGGTTTACTTATCAGTTAATGTTTACACAGGGATGCCTTCCTATGCCTCATTTCTACAAATAGTAGGTAGAAAAACAAATTCCATTGGCACTACTCAAATATCAATACTCACTTGCAACCTCCAGAGCTTTTACTTGCTCACAAAATCCTTGCTCACAAAATCAGCCTTCCATTTTTGAAATATGGAGGAAACCAATCTGTATTTTCATGTACAGAAGCAAGAATTGAAGATAGTTGGTATCTCAGAGTGTTCCAAGAATGAACTGCTCAAACATCTATTATTAATATTTTTTGCTATAACAAAGCAGATGCTACATTTAAAATATATTACATTTTTAAGGTAAAAGAATACACTTTTTGGAGGTTATGAGTTTTGTAGCTGAGAGTTTGTGACATGCTAACCTCAAATTAATCAACAGAGGTGATTATTTGACTAAAATTAGCTTGTGAAAGACTCCATATTTATTCCTAGTTTTTTACCTAATTAAACTGAAAGCAAACATTGTATCTCCCCCAAGTTAATGCTGGCATTATACACAAATTAGAGTGAAGAGTACTGTCACTTTCAGAGTTGCACTCAGTAGTAATAGGTTGATTTTTAGCAGAGGCGGCCCTAGGTAATTTTCAACGGTAAGCAAACAGTATTTTGGCGCCCCCAACCAATCACTGATATATATTTTCTGTTCGTCGTGGGAGTTCTGTGTGCCATATTTGGTTCAATTCCATCATTGGTGGAGTTCAGAATGCTCTTTGATTGTAGGTGAACTATACATCCCAGTAACTACAACTCACATATGTCAAGGTCTATTTTCCCCCAAGAGCACCTCAAGAGCGCCCCTGGGCAAAATCAGCTATACTGCAAATGCTTACTTTGCATAATGGGTTGAGCTGTCCCTGATTTTTAGTCAATGAATCAAGCTCAGTGAGCTTAGAATGAATGTAGCTTCTCTCCTCTTCAGCATCTTCTACTATTCTCTCTATAGATGACCCACTAACTATGGAACCAATCAATCATTCAAATGATTCCCTAGGCTCATACATGCAATATCTTATCAAAGTGAATGAGCTTGAAGCTGCAAGATGCTTTTAAGCTGTGCTTAGGACCAAACACATGGTTTCCTCAAGCATATGGTAATTATTATTGGGAAGACTATTTAAATCCGCATTTTGGGTTAAATAGCCCAATAAACCAGTTCACGTTTCATCTGCCCGCAATGTATCTGCTGCATGCAAAGGTTGCTATGTGTGAACAGAAAGTACTGCATTGACAAATGTTAGCATGTGGATAACTAGGTGGATGAAGGTTAGAAGCACAGGAAGTGATGGGACAGTGGAAAAAGTGTCTTATGTACATACAATGACAATCTAAAGGGGATAGGCTAATCTTTCTGATATTGAAAAAAATACGCTAATTCATACAGAACTTTAAATTGACATTGTCCTACAAGACTTTTCCTGAAGGATTTGCCGAACTCATCAAGAGGACTCCATTCAGGTATCACAAAGAAGATGATGCCTACCTGTAAATGTCAAATTAGCAATACCTGAATCAATTTATTTATTTACCGTATTTATATAGAGTGTTCCCTCACTTATTGCGGGGGTTCTGTTCCAGGACCACCCTTGATAAGTGAAAATCCACAAAGTAGGGATGGCATATTAATTTTAATATTTATACATTATTTTATATATTTTATATATTATTTTCTTACCCGCACTTCCTTCCCCGCCTCCCGGCCCATCCCAAGGGCACCTGCCTGCCTCCAGAGCCACACAGGCAGCAACAGCCCAGGGAGGCAGGCCTTCCCCGCTGCTCTCAGGCAACCGCACTTCTGGGGTCTGTGGAAGCCAGGGAGGCAGGCCTTCCCTGCCGTGTTTTAGGCCGCTACACTTCCGGGGTCCTTGGCCTCCACTGGACATAAATATTTAATATTTTTATTAATATTTTCAAAAACACACGAAACGGCGAGTCTGCTAAAAGGGAACCGCGAAATAGCAAGGGAACACTGTACCGCCTTTCTCAGTCCAAAGGCGACTCAAGCCTATAATGGCCAACGAATGTTGACTATTCTACCTCATAGCACAGGACAATTATGCTCACGATTAACTGCTCTGTACTACACATAGGAAAACTTCAGTGAAGAAAGAGCCAAACAATTCTTAGGGTCTCCAAAGCAAAGTGTTTATGTGACCTTCTGAACTGACCTGTCCTATGCATACAGAATGGAACACTGGACATACCTATGAAATATTGGTTTCCAGTAGCGGAAGGGGAAATATCCTGTAGCAGGCTTGCTCCTCGCATTTACTCTAATAGGCAGGACAAGGTTTGTGATAGCAGCTAGCAGGATAAGCAGCCCACAAGTTATTATGTAAACATTATAGCTGGGCAAGGAAAAAAAACATCAAGTGTAGCAAGGAGGAAAAAAAAGAGAAAGATGACACAAAGCAGAAAGACCCCAAACCTCCCAACACCAGCACTGAAGTTCTGAGTGGGAGGAATGTTTCCGCTTCAACTGCTGAAAACAAACATCTCAGATGTGAGTCCAATGTTCCTTTTTTTCAGAAGTGGAGGGGGAAATCCTATATCTGGACATACAAAAACTTCCAAACTTTTGTAAGACCATAAAGCAATGGTTCCTAACCTATTTTTGATGAGGGACCACTCTCCAACGTTAGTACCAAAAGGGTTACGAATCAGTTTTTGGTCAACTTTATATTATATTTATATTCAGTTTGATTATTTGGGGTGCTGATTGAGAAAATTGCATTTGATAGACCACATCAGCTCTAGTTTCTGATACAGAACATATGCCATCCAGTAGTCGCCATCCGCTCATCCATAGAAAACCATATTTAAAAAGCCTTGGCACTATAAGATGGTTTCGCAAGATCAGTCGCTCTTGTTGAAACAGTGTAGTAATGGTGAGGCCACAGACCATATTTTAGTTTTTGCGGACCACAGCTTGGGAACCACTGCCATAAGGGAATTCCAAGCAGGATCTTGTGTGATTTCAGGAAGACATAGGCATGATGTTGCTCTCCAACTGAAGGAGTCAACTAGAGTGTTGGCTTCTCCTGCTAGTGATCTGCCATGCACAAGACTTGGCTCTCAGTGCAGTCTTTTGCCAAATAGATTGAGTCAAAGAAAAATCATTTTGTTCTGCTTTGCTTGTTCAGATAAGAGAACAGTAAAACAGTTTTCCTCGATGGATTCTCACGTTCCAAAGGCACTGTTTCCAAAATGCCAATGTCTATAAGCTATTCTTCTCATGTCCATGTCTCTCTGACCAGGCCATACAATACATGGGCTCTCCATCCTGTAAGAGATGCATCTGATGTTACTTTGCATATTAGTTTAAGAGTACACAAGGGTGCTGCAGTCCTGAGGTTATAGGAATGTTAATATTTCAATTATTGTAGGAATAATAAAGAAGTGCATTCTATTAATTTGAATATGAGTTGAACATCAATGTTTGGAGTAACCTATGCATAATCTAGATATTTACCACTGTGGCTACCAGAGCCAGAAGAATTTTTCTATACTGGGCCCAAACTTTTATAAATAAAGCCATCAGAGTGAATTTGGCTCAAGGAAGAAAAGCTCATCTTAAAGATTCATGTTTATTTGTTTTTCTATAAACTGAAATAAATAAGAACATAAGAGATTTTGTGAAGCTGACCCTGAGACCTTGATATTGTGGAAGAAAAAGTGTGGTGTGAAGGTCAACATATAGAGTTTCTAAGGAAGAGGCAATAAGAAGACAGTCATCAATGCAATGATAGAAAGAACCCCTGTGAGTCTGAAGCCAAGATACTGCTCATTTTGTGAGGACTCCCAGAATAGTCCGAGTCCAGAGAATAGTCCAGAGAACAGAGAACCAGCAGCATTTGTGATTGAGAGCAAACTGTAGGAAATTTCTTCTACAAAGAAAAAGAAGCATCTTTTAGATTAATCATGGTGAACTCGTCTTCCTTTTGTAATAGTGGCAGTCAGAATGCAAGGTTATATACATAGGATAAAGGTAAAGGTTTCCCTGACATTAAGTCTAGTCATGTCTGACTCTGGGGGGTGGTGCTCATCTCCATTTCTAAGCCAAAGAGCTAGCGTTGTCCATAGACATCTCCAAGATCATGTGGCCAGCATGACTGCAAGGAGTGCCATTATCTTCCTGCAGAAGCGGTACCTGTTGATTTACTCACACTTGTATGTTTTTGAACTGCTAGGTTGGCAGAATCTGGGCCTAACAGAGGGAGCTCACCCCGCTTCCCGGATTCAAAACGCCAACCTTTTGCTCGGCAAGGCTTTCATGGCCGGAATCACTGGGTTGTTGTAGGTTTTTCCGGGCTATATGGCCATGTTCTAGAGGATTTTCTCCTGACGTTTCGCCTGCATCTATGGCAAGCATCCTAGAGGTAGTGAGGTCTAGGATGCTTGCCATAGAGGCAGGCGAAACGTAGGAGAAAATGCCTCTAGAACATGGCCATATAGCCCGGAAAAAACCTACAACAACCCTGCCAACCTTTTGGTCAGCAAGTTCAGCTGAACCACCAGGGCTCTCTCTCTGTCTTTCTCTCTATCTCTCCCTATCTCTATATCAGTGGTTCCCAACCTATGGGTCCTCAGATGTTTTGACCTTCAACTCCCAGAAATTCTAACAACTGGTAAACTGGCTGGAATTTCTGGGAGTTGTAGGCCAAAACACCTGGGGACCCACAGGTTGAGAACCACTGTTCTATATATATACTGTGTATATGTGTATGTGTGTGTGTGTGTGTGTGTATGTGTGTAGAGGGAGAGAGAATAATAGAATCATAGAACCATAGAGTTGGAAGAGACCTCATAGGCCATCCAGTTCAACCCCCTGCCAAGAAGCAGGAAAATTGCATTCAAAGCACCCCTGACAGATGGCCATCCAGCCTCTGTTTAAAAGCCTCCAAACAAGGAGCTTCCACCACACTCCGGGCAGAGAGTCCCACTGCTGAACAGCTCTCACAGTCAGGAAGTTCTTCCTCATGTTCAGATGCAATCTCATTTTTTGTAGTTTGTAGAGAGAGAGAGAATACTGCTTGAAAAATGAGGATTGGTTTTTGGGGACTGTAAAGTACTTTGAGAAGAAAACCGTAAGAAATGCATAGTAAATGTAGCAATTTCTTCTTGCGGTACTTTGCAGAGAGATGGAGGATGGATAATTCTACAGAGTTTTGAGTTTTATGTCATACACCATGACATTAAGGACTAGGCCCTCTGGTCTTAGTAAAGGGCTCAACCTGCTACAAAAGGAGCTGCTGTGGTGGTACTTGACAGACATATTATAATAAATATTATTATTATAAATAATAAATATATCTGTCAAGTATCTGGACAGGTAAGCATGGCTAGCTACTTTGTTGAAGATCGTATTTGGGGAAAATTAGAAAGTCTTCTCTTGAACTAAGAATAGCACTCTCCTAAATGTAGGACTGCTTAGATAATTAGGAACCTTGTGATGGAGAAGCAGAAGTAGGCAAGATTTTATTAGAAGATGCTGTGAAGCTCAGAGATGGGTGGAACTGAAAATAACTCCACTTTCTATGCAGTTGCCAACTCAGCTATATGCCACGCAATCTCAGAAAATTATGTGCTAGATTAAAAAAAAGATATAAAGTTTTAAAAAAATGCCTGTGGAGTGTGGGATGTCCCCTGGGGTATGGAAGCAATTTAGCTCCATTAACACATCCCAAACTAACACATCCCAAACTCTTCCACACTGGGAGAGAATGTGGAATAAATTCTGAGTTTGAGAAGATGGGGAAAAGGGGGGGGGGAATACAATATTAACTGTTTGCATTTTGGATTAGGACACTGAGAGATCAGGGTCTGAATTCCCACTTTGCTGTGGAGATCCAGTGCGAGACTTTGTGAAAGTCATATTCTTTCAGCCTCATAAGAATGCAGGGGCAAACCTTTCTGAACAAATTTTGCCATGAAAACCCCTTAATAGGTTTACTTTAGGGATGTCACATGTCAGAAATTACTTGACGACACACTGCAACAACAAAGTTTGAAGGCATGCTAAGGAAGGGGTATAGTTCTCTTAGGTCCTATGAGGGGCCCTTGGAAGTTGTCCACTAACACACAAACAATGTGCTTTTGCTTGGAAAACAGAAGTAACTTTTCTTTCAATTTCAAGTGATGATCAAGAAACAAAGTAACTCCACAAGAACTGCTGATAAACTCCACGCAAACCAGGTAGATGGGAATTATTTGGGAGATTATCGAGTAAGACATCTTTTCTCTCATTTAATTTCTTGCTTTCATTTCTATGGGACTATAATTATTACTTCTGCATATATTTATTCTGCATGGCTTTAACAGTTGCCAAATTCAGTTGAAGAGTACTGAAGAGTTTTCTTCCAGAATATGGTTGAGAATCTCAGTCTTACATGAATTTGGATAATACTGAGGATAAAGCTTCTCCAAACCAATAAGCTACATACAGAAATTTCGGCAATACAGAAAGAATATTGCCTGGGATTGCATCCACTTGAAAATTGAGTCAATAATGGGAGATGTGTGAGTGTTTCAGAGTCCCGGCTCTGTTCCATTCTAATGTAGAGAAAGAATAAAAAGCTCTCAAATGACAATGAGTGGAAGATAGCTGATCTTCTAAATGAAACAGCAATAGCACAAGAAAGAAAGGAAGTAAACAGGTGAGCAGGGATTATGCTATATACATGCAGGAAGTTATAGCCAAGAAGTATTATTCAAGTTTTAGAAGATTTCAAAAATGCGTTGAGGGGCAGCCTGCATGTGTGAGTCATAGAAATAGAAAGGAACATAATATTTTCCCCCAGAATTCAGAATTCTATAAACTGAAAATCTCTACACAGTATCTGTATACAAACATACTAAGCAACCTCAACAAGTTGATTACAAAAACAAACCAGTTTAGCACAAAGTCAATTCTGTCTGAATACATCACAGAAGTATTTCTGTCCAAATTTTCCTGAAAACACACTATCGTGCCTTGGAAAAGAAGGTATTTGGTGAAGTGAACTCTCCAACATAAGAATTAGAAAAATTCTAGATAGAGGCAAACTATAAACGTTGCTTGGTCCAAAATGTATCGGTAGGAGCAACCTTAGGTGACATAATCCAAATCAGAAACAAGAGTGCTAAATCCCTATGTGTCATGTCTCTGGGGCACTTTGCTGCGTAGATGCAATTCTAGTGCTTAGCATGCCAGAATATTTTGCCTTTCTGTTGCTAAACTCACAGCGGGCAACATTTCCAAAATCACAGAGAGTTTATAGCCATCACTTCTCTAGTTAGTGCTCCTACCAAGATGGTGTATTTATTTAGGAAGTTTTTTTAAAACAACAACAACAAACTAAACTGGGTTCTATAGGCTATTAGTTCAGTTGTACTTTTCTCATTAGTCATATTAAATGCATTGCATTATCCGCAAAAAGATTAAGTCCTATTTCTTCCTTCTCTATACCTTCCTTCTCTATTTTATAACCTGTCCAGTTAGGGCTACCTCTATTAGGTGATATTTCTATAGATATTACAAATAGAGTCAGGGACTAAATGCTTACTATTTATTTATTTTACAAGATGTGTCTTTTTGTTAGAAATAAACTGAACATTATTTTTCATAATGTTCAATTTTTACAAGTTTAAAGTTAAACTGCAAAGGACCTTTACTTGGAAGCAAATTCTACTGAAACCAATAGGACTTGCAAATACACACTTTTAAGTTCTAGAAGCAAGAGAACCAGTCTTTTAAAAGTTTTTTTTTATCATCACAGAAGACTGCACTAAAACCTGGTAGATAACTAACACACACGACCTGCAAAAGGAGAGAACAGGCAGCAAGAAAACTGGAAAGAGCCAGGGGGACCTTGAGAGAGAGGCGAGCAAACTGCAGCAGGACTGTAGACCACAGCCTTAGTGACTCCTATTCGTGGAGGTCGAAGGACAGAGGAAAATGAGAGTGGTGCAGGGATTTTACTGGTCTTGGCAGAGACAATTGGGGGCTCTAATTCAAAGAGAGACATAGAAACAAATTAGAAAACCCACATGAGGACAGTCACAGAAAAAGTTTGTAAATTCTCAAATATCTTAACAAATATCTATAGTTGTATAACTTGTATGTTATTATACAAGATAAAGTATTACGTTTTGTCTCCATAGATACATAATTCATGCTTAATACATTTTTATATAAAAAGATATTTATACTATCATACTAATCAGATTAGTGTTAAGAAAAGGCAATATATGCAGCTGTTTATCAAGGCTATTTTAATTTCTAATTATTTTATGTGTAATGCATCATCATTTTGATTTCTCTCTCTATGAACATATGCATGCACACATTACATATGGGGTTCTAGGAAACATACTTAATAAAGCACTAAGCAACAGTAGCACAATCAATACATTGAATATCTGAAATCCTCTACAAAGAAGGACATGGATGTGGCTGAAGAAAGAATGCAACCTAGGAAATAGGGCAGTGGTGCCCAACTTGTGGCCCTCCAGATGTTTAGGATTCCACCTCCCAGAAACCCTAGCCAGCTTGTCCCATGGTTAGGAATTCTGGGAGCTGAAGTCCAAAACACATAGAGGACTTCAAGCTGTACACCAGTGATGTAGGGCAAAGATAGAAAATTGCTTTTCTTGAGGAAGTCTCGCTGTAGTTCTGTAGAATGTAAAGACAGTGACACCCTTGCTCCAAAATAACTTGTTTAAACCTTTTTGTGCTACTTTCTGTGACATCAAGGCCAGTTCTAGCTCTGCATAATACAATATCAATGGGTTCCGGAATTAGTAAGCTCAACAAATATCCCACTTATACAGAAAATAGAAAATAATAGAATTCAGCATATAATTGTGTAAACTTGTTATACTGTTCAAATTCACAGTAACCACAAACAATATTATATAGGTTTTTGTACAAAACATTCATTTTTAGTATATGTAACTTTCAAATATTTACAGCCACATTTTGCTCCTTTGGTTTAGATCCCACTAAGTAAAAAGTCTGTATCTCTAAGGAGAACAAGTGTCAAGTTTGTAACTTTCTAAGTACCTTTAAATGTGTTTTAGCATATGATGTCCAATGGATATATTTGCAGCAAGTGTTGATGTATATACAGGATGAAGCAGCATAACTTCCTTTTTACAAAACTTAATAAAACCCATTGTATGAATCAGAATTTAATTTTTTTTATAATGTAGGCGCATACCTAAAGTTTTGTTTTACGTAGTTTTGAAGATCACATTAGGTAGGTGACGTCCCCCATTCTCCATACACTGAGTAAACCGATTTCTGGCGTATGTCATGACTCTTGCCAGCATAGCAGGCGTTATGTTGGCAGTTTCTTCCTGGATGTTAGTCTTCAAATCTTGTAGGGTCCTTGGACAGGTCACATAAATACAGAATTTTTTTAAAAAAAAACCCATAGAAAAAAATCACAAGGGGCCAAATCTGGAGAGCGGGCCGGCCAATCCAAATCTGCTCGAAAAGTAGGCCTCAACGGCAAAAGCACAGTCCTCACTGTTCCAACACATGATGGCGACTGAACTGTGTCAGGACAAAACTTTATACTCCCACCTCTCAAACGAGACCACTAGCACTCCTCTACGTCTTCAACCGATTGAATGGCACGCATTTAAAAAAAGGAAGTTATGCTGCCTCACCATGTAATAAGTGTTAAGTGTATAACTTTGCAAGTATATTCAAATGTATTTCAGTATATGATGTTTAATATATTTGCAGCAAATTTTGATTTTTAGACCACCAGAGGAAGGCCTGGAGTAAGGCCAAAATCAGTTGTGGGCGGCTGATTCATATTCAACTCGGCATAAGAAGACACGGCATTGATACCATTTCAGAGTGACTGTACAAAAACCCGTACAATATTGTTTGTGATTACTGTGAATTTGAACAGTATTTTATATCATTTCAGAGTGATTTTTTAGTTCTAGCTCTGAACAGAATCCTTCAATTGTTCAAAATAGTTAACTTCATAAATGTCAGTATCTATTTGTGTTTATTAGGAAGCAAAACTTAATAATGAAAATGTCTTACATGAAGTAGGACATTGCTGATAAAACAGCACCACCTACTGACAAACCATTACCACAAAAACATGTTTTGATTCCCAGTTGATGATCACATGATACCAGTCATTCTTTCCTGTTTGATGTACACCCAAAATTTAAATGCTAAACTAGGATCTCATGGGAAAGATTCTTCCTTCCAAAGGGCTTCCAACTTTTCTAATTCCTTTCATTATGTGTAAAGTTTCAGTTTGTAAAACTGAAGACAAAGTCAGTGTGACAACTGACAATTTGCAGGTCAGTGTCAAAACCATTTGGGCTGAAAAGGAGGAAGAAAAGATGTTTATGATGCCAATGATAATGATGATATTTTTATAATGGATCCTGGGGATGGAGACAGAAAATTATAGTTCCTTTAGTCAAACATCTAAGCTATAAAAATTGGCAGAAAAGATTATAATAGAAGCACATTCTTTGCTAAAGAAGGAGTGTGACTTCTGCAAGTCAAGTCCTGCTTTGCCAGATGTTTCAGGTGCTCTGAGAGTGTCAAGTCTTTGAAGATAATTGAAAACATGAAGAAGATGGAGGCTCCTCTTAAACTGGAATCCACTGATTCCCCAGTTAAAAGTAGAGAAGTTCTTATATGAGTAACTGATGAAAGAACAGGAAAGAAGATAGAATAAACTCGAGAAAACATTCATATTGAAGGATCTGTATTTGGATTACAGCATATAATCGATTCATTGAGATAACTAGCCATTCTAGTCTAGTAGCAAAAAGAAGCAAATATGGGAATTTTAACATCTTCTTTCATTAATGTAAATAGACTATATAGATTCCACTTTCATCATAAACCTGATGTGCCATCCTATGCTGAAGGTACAAAGTTTAAGCAACTGTAAGCACAGAGATCACAATGTAATGCAAAAATAAAACTGACAGTTACATTTTAGCATAACATTGACCAACCATCAAAACAGAGATGGTGACAACATAAACACAAACCCGGTAGTGGTAGACTAACACGTGTAGTATGAAAACACCAATTAATGCAAAAGGCAATAGAACTGAAATTGCTTGATAAACTGCAATTTTGCTGCTTTACATTGTGATGATATTTTTGGTTCTTAAGTTATTTTATGTGGGGAACTGGCAATACTTTACTATTTTACACAGACTAAATCATAGAATTATATAACTACTTTGCAGATAAAACAGAAATAATTCTACATAATAGACGTAACAGCCAGTATCAATATATCTAAAATTAATGACAGTACTATGTTGTCGAAGGCTTTCATGCCTGGAATCACTGGGTTGCTGTGAGTTTTCCAGGCTGTATGGCCATGTTCCAGAAGCATTATCTCCTGACGTTTTGCCCACATCTATAGCAGGCATTTTCAGAGGTTGTGAAGTTTGTTGGAAATTAGGTAAGTGGGACTTATGTGTCTGTGTGATGTCCAGGATGGTAGAAAGAACTCTTGTGTGCTTGAGGCAAGTATGAATGTTGCAATAGGTCACCTTAATTAGCATCTAATGGCCTAAAGGTAAAGGTAAAGGTAATCCCCTGACATTAAGTCCAGTCATGTCTGACTCTGGGGTGTGGTGCTCATCTCCATTTCTAAGCTGAAGAGCCAACGTTGTCCGTAGACACCTCCAAGGCCATGTGGCCGTGGGCAAAACGTCAGAAGATAATCCTTCTGGAACATGGTCATACAGCCCGGAAAACTCACAGCAACCCAATCAGTAGTTATTATGCCCTAGCCTAAATTGAAGAAATATTTCCTGATATATTGATTACTTTAGCATTGAAGGAAATGTTTTGATGATTTTTGGTATCAACCCAATTTTGTAAATAACATATTTCAATAAATAAAAGCTATATATTCAGGGAAAACATTGGGTGAACTACATTAAGAGAACATAACAAGTCACATCAGTATAAATATTAAGACTAGCATGTAAATAACTAGCAAAGGGAGACTCCCTACGCTTGGTAAAATGTGGAAATCAAGAATGAAGAAAATAAACAAAATTACTACTTACAAAAACATAGAGAAGAAAGAAAGGATTCAGCTTCTTTCTGAGACTGTCAATAGCTATTGGACATATTGGCAAACAGAATTCTAACTGAATATATATACATATATGATAAGTGTGTATGTGTGTAAAGGAATATTATAAAATGTTTTTATTATTTTCTTAGTGAAATATCTTCACGAGATTTCAGCATATGATGTGCAATATTTATGTAACAAAATTATAAATTACCCTATTTCACCTAATCCAAGACACCATTGAATTTACACAATTGAAGCATTAATTATAAGAATATTTTAGAATTTGCTCTGTGGGATGATACCTTCTTTTTCTTCTTGTTTTTAAATGTTACTTTGTAGTACAATCTTTCCTGCAGGCAGGCCCGTAGCCAGGATTTTGATTCCGGGGGTGGGGGGTGGGGAAAGAGGGTCTACCCTAGCAAACCTTTTGTATTTACCCCAATACCCCCATGCATATGGGATATATTGAGCATGGTGATCAGATCATGATATGAATAAACATAACAGTTTAAATAATGTAGCAGTAAGGCCTTCTCGTGGACCACCATGAGAATTTCGGGGGGGGCTGAACCCCCCCCCCCCGGCTACATGCCTGCCTGCAGGGTAAGGAGGGCGTGTAAAGAAATCCACAAGTCATCTGTCTACATGATTCTAAAAAAATATTAAGTCCATGGTTCCATTGGTGAAGGAGCAGAAGGAAGTGAGGTTTAACTAAAATACCAGTAAAGTGCCATCTGGCCCAGACTGAAGACAAAATGGTAGAGGTGTGGCAGATTCAATGGGGTCGGGGCTCTCTTCCTTCTTTCTCTATGAGGTAAGACACTTTTTTAAAAAATGCTAATCTAAGGTGCTATCAAATATAAGGCTCATGCCATTTTTGAAGCCCCTTAAAGGTGAAAAACTGCACCTTAGATTCAATAAAATACAATATAACCTTTTCAAGAAAGAGGCAACTTTAAAAAAACAAGCAGAAGAAAAATAGAAAGACACAAAGAAAAATAGAAAGATTTCTTCAAGGAGCTGTGGGGTAGAAAACTAGAATTAAGTAGGCTTATAAGATCATAGAATCAGAGTTGGGAGGCACCAGAAGGACCACTGAGTCCAATCCCCTGTCAAACTATTGAGAACGGGCAATTCAATCTGTTTAAAAATTTCCAGAGAAAAAAAATCCACCAGCCTCCAAGGCATCAAACCGCTCTTAGCATCAGAAAATTCTAATATGAAACTGGAACATGTTTCCTTGTAATTTCTTGTAATATGCTAAAATGGTAGGACATGGACAACTTTTACCACACATATTTTCTATGATCTGATATTCTACTAAGCTAAAAGGTAAATTCAAACTCAGAAGCAATTTGCCATATAAGTATTTCAGTATTTGGTCAGAAGGATGCCATGTAGGCATGTGATGTTACATTGCAGTATATGCCAGCAAATATCAGGAAAACCAACAGACAAGAGACAATGATAAAACTTACACAGTTGCAACTGGGAGGAACTGAGAGCAGCACAGCATGTTGGGGCACAATTTTGTCCAACCACTGTTTGTGAAGCCTGCCTCTTGTTGACTCTCTTTGTTTCATTCCATTACAGCCCACTTTCATAGGCTGCATGGCAAAATAGTTTTCTCCTAGACTTCACAATTTCTGAATCCACATTCTGCTACTTGAACCTTACTTCCCTATCTCTCTCGTGGCTTTCTTGAGCCTTCTTATTGTCTTTTTAGCAAACAAGAATATAAATAAGAAATGACATAACTGTTAGACCATATACTACAATCTAACAGGCACTGACATAACTGATGAGAGGGTGCATTGGTTAAGAAGTGATGCTGTGACGTAAAAAATGTGCTCCATTCCATTCACAATAGAGTTAAGTAGAAGAAATAATTTTGAATTGAGACATACTATATTTATCCCTAAATAGAAACTGAGATAGTTTAAGAAGAACAGAGTATAAGGGGATTTTTTGTCTGCTTCAGTAATTTTCAAACATTTATTTATTTATTCAAAAATCTGCCCTGAATCATATTCATATATTCCCAGACTAGGACTAACTAACTACAAAGTAAAAAAAGTACTACATTTGATTCCACCTGTACTGGTCAGCTTTAATCTGGAAGCCATACAAGTCAGTACAGGTACTTTATCACTGCAATTATAGTTTACTGAAAACAGATGAATGTTCTTACATCTCAGTGACAGAAACATACGCTTTGCTTCAGCTTCTAGCATCTCCAGGCAGGGCTGGAACCCATCTGGAACCTAGGGAGCTACTTCCAATGAAGTGTAATCAGTCCTGAACCAAATAGACCAATGGACTGATAAGGATGGACCTATTCATTCAATGCTTATGGTACTCAAATGTTGAAAATATGCCGTACAAATGCAATAAATAGATGTAGACAATGAAACTTTTAGAAACTCAGATTTTGATGGATAATCTGCAAAAGAAGAGAGTATCTTGGTTCTCTGTTGCAAAGAACAAAATTAAATAGTGAATCAGGGAAGAAAATTTCTATCACTTGTAATTGCATCAGCATAAAGAAGGTTTTTTCTTCTTCAAAGAAATGAATAGATCGTTTCAACACTGAAAGTCCAATTCCTATCAGGATGGCTTGTTTTAAACAACATTTTTCATGCAAGTCTAGAATGTGAAGGCCTTTAAGAACCAGGGCAAAGCTTTCCAAACTGTATGTCATGACACGTTAGTGTTCCAGCTGCAATGTGGAGGTGTGTTGCATGAACATAACAAGAAATGACAAAAATCTTGAAAATGTTATATTACAAATCATATATTTAAAAAACTATTATTGAAAGGTTTTCATGAGATATCTTGTGTTGTTACTACAGTTTATGCATGTGTCTTATAAGGGTGTTGGTTTAACCTCCGGTTTGCTAGTAACGCTGAATTACTGTGTTGTGAAATGGTGCATTGTCTAAAAAGTGTGTCATCAACATGAAATATTGAATTAGAGAGAAAAGTGAACCCTGGGTCTGTCCTGCCTAATGAACATTCCTGTCATTATAACTGTGAAAACTGAGAGTACAGAACCAAGGACAAGAGGAGAGAAGACTCATGTCCCCTGGCTCTGCTTAGGCCTTGAGCCACTATGGGATGACACTGTCTTTTCCCTCTGATGCCTGTGTGTGTGGGGGCTCCACTGACCTCGTGGGGGCTCGGTGGCATTGGCCTCGGGGCCGCTCCCTCTCTGCCCGGCGGCACACATGGCACGCAGCACCTGGTAGATGGCCACAGGGGCCACATTCATGCGCAGCAGGTCCAGCAGGATCCTAAGAGAAAGAGAGAAAACACGGGAACCTATCATACTAGAGTAGGGCTGTCAAATTAATTTTCACCAAAGGCCACATCAACCTTATGGAAAGGTCCATTGAAATCATGGACAGAGAATTTGTGGATACAGAGGAATAACTATAACTTATTGTTATTCGTATTGGCGAATAATGCCTGCAGATCCCAGTAAGGTGGCCTTTTGCAGCTGGCAGATGGTAATTTTGTCAGCGCCAATTGTGTTTAAGTGCAGGCCAAGGTCTTTAGGTACTGCACCCAGTGTGCCGATCACCACTGGGACCACCTTTACTGGCTTGTGCCAGAGTCTTTGCAGTTCAATCTTTAAATCCTCATATCGTGTCAGCTTTTCCAGCTGTTTCTCTTCAATCCTGCTGTCACCTGGGATTGCAACATTGACGATCCATACTTTGTTTTTTAACACGATTGTGAGGTCAGGAGTATTGTGCTCCAGAACTCTGTCTGTCTGAATCCAGAAGTCCCAGAGGAGTTTGACGTGTTCATTCTCTGTAACTTTTTCCAGCTTGTGATCCCACCAGTTCTTTGTTGCAGGCAGATGGCATTTGTGGCACAAGTTCCAAATGAACCATCTGAGCAATGGTGTTATGCCTCTGCTTGTATTATTATTATTATTATTATTATTATTATTATTATTATTATTATCTCAGTGGTTTTGCATTGATGAGACACCGGGGGCTGTGCAGTGGTGGTTGGGGTGTGGAGGGAGAGGTATGTTGTTTTATGGTATGTGTTGGGGAAGGCATTGCCTTTCGTGGTGCAATAGCACAATGAAAATAAAGCTATTCTATTCTATTCAAAGGTGCCTCCCAGAATGCTGCAGAAGGCAGGTGCAGGATTTGAAAAGGATAGACACTCTATTCCAGGAACCCTCACACTGAAGCTCTCCAGCTGTTTGAGCAAGCTGGTAAAGGCTTCTGGGAGTTGTAGGCCCAAACAGTTGGCAGGCCACAGTTCCTGGAGCTAGGCATACAGGGCTGAGGTATGCATATGAGGTCCAAACTCAAGAACGGAAAATGGGTTGTTGGTGGGCAGGAAAAGAGATTTAAAGATGGGCTCAACGCCAACCTTAAGAACTCTGCCACAGACACTGAGAACTGGGAAGCTCTGGCCCTTGAGCGTTCCAGCTGGAGGTCAGCTATGACCAGCAGTGCTATAGAATTTGAAGAGGCACGAATGGAGGGCGAAAGAGAGAAACGTGCCAAGAGAAAGGCATGTCAAGCCAACACCGACTGGGCCCGCTTTCCACTTGGAAACCAGTGCCCTCACTGCGGGAGAAGATGCAGATCAAGAATAGGGCTCCACAGTCACCTACGGATCCACCGCTAGTACATCTATCTTGGAAGACAATCCTACTTGGACAACGAGGGATCACCTAAGTAAGTTATGGTTTATTAAGGCATTGAATGTCTGCCTTTTTGCGTGTTGGAATCTGCCCTGAGTCCCGTTGGGGAGATAGGGCGAAATACAAATAAAGTTGTTGTTGTTGTATTATTATGTTGAACTCCATAGTTTCACATTGATATGACATTGGGGGCTGTATGGTGGTGGTTGGGGTGTGGAGGGCGAGGTGTGTTGTTTTGTGGTGTGTGTTGGGGAAGGCATTGCCTTTCGTGGTGCAATAGCACAATGACAATAACACTGTCTGGCCAGAGCAAAGACAGAGGGGAGCAGAAGACATTTCCATTTTGTCTTTACCAATAATATAATATAGTATATTGTATATACATATAATATTTATAATATTATAATGTAATACAATATAATACTAGTAATAATAATTCAATATTATAATTATAATTATATATTTACATTGCATGTAATATTACTAATAATATTACAATATAATGGTATAGTGGAATATAGTAATATAAGTAATTTAAGGTGCAGGTGCTTACCTACAAAGCCCTAAACGGTTTGGGACCATCCTACCTGCGTGACTGCATCTCCATTTATGAACCCACGTGCTCACTTCGTTCATCTGGAGAGGCCCTGCTCGTGATTCTGTGTCGCAGGCGCGTTTGGTGGGGACACGAGATAGGGCCTTTTCTGTGGTGGCCCCCCGCCTCTGGAACACCCTCCCAAAAGATCTTAGACTGGCCCCTACATTGGCAGTCTTTAGAAAGAACTTGAAGACCTGGCTGTTCCGATGTGCTTTTCCAGAATAGGAATCTCCAATAACAAGTCCCAGAAGCACTTTATTAGAACTAAGATTGCTGCACACTGCACTTACCCTATAATCCTTACATATCACCTGTCACATCAGCACTTTTAATCCTGTACCCATTACTCTGGCCCGGCCCAGTTTTATAGTGTCTTGATGTATTGTTTATTGCTTGTTGTTTAATACTGCTTTAACTGTTTTTAATTTGCTTAGGTGTTGTATTATTATGTTGTGTTTTGAGGCCTTGGCCTTTGTAAGCCGCATTGAGTCCTTCGGGAGATGCTAGCGGGGTACAAATAAAGTTAATAATAATAATAATAATATACTGATATTGTACTATGCTAATAATATAATATATTGTATGAAAATATATATTGTAAGCCGCTCTGAGTCCCCTTCGGGGTGAGAAGGGCGGCATATAAATGCCGTAAATAAATAAATAAATAAACACCCCTGGTGGCACAGTGGGTTAAACCAATGAGCTGCTGAGCCTGTTGACCGAAAGGTCGCAGGTTCAAATCTGGGGAGCAGCGTGAGCTTCCGCTGTCAGCCCCAGCTTCTGCCAACCTAGCAGTTTGAAAACATGAAAATGTGAGTAGATCAATAGATACTGCTCCGGCGGGAAGGTAAGGGCACTCTATGTAGTCATGCCAGCCACATGACCTTGGAGGTGTCTACGGACAACGCCAGCTCTTTTGCTTAGAAATGGAGATGAGCACCAACCCCCAGAGTCGGACAGGACTGGACTTCATGTCAGGGAAAAGCTTAGATTATTCTATTCAAAGGCGCCTCCCAAACCCAGAATGCTGTAGGAAGCAGGTGCAGGATTTGAAAAGGATATAGACACACTCTATTCCAGGCATTTTCACACTGCAGCTCTCCAGCTGTTTGGGCCTCCAACTCCCAGAATTCCTGGTCATTGAGGAAGCTGGTGAGGGCTTCTGGGAGTTGTAGGCCCAAACAGTCGGCAGGCCACAGTCTGGGGCAACGAAAATGTATTGAAAAGGTGAGGGGCGACCACTCACTTGAAGACTTCCGGGTCCATCCCGCTCCCCGCCGCCTGCGCGAGCTCGAACAACTCGGCCTCTTCTGCTGTGAGGAGCTTCCTGCGGGCGCGAGACCCGCTGCTGCCCTTCGCCTCCATGCCCGACGACATCGCCTTCCCCGGCGAGGGGCTTCTCGGCCGCAAAGCACCCTGGGACGCCCTGCCTCCTTACGGCGCCCCTCTCTCTCCCGCAAGGGGCGCTGGGAAGTGTAGTTTTCTGAGGGATTTTGCTCAGTCGCTTCTCATCTTGTCCGGTCTCTTCATGCAGTTTCTCACAACCACCATGTCAGACTACACAGAGAAGCCATTGAAATACACAAGCATGTGGACAATTTCAACAGAAAGGAAGAGACCATGAAAATGAACAAAATCTGGCTACCAGTATTAAAAAATTACAACAGCAAAACAACAGAGAGGAAACAATCTGAGACATCTAATCACCTCTCAACAAAAGATTTCCCCAAGCACTGCCAGGCCATCAAATACTAATCAAGGTGGTCAGTTGAAACATTCACACTAGCTCCAACAGACAAGAGTCTTTTGTCCCACCCTGGTCATTCCACAGATATATAAACCCATTTTCCTAGTTCCAACAGACCTCACAACCTCTGAGGATGCCTGCCATAGATGCAGGCAAACGTCAGAAGAGAATGCTTCTAGAACATGGCCATACTGCCCAAAAAACCTACAAACACCCACTTAGGAAACTTTGACAATACAATAATAAACTTTATTTATACCCTGGAATCATCTCCTCAATGGGGACTCGGGACGGATAGGGTAGGCCAAGCCCAGAATTTCAGTACAACAAAATAAAATAAAATACGAGGGTTGAATGAAAAGTAATGCCTCCACCTTGGTAACTCCTCAACAGAGAGCAGCAGGCATATAGCCGGGGTGGGGGGGCTTGAGGGGCTTCAGCCCCGCCCCCGAAATTCTCATGGTGGTTCGCGAAAAGGCCTTACTGGTGCATTATTTAAACTGTTATATTTATTCATATCATGATCTGATCACCATGCTCAATATATCCCATATGCATGGGGCTATTGGGGTAATGATACAAAAGGTTTGCTAGGGTAGACTCGCTTTCACTCAGACTCAGCCCCCCAAATCAAACTTATCCCCCCCCCGAATCAAAATCCTGGCTATGGCCCCCTCCACCTTCGTAACTCCTCAACAGATGGCAGTACTGGTATGCAACAGGTACTGGCTTGTTCAGTAGACTCTCCTCTACAGTTCCATTTTGGTGGGAAACCTTAGCATTGAACTGTTGTGTTGTTAAAGTGCAAAGTATGGAACCCTGCGCAGACGGTCGTTCAATGCGACTTAAGCAACGTGCAGTCATTGAATTCTTGACAGCAGAAGGTGTCACCCCAAAGGAGATTCATCAGAGAATGCAAGCTGTTTATGGTGATTGTGTTGATGTGAGTACTGTGTGTCGCTGGGCGAATAAGTTTAAAAATGTTGAGGTGGGAACATCTGACTCCTGTGACAGCAACCACTGAGTTTCACAAGGTGGCAGATTGATTCAGGACAATTGTATCACTCAGAAATGTCAAGCATAATCAGCATTTCACAAGAACGTGTGGGTCACATTGCTTTGCTTGGCTATCGGAAGATCTGTGCACGATGGATACTCAGGATGCTGACGCCTGAAATGAAAGCGCACCACAGCAGAACTTCAGAGACTGGATCTCACCACTGTACGGCATCCTCCTTATAGTCCAGATTTAGCACCGTCTGACTTCCATCTGTTCATGATAATGAAAGAAGATCTGTGGGGACATCCTTATGTTTCTGATGAAGACATTGAGAGAACTGTGAGACGCTGGTTCCGTGATGGCTTCAGAAAACTTGTTCATCATTGGCAGAAATGTATCCAATTGTCTGGTGATTATGTGGAAAAGTGAATAGTGGTAGTTAAAGAGCATGTTCTAAGGATTATTTCTGCATTTGATTTATTAAAATATTCCCATCCAAACCCAAGTAACGAAGGTGGAGGCATTACTTTTCATTCAACCCTCATACAATCAGCAAATAATGACATCAAAATAAAATACAGAAAATAACAGAAAATGAAATAAACAGATGCAAAATAACATGATGGAGAAATAAAATAAAAGCACGGTGGGCCGGACAAATGCACAGAATAAGATTGATAAAACCCTGGGTGTGATAAGTAAATGGAGAAGTATGTGTCTGTAGGAGAACTCAGAAGGGGCGAACAATGGGATTTAGCCTTCATTAAAGACAAGGAAAAGTGTGTCACGAGGACAGAACTATAGTTGGAGAATGAATGCAGTTTGACACCATGGCTCAATGTTATGGAATCATGGGAGTTGTAATTTCACAGGTTCGTTAGCCTTCTCTGCCAAAGGGTGCTGGGGGTCTCATGAAATCTCATGAAATCCTATTTATTTATCGTATCAAGAGTGAACTAAGGTTATAGTTGTAATGTATTTTTTTAAAACCCACAAAGTTTGGAAACTTGGCATTATATTAAATGTCCTTTGACCAAGTAGCTGGCTTCTTGGAGCTCCTATGATGCCATGGCAGTTAAAGTAGTCTGAACCTAAATTAATTCTACAATATAAATCAGGCATGGGCAAACTTTGGCCCTCCAGGTGTTTTGGACTTCAACTTCCACAATTCCTAACAGCCTACCAGATACAGTGAATACATTTTATTACTTTTATCCCACCCTTTTCAGCCCAAAGGCGTACAGACTGGCAACAATTAGATGCCAAACACACATAAACACATCGTTTAAATCAGGTTAAATCACATAATAAAATTCATATAAAAAGCAATTTAAAACTATAAAAATCAATGACTTCCAGGTTTAAATCCATGTCCATTTGCATCGTTAAGCCATTCCATATTCATTCACAATACTGAGTTTATCTGGTTACAATGAGGTTCCAAAAGCTTGCTCGAAGAACCAGGTTTTTACTCTTTTCCTAAAGGTCAGGAGAGAGGGGGCCGATCTAATATCCCCAGGAAGGGAGTTCCATAGCTGTGGGACCACCACCATCTGCCCTTGCGCATTGTTACTCTGCTGCTGAATATGCAGTGTGGAATATATATTGCCATGTTAAAACAGTGGATGTGGCTCTTAATGAGACATGCCACATTGTAACAGAATGTCAATGCCCTACACTCCTGGAGAAATTATACTTTTTAGTCGGTATCGCGCCATCTGATATTCAGCAGGAAGTAGTAGCCAGTAATGAAAGGACCAAGACATTGACATCTCCAGCCCATCCTGTGTTTGGATATCAGTCAGCGTGCCAACATCTTAAATCAAGAAAGAGCTTTCTAAAATCTACAGATACTTGCAGGAACACTTCAGCAAGCGAGAATCCAAAAGTGGCAGGTACCTCAGTCAGTGGCTGACACCAGATGAAAGACTCCTCCCTGGGCATATAGAAGACTGGGCGACTTGGAAGGCGCTGAACATACAGCACCCTGTTACCACAAGATGCAGAGCTAATCTTAAGAAATGGGGCTACAAAGTGGAGTCCACGACATGCGAGTGTGGAGAAGAGCAAATCACAGACCATTTACTATAATGCAGTCTGAGTCCTGTTACATGCACAATGGAGGACCTTCTTACAGCGACACCAGAGGCAGGCATGTAGCCGGGGGGGGGGGGGGTGGGGCTTCAGCCCCCCCCCCCCGAAATTCTCATGGTGGTTCGCGAAAAGGCCTTACTGGTGCATTATTTAAACTGTTATGTTTATTCATATCATGATCTGATCACCATGCTCAATATATTCCATATGCATGGGGGTATTGGGGTAACGATACAAAAGGTTTGCTAGGGTTGACCCTCTTTCACTCAGACTCAGCCCCCCCCCCCACCGAAACTCAGCCCCCCCCCCCCGAATCAAAATCCTGGCTACGGGCCTGACCAGAGGCATTCAAAGTGGCCAATTTCTGGTCAAAGGAAATTTATTATAATGCTAAGTTTTTAACTTTGTGGTTTTGTATACATTATAACTGTATTCTCAATTTGCTTCTGACATGATAAATATGTAAGTTCAAATGTCCAGTTCCGTGCCAAGATATGGATCTAGGAAACAAAGATGCAAGACTCAAGGAACAAAGTGCTGATCTTGGGTAATCAAGGACTTGGCTGTCAATAAAAGAATTAATGAATGCACATACTCTAAGCCTCTATTTCCGTGAAGGAGGGCAGACTTTCAGCTTCAAGTGAATTGTACCAACATTTTGGGCTTATCTGACTGGCAAAGGAAGTCACCTATTTTTGCATACATACAATGAATCTGATAATTATCTGGCTTTTCTATTCCCGGAAGATTATCTGAACAGGGTCACAGAGGGATGGCTGTTTCTAAGTTACATTTTGATACATTTCTAAGAAGCAGTTTATATCCATTTCATAGATAAGAAATAGATATAGTACACAGTTGAAAGATACAAGTTATACAAAATCATATAGTTGATATAGTTTATAGAAGGATTGGATTGGATAGAGTTGAGGGCTTTACAGCTGCTGCAGGTTTGGTCTCAATTGAATTTGCGCAAGTACAGAAAGGGTCTTTAAAAAAAAGGGGGGGGGAATCATATATTTATTTCTGAGGTCTTAGTGAACTTAGTGGAGACCCCGGTGGCACAGTGGGTTAAACCCCTGTGCTGGCAGAACTGAAGACTGACAGGTCGCAGGTTCGAATCCGAGGGGAGCGCGGATGAGCTCCCTCTGTCAGCTCCAGCTCCTCATGCAGGGACATGAGAGAAGCCTCCCAGAAGGATGATAAAACATCAAAACATCCGGGCGTCACCTGGACAATGTCCTTGTAGACGGCCAATTCTCTCACACCAGAAGCAAATTGCAGTTTCTCAAGTCACTCCTGACACGACAAAAAAAAGTGAACTATAAATCTTCCGAGGTGGGGATTACCATGGCTCGATAACATAAGCATTTCAGGCTTTCTTCCTAAATGTGCTGGCCATTTGTTTGAATTTTTCTCCAGTGATTTTCTCCCTGTTCTGATTTCTTATACATGTCCCTTAGCTCAGTCGGAATTTCTTTAGTCATCCATTCCAGGTTTTTTTTTAGACTACTTCTCATAAGAACTATTTGAAATCCAGGAGAACATGGTCACTACCACTTAAGAATCTTGCCACTTCCACTCCTCA